ACCCCACCCCACTCCACTGGCTCCGCCAGTGCCAATAGGGATGCGTTTCATTCTGTAGGTTTCCACAACCAAGATTACGATTGATAATTGGTTTATTTTGACTCACATCCTCGCGTAGTTATGCATAATGTCAATATCTAAACTGCAAACTCTCCACCAGCCGACAGAGTGAATCGAAATCAAGTTAGTCTCGTGAGTGGGAAAATGTGCCAAAAGATCGACTTTGTTTCTTAGTCAAACCAGGACGTTGACGATTGTATCCGACGCCGCCGCTGCAGATTTGCATCCCAGCATCATCAGGCGGCGTTTGGAAAGAGTTCAGCTCAAATCGCGCGATTACAGAACAGCACGTTTGCCAACCGCGTGGCAGTTAGATTTTTTAAAGTATATATAATTACACGAGCTAAGCTAAAATAAACAAATTAGGGAAAGCATTTCAGATGAAAAAAAAACTTTGAAGGACAATTCTGGATATTTTTCGGATTATTTCCATTGCGTACAAACGGCACGCGTCTTCGTGTTAACAACAGTGACGTCACCCCGACGTCACGTGGTGGCGAGATGTTAACTACCTCGCCTGGTATGCAGGAGGCCATGGGTTTGATTCCGACCCCGACGCCTGCTGTATATTTGGAGTCTGCGTGTCTCTCTCTATCCCCGTGGTCGCGTGGATTTTTCTGTGGGTTCTCCGGTTTCCCCCTCCACATTTAGAATCACGTGCAAAGAGTATTTTACTGCTGCTGTAAATGTCCACTTGAAAAGCCACTTTCGCTACGCAATCATTTGTGATAACCAGATCGCTTCTGAAAAAAAGAGCTGTATAGCTCGGTGCAAAAATAAAAAAAAGTTTGTACTTGTTATTTTTTTAAATGGTTTAGACTTTTTGGTTCTTTCGGTAAAGTCACGTATAACGATAAAATAAGAAATTAAATACTAGCATACGACGTTTCGATTGCAACACAAGCAATAATCATCAGGTATAAATGAAATAGAAACACAAATCTAGTGAACTTCGAAATGTAATGTAATACAACAGAGAGTCGGATAACATAACAGTCAACACCCTACCTGGTTGATTACGTTCTTCCTGAGAATGCTAAATTTGGTTTTGACTCCTGTCTACCGGTGATCCGTACAATGTTCGGTGAGAAATCAAGCCTCGTGGGTCCAATGGAGGAAGACCTACAGGAGCAGATGGAGTGAAATCAGTTCGAACAAGTAACAACAGCGAACAGATCATCGGTGGCTGAAGAAAACAAGTAAAGGCAGCAACACCTAGCCAAAACACTCACTGTGCCCACCTGATTTAAACAACATTACAGGTTTTGCATGGAGGTCACGTACACGACAGTCACGGGAAATCCTGAATTCGAAAAAAACACTCGTACCCATCCTTGCGAATGGTTGTAATATTATCGCCACGCGTCATCTGCCGGAAATATAAATGTTGTGTCAGCATAGCAAGTGTGGGCCTGGGCCGGTGTTGGGTAGAGGGGGGGTGCGATATGGGATGGCGGTGCGTGGACGGGGCGATGTGGGGGAGAGAGAGAGAGAGAGAGTGGCATTGTCACGTCACGGAAACCGTACGTCCCAAATTTCGATAAATATTTTTGTTAAATCGATTTTTTAAAATGGCAAAAAGGGGTGAACTAAAGTATCCACTTGCTTCAACAGCACCCCCGTCCGTCATATCCAATTTTGTGATCCCACTGATTCGGCTACATTTCAGCTTGTGCCACTGCTACCAACGCAAGCAGAACCAACATCATCATCATCAACAGCAGCATCATCATCAACATCATGATCAACATCATCATCAACAGCAGCAGCATCATCAACATCATGATCAACATCATGATCAACATCTATTCTTTGGGTCTTTCGGTAAAGCCACGTAGATAGAAAAAAAATAAACACATAAATATCACGACGTTTAGATCGCCACACAAGCAATCGTCATTACGTTGCCTCAGAGCTGCTGAGGCAACGTCGTGATATTGTTATTATTGTTATTATTTTTTTCTATCTACGTGGCTTTACCGAAAGACACAAATAATATGAATTCCTGCAGTCAGGAAAGCTTTAAGTCCAGATCATCAACATCATCAAAATCATCATCAAAATCATTTACACCATCATCAACATCATCATCAACATCATCATCAACATCATTTACACCATCATCAACATCATCATCAACATCATCATCATCAACATCATCATCAACAGCATAATCAACATCATGAACATCATCATCATGAACATCATCATCAACATCATCATCAACATCATCATCAACATCATGAACATCATCAACATAAGCATCACCAACATAAGCATCAAACATCATCAACATCAACAGCAGCACACCAAATAACGAACCTGTTGTAATTTTTTTTACTATAATTGCCCGCGGGATAATGTTTTTGCATTGATGCGCCACTGTATATGTTAGGGGCAGGAGGCGACTTGAACAGGTGAGGGAGGTTGGGAGGGTGTGAGGGTGGGAGGGGGCTTGAGACCCTTGCTGGGTTCAGGTTACAGACACCAGGTGCGTCTCTCCCCCCCCCCCCCTCTCAATGTCAGCATTAGCAGGTGAGCCGGTCTCTCTTCTCTCCATCTCTCCCGTGTATCTCTCTCCGTCGCATTAAACAAGCGCGGTTCAAAGCTTCCATCTTTTTTCATCTTTTAAAGTAGAATTTTTCTTTAAAAAAATCGTTTTTAAAAGCTTCCATCTTCCTCGCTTTGATCCGTCGAATACAATAAAAATGGCAACAACTATACCGCATTCAGTGGTGTGGGGAATGTTGTGGGCGGGGGTAGGGGTGTCTGAGTGGTTTTATTTGTTGGATTTTGTGAGGAAGACGCTCGGATATTGATCCGCTGCGATAATGGTTTTGTATGAAAGTGTGGCTAGTCTCTGCTAATTAGGGCTTCTTAACTAACCGAGACCACGGTGCGTGCCTGCGTGTTTATCTCACTGGAGATTCATAATACTCAAACAACAACAACAACAAAATACCGTTGTTGTTGTTATCATCGTCGTCTTGTGTCACGCACATTGTGAGTTATGGAGACATCTCAATCCGTTACGCACGCACACGCGCGTGACCATTTGTGGACTGTGTGCACATTCATGTTGGGATCCCGAGTAATGAGACGGTAATTACTGTCAGTCTTTGCGTTGAGCATTGTTATTATTAATCGCCCGTACGTTAAATGCCCACCTGGCGAACCGATTTGGGCTCACCGTGTCTGTCAATGCACGACTTAAGAGGAAGGACTTGTTCGTAATAACATCATTGTAGTATTTGCATTAGTCAGGCGAACGTGAAATAAACTACTTTTTACAAAATGGGGAAAAAAACCCCAGCTAAGGACGAAATTGTTAATGTTGAGGTTAAATAATAAGCATTTTACTGCGACAAATGCAAACGTATTTCAAATATTAATTTTTACATTTTTGGAATTACACTGAAAGACATCACGGGGGAACATGCTATGGGTAAGAAAACATAATCAAGTTGGAGAGACTTCACATTGAGTGTTAAGAAAGTTAAGCAGGCGAGGGCAAGACACATTTACAGAGAGGTATTTTTATTTTAAACTAAACTGTTTTTTTTATTTGACCAAGTAAGGCCCAATGAGCCGTGTAGCTATTTTTCAGAAGCGACCTGGCCACAAATGAGAGCTCAACGAAGTGGCTTATCACGTGGAAATGTAAAGCAGCCAAACACTCTAATCGCGTGATGTTGATGCGAAATGTGGAGGGAAAAACCGGAGGACTCGGATAAAAATCCACGCGCCCACGGAGAAAGAGAAAACGCACACTTCATATACACAGCAGGTGTCAGGGTCGGGATCAAACCCACGACCTCCTGTATACCCGGCGAGATAGTTAACATCTCGCCACGGTGGCACTCCAAATGATGGCCAGCAGGAGATATTGGTGATCTGGATTGGCAACCGAAGGAGAGGACATGCCAGAGAGGACGACCACCACAGGGATGGAAGGGTTAGAACAGCTCATTTGAAGGAGACCTTGAGGGATGGTGAAGAGGTGCGAGAAACCATCATCCAGCAGTGGATGAACCATGGCTGATTCATCGTATTCAACCCTTTGTGAATCTAATACTGGATGAAAGCCTCCTGTGCGTCTTATGTTTGTGCTTAGTTTGTTGTCCTTCCCCCGCATCTCCGATTCGCACAATTGGCTACGTACGGTGCGAAAGAAGTTCACCATACGTACAATTCAACATGCATTAATTATCAGTCGCGGGAGTTGTTTTACCATACTTCACCGCACTGGTCAGCGTGGGTTGGTGAAGGTCCAGATATCAGGACCGGTTATAATTGAATTTGCCACAATGTGAGTATATTCACTGAACCCTCTGTCATCGACTCACTCCGTCTTTCTGGCTTCTATGTGTGCTATGAAGAAGGCTCCCATTGCCCAGTATGCCACCTGCATTTATGTTTAAATTTTTAGGGCGACAACGCTGTTGAGAAATACTGAAGTGGCATTGTTCACCCTTGATCGCTCCGAGGCAGTGGTGAAAAATCCCAGATGAGCGTGATGGGTCCTCAAATTTGTAAAGGTTTTTTTTGTCATTATGTATTAATTAGGTGGGGGAAATACATTGCATTAACCCGAGTTAAAGAGGTGAACAAACAGCGCCCTGGTATCATTACGTGGAAGCGTTTCACGCACTTGTTTAATCTGCGAGCTGGCGACGTGTTTCATCACTGGAATGCCAAATGTTCTCATCAGTTTGCTTGAAGGGCATTGCAAGCGGATAGCAGCCGAGTTGCGAGGAGGCGGCACGCGGATTCCACAGAACCCAATTCGGTAATAACCGGTACCAGGTGTAGTTCCTCTCCGAACCCTCCCACCCCCTCCTCCTCCTCCACCCCCCACGACGTCACCCCCTGCCCTCCCCACCTTGCCTACCCCCCCACCCACCCTCCCTCCGGCCAGGTAATAAAACCCTTCCTCTTACCCGACCACCTTGGGTCAGGCTCGTGACAGCTGAGCGGTGCTCCGAGACGAAAGGGCTGTAGGCGATGGGAGGCCGCACGCAGCTCTATCTGCTGCTGTGGAAGAATTTCGCCCTTCGCAAACGCCAGAAGGTACACGGCGCTCGCTGCTGCGGTCACGCACGCGGTAGCCACTTGCTGCTCTGCTGCTGCTTGCTGTCCAGCCACTCCAACGTGGTGGCCTCGTGTGTAACGATGCTCCCGTGTGTGGGGCCGGCAAACTTGCGCATGAGCGGCTCTTTGGCGATCCCATCCTCCCCTCTTTCGGCTCTTTGGCAGCCGTTGTTTTTGTTGTTGTTGGTTAAACTGAAATCTCAAAACATAATTTGAACGGAAAGAGCAATTGATATTATATGTGGCAGGCAAAGGGTTTGCGACGGAATGATGTCTCGGTGACGATCAGCTGTACAGTATTGTTTAAAATAATAACTACATGGGGGACACATCAACTGAAAGAGACGCACTTTATTCCATCGCCTATTTCAAGTCGCAAGATGTGTTGTCACCTGCTCGCTGTGTCTGTGTACAAGCGGCTCTCCACGTGCGATGCGGTATCTGCTTCTGCTTCTCCTTCTTGGAAGGTTTCCCCCATCCCCTGAAGTGCAGTGAAATCCGCGGAACAATTCGGACGTTGGTTACAACCGAGGTAGCAGAGCTTGTGTCGTAGCCATGTTTTTAAAGGTTTAACAAGCCAGAAACAATATTACTGCTATGATAATTGTTTTTTTCCCTTCTATCTGGCAACAAAACTGAAACTTTTTTACAAGGAGTCATGTTTGCATAGACCGCAATACCTGCAGCCATAATGCAAACAAAAAACATAACTCTGATAATATATGCACTGTCCTTGAAGTTGATTGGTCCACACCCGAGACAGCTTTCCTTAAAGCCTAGTCTCACATGGTGTTGGACCAGATGACGCCAAAAGGCGCAGGTATTGTGGTCAATGCAAACATGACTCCTTGTAAAAAAAGGTGTCAGTTTTGTTGCCAGATAAAAGGGTTTAAAAACAATTATCATATTTTTTACTGGCAAATGAGGTTCCAATGGAATATTACTGCTAATAAAGGCTTTATGGGTTAAGGTCGCGACAGTATAAATCTGTCGTTAACCCACTACCACCACCACCCGACACAGACAATCAGTAAGTTTTGTCACGTAAACAAAACGTGCCAATTAGTTGCCACTGCAACACACCGTTGTGTTTCCGTAAGGCTCGCAAACAGCAGTGAGTGGCTTCATAGCCCGACTCATTCTGTGATGGTTATCACAGAGGTCACGATTATCGGCCACATCAAAGGCATTAGAACCAACTGCAGTTCTAGCCACCCCGAGTGATGTTGACAATTGATACAGTGTAGGGGCTTGTGGATTATTGTCATAAAACATACAAAACTCACGCTGTCATTCTTTAACAAACTCTAAACAAATGCGAGACGTGACGCAGGATGAGTGTGCCGAGATGACGCCACATTTGCCGATGTCCGTCTCGCGTCCTGCTGTGTGCATCTGATAAAACGGCCGAAAGAAAGCCCCCATCACTTCGTGTTGGATGGATATTGTGCCAACATTTTCTTGACTTGACTACAAAAATATAGCTCCCTCCAGATTTGAAGCTTTCGTGACTGCAAGGATTCATATTCTTAGGTTTTTTCGGTAAAGTCACGTTTCCTGCTATAAGTTTTACCCACCAAACAACATAGCAGGAGGCTGTTTCTTCCTGACCTGCTTTTTTGTGCTTTTACCATCTACATGGCAGAGGCTCGGTCTCATTTGCAGCAGTTTGTTATGTAGGCTAGCCGTAGTCTCAAGCCGCACCTTACCATAATAATACAAAGTGTGCCGTTCCTGGCCCTTCCCCCCTCCCCCTCAACCATTATATATACGGAGTGGTATCTCTTGTAATTTCTCATTTACTTGATACAGCTGTCGTGCTGTGACGGTTCCACCTGAAGACGGAAGCTTGTGTTGCCTCCGAAACGTCGTGATTTTTATTTTTATTTTATTTTAATTTTTTACTTTTATTAATTTTTATTGTAATTTTTTTACCTACGTGACTTTACCGAAAAAACCTAAGAATATAGCTCCCTCCCCCTCCCTTCCCAACAGGGCTGCTATTGCCCCTCTGATCCCCTCATTACCGGCGCTAATTTTGTCAGCATCCTCCCTCCTCTCTCTGAGTCTTGGCCTAGTTGACGTTTGCCTCTGGAATATTCAGCGCGACGCTGGCCTCTGTATTTCACGTGGTCATTCTCCGAGTGTGTGCGTGCGTGTACGTGGGAACTTCTTTCGCACCGTACGTCGCCAACCCGCGCTGCATCGGAGGTACGGGAAAGTGTGGGCGACTATTATTGCAGTGGACAATCAATTGGTCGCCCACTCTTTTGTCAGCGGAACGCTCAAATGTGTATTCTTAGGTTTTTTCGGTAAAGTCACGTAGGTAAAAAAATTAAATTAATTAAAGTAAAATAAAAATAAAAATCACGACGTTTCGGAGGCTTGTGTTGCCTCCGAAACGTCGTGATTTTTATTTTATTTTTATTTTACTTTTATTAATTTAAATGTTTTACCTAGTAAAACAAAAATAAAATAAAAATCACGACGTTTCGGAGGCAACACAAGCCTCCGAAACGTCGTTACTTTTATTTTATTTTTATTTTACTTTTATTAATTTAATTTTTTTACCTACGTGACTTTACCGCAAAAACCTAAGAATATGAATCCTTGCAGTCACGAAAGCTTCACATCTACGCTCAAATATGACCGGGCGGCGGAGAACAGTTCTGTAGGCGATGGAAATCCCGTCCCGTGTGATCACGGTCACGCACTGGGGAAACTTCAACGCCTCCAAATTTCAGATTCAGAATTTTTATTTTATTTCGACCGCAGCAGGAGGGGGGGGGGGGAATCCGATGAGCAGTGAAGCCCTTTTCGTTCACAGATGTCTGGTAGGGGGACACGGGCGTCACGAGGTCATTTCTCACGGCATTGAAGGCAGCACGTGGGAGCCCCCCCCCACCCCCGTCTTACCCAGCATTCGTGAGAAAACTTGACATGCCGCATGTCAGTGGCATTGTTGGAAATGTGTGTTTTAAAGCCACGAGTATGGTGAATCTGGCACACCTGATGTTCTATGCGCGTGCCTTTCCTGTGTAGTTTCCGTGCGTGTGCTCTTAATAATTATTTGACTTACTCTTTGTTTTTTTTCGGAATGTCACGTAGGTGAAAACAAAATAAAATACAAATAAAACAACTAAATTAATTACTGTAGCGTACAGCAATTTTTCTGGAGCAGTCACACCTGATGACTGATGCTTGTGTTGCTTCCGAAACGTCGTGATTTAATTTAGTTGTTTTATTTTTAGTTTATTTTATTTAGTTTTCACCTACGTGACTTTACCTAAAAATCCAAAGAGGATGGATCCTTGCAGTCACGAAAACTTCAAATCTAGAAATAATTTGACACTTTTAAAGCACCTTTCACCCAGCATCTGGGTTTTCAATGATTTGATAATAGCTAAATTAGTTTAAATTGTTTTAATTATCTTAGCTCACAAGGCTACTTGGGGGTGAGTAAGTAGGCACCTGCCCAGCTGATGGATTTACCGGTTTTGTAACACATTGCTCCCTAACCACTGCGCAACCGCTCCATCGGCTCCCCGCAATGAATTGGTAATACATAACAATTGTGACCACGGTATCGATATAATTAAAATCACAGTTACCTCCACCGATATGTGAAAAGAAGGATAACTCTGTCGCCGTGACTGTATATGGAGATCGGAGTGGCTGATGGTCCGTAGCTCTGTGTGTGCACAAACCTCCAGGCACTCACTGCTCTCTCTCTGCTCCCCGTCTCGTTATTAAAACGTTAAAAGCGCAGCCCTGCAATCCGCTCGCTCACATCACTGCTGGTGGAGGGGCTTCCACTCGAGGGGAGTCCTGTTGGGAGTGGGGGGGGTAATTAGTCTATGGGGCCGTCCATAAATGACGTCACGCACCTAGGGAGGGGGGGTCAGACATTTGTGACGATGTGTGAGGAGGGATGGAGGGGGGGGGGTTGAGAAATGTGACGTCACATCAAAATGCGCAACTTTAAATAAATATAAACAACACGTTCTACTTAATTAAATATACCTTTTTAATAAATGTTTTCTCCTACAACATCAGAGTGCAGCGCCACATTAAATACGCACTACAATGATAATAGTTTAAAGCGATTTGAAGCATGTTTTTTTTTTTTGGGGGGGGGGCAGAGCTTTGTGACGTCATATTTTAGGGGGGGTCTGACTTTTTGTGACGCCGTGTGACGAAGGGGGGGGGGGTCAAAAATCGTCCAAAATCGCGTGACGTTATTTATGGACGGCCCCTTTGCTTCCTTGAAAGAGGTACCCACAATTCACCCCACCGCACGCGGCTCGCCAATCATCGACGAACTGCGGTGTCCCCGTTTGATCCACTTCCATCATGGTTACATGGTGCAATGTTTCTTGTGCTTTTAGTTTGTTGCCCCCCCCCCCGCGCGCCTGTGATAGGCGCTCTTGGCTACTACGTACGGCGCGAAAGAAGTTCAACGTACAAAACAATGCCAATCTGGATCCTTGTCCCCCGTGGTAATGATGATAATAATTGTGGTGTTGATGATTACACTGGTCAACAACAACAAACAAATTTCCGGCCTGCACTTTTGCAGCTGTTTTAGACTAATTTCAGGGTTCTGATTCCAAATCTGATCTCAGATTTGCTCTATCACATCATTTTTATGCTATCGGTATACCCCATTTTCATTGATTTTACCCGAAATGAACTCCGTCACTTATGATTGCAAGTTGTTGCGAGTCAGTGACTGCTTTAGTGTTAAAATATGGTGCTGTATTTTTAGGATAGAGTGTTTATAATATCATTTTATGTAGATATCCACATTTGTTTAATATTTTTCTTCTGCAGATTTTATTGAAAATGCAATATTTGATATCTCGAAAACCTGATGTGATAGACAAAAAATGATGCCAGATTTGTAATCAGCACCCCAAAATTACCTTAAACCCGTTGGAATACCTTATGCCAGAAAAAGTGTGTTGACCAGTGTTTTTACTTGCTAAAATACGTGGATATTCGGCGTCCCATGGGATTGACCTGGGCTCCAGCAACTGAACCCTTGGATACAAACACCACCGCTCTGGTAACTGTCAGAGGAGGGTGGTGGGGGAGGGGTCGACATCTCGCATAGACCGCGTTCAGTTTTACACAGCCGACGTGAGACCGCGTATCGGAAGTAACACGTCCAGTCAGAGTTCCATTAACACGACGGGCGTGATGTAATGGTTACCACCGCGGTGGTGAGATGTTAACTTCCTCGCCTGATTTGTAGGAGGTGGTGTGGGTTCGAACCCAAGCCTGACGCCTGCTGCTGTATATTTGTGGTTTGCGGTGACTCTCTCGCCGTGGAATTTTCTCCGAATGCTCCCCCGGGTTTTTTTTACTCAACATTTTAGAATCGTATTTGGCTGCTACGCATTTACATACGATCAGCCACTTTGCTGAGCTATCATTTTTGTGGCCAGGTCGCTTTGGAAAAAAGAGTTATTGAGCTCCGTGGATCTTAATTTACCTGGTAAAATAAAAAGTTGGATAGTTTTAATCGATTTATAAACACTGGCCATGGTTATCCAGTTGAAACAATAGTACAAGTTTATTAAATCCCTCCGTCCTTCCCAGCAGTATATACGTAATTGACATAGGCGGAGTTTGACTTTTATACAGGGTGCTTAAAAAAATGTTAACACTTATACGGGACTATCGTTTTTAATGGCCGAGCGAATAATAAACTGTAACATGATAACAAATGTATGTTAATGGCTTCAAAAAGTTAGAGTCTACACTTGTTCACCATCATTGTCAACGCGTGCCTGGAATCTTCTCCAGGTGGTCTCGAGAGCTCGGAGGCCACATTTCTCGTGAAATTGTTGCAAATTCTCCCAAGTGTTAACATTTTTTTGAAGCACCCTGTATCTGGGAGGGGCAGGGGTTTGCTTCGTCCCACCACATTAGGAATAGCGGGTGCACGTAATTTATTTTGTAAATCTTCATTGTAAACTGCTGAAAATAAATTAATAAACGTGTCCACTTTGCAAACTCCGCCCTTGTTAATTGGGTACAACCACATATAGTCAATCATACTCTTAGTTCTTTCGGTAAAGTCACGTAGGTAAAAAATGAAATTAATACAAATAAAACAATAAAAAATAATAAATATTGTTTGATTTTTATTAATTTTAATTTCATTTTTTACCTACGTGACTTTACCGAAAGAACTAAGAGTATGAATCCTTGCAGTCACGAAAGCTTCAAATCTAGATAGTCAATCGCCAGGTACGCGCGTGGTGGGGTAAAGTGTGGGTACTCCCACCTGGGCTAAGAATATCGTCTCGAGGAGGGGTTCTCTCTGCAGAGCGCCTTCTTGTGGTGCCCTAAAGCCAGCAGTGGAGTGAGTCACGGCAATTGCAGGCCTGCGCCTTCAGCTTCCTTTCCTGTTGTACAACTTACGACGAAGAACACGAGGACAGAAACGCCGTCAAATAAAACAACGACGTGTCAAGTGAGAGGAGCCGGTGTGGGCAGCGGTTAGCGCAACTTCGTTTACGAATCCGGCGTCCTGAGTTCGACTTCCCCGGGTCACGGCTAACCTCAGTAGTGAGATCTTGACCGGTTTGGGCCCACCTTTGCCAATGGATACTGACCAGTGTGGTGAAGTATGGTCAAACAACCTGACCGACGCAGCACGGGGTGGGGGTGGGCCTCTATAAAGCCGTGGATTGATTCCCAAGAGCCTTTTCAGGAGGTTCTGCTTGCGTTGTACAGAATAATAAAGACGCCACCATTCGAGAGCGTACAGCATAACCGTGTGTGCTGTTCCCATAACATTGATCTACTCAACAACCCAAACGAGCACTGTACGTCTTCTGTGCAGTCCCCTTTTGTCACTGGCGGATGAGGCCCTATCTATGCCATGCGGGTCGTGGCGGATTGTTTGACCATACTTCACCGGTCAGTGCCACAGTGGCGAAATGTGAACTAGCTCGCCTGGAACACAGAAGGTCGTGGGTTCGATCTCGACCCCGACGCCTGCTGTATATCTGGAGTTTGCGTGTTCTCCCCATGGTCGCGTGGATTTTTTTCTCTGGTTCCTCTGGTTTTTTCCCTCCGCATTTAGAATCAACACGCGTTTTAAAGATGAAATGTCTGCCATAAATGTCCACGAGATGATCGGCCACCACTTCGTTTGGAGCTATCACTCGCGATGGCCAGGTCTCTTCTGAGCAAGAGCCACATGGTTTTGTGGGCCTTACCTGGCAAAACAAAACAACAAATAAGTAATATTTAAATACACTTTTTTTTAAACACGCTTTAATTAAATATACCTGACTAGTAATGGAAGACTCCACGACTCCAGGAAGTGGCCCCGAAGCTTTCCATAACATCAGGGACTGTGGTGATTTACAGCCAACGTCAGTTGACCGTGGCCAATGAGACCCAAGGCGAAACATAACATATAAAAAAGATAGTTTAAAATAATTTATGATATAATGTAGTATTGTCATCAGTATGACATAAGTATACCAAGTTTGCAGTCGATACCATATTGGGAAGTGGGTTAAAATTGAGTTACAAGATTTGAGGATACAACAACAACAACAGACAGAGTGAGTTAATAGAAAGCGTGTAAAAAGAATGTTTAAAAATATATATTTTAATTTTTTATGATAGAATATAGCATTGTCATCAGTGTGACATAGCTATACCAAGTTTGCGGTGAATATCACATTTGGAAGTGGGTTCAAATTGAGTTACAAGATTTGAGGATACGATAACAACAACGACAACAGACAGAGTGAGTTAATAGAAAGCGTGTAAAGATACACTATGAGACCTCCTTTACCAGTGTCAAAATATAGTAATAGGTTTTTACCCTTTCAACTGGTACAAAAACTGACACCTTTATACAAGGGATCATGTTTGCAATAACCACAACACAAGCAGTCAAAATGCAAACAAAAAGAAACAACTCTGATAATGATAATTGGTTTTTTACCCTTTTATCTGGCAACAAAACTGACACCTTTTTTTAAAAGGAGTCATGTTTGCATAGACCACAATACCTGCAGTCATAATGCAAACAAAAACATAACTCTGATAATGCATGCACTGTCCTTAAAGTTGATTGGTCCACACCCGAGACAGCTTTCCTTAGAGCCTAGTCTATACATTTTTACAAGGAATCATGTTGACATGTTGACTCCTTGTAAAAAAGGTGTCAGTTTTATTGCCAGATAAAAGGATAAAAAACCAATTATCATATTTTTTACCGGCAAATGAGGTTCCAATGGTGTAAACTCTGATAAGGATGATATGCACTGTCCTTGAAGTTGATTGTTCCACACCCGAGACAGCTTTTCTTAGAGCCTTGTCTCCAATGTTGTGGTTATTCAAAACATGATCCCTTGTATAAAGGTGTCAGTTTTTGTACCATTTGAAAGGGTAAAAACCCTATTACGTGTAAAGATAGTCAAAAGTTGAGTTTAAAGCCTCCCCGGGTGGAAACGCGGGGATGGTGACAGTGTGACTGAGCCCAGCTGCCTGTTGTGCTGCGTTGCAGGTGCGGGTCTTCGTGGAGTTGCTGTGGCCCCTGTTCCTCTTCCTCATCCTCGTGTGGGTCCGGACAACGACGCCTCCAAGCGCCAACGGGGAATGTGAGTGCTGCAGACGATGAGCGGCCAGCGTTGTCCAACGCTTGTTCGCCCGTGTTTGCGTTCGTAATGAAAGGTTTTTTTAAATCCTTTATATTAAGTTCACTTGCTTGCGCGCTTACGACCGTGCAAATCTTTCGGTCGTTTTTTAACCCACTTCCCGTGATCCAATCGAGCTGACATTTTGCACACAGACTCGTTGTGCGTGACAATTAATGTTCGTGAAATTTTTTTCCAAAATTGTACACTTTTTAGGATTTTATTTTTATTTTTAATTACCAATTGCTTAATGGTGGCAGGCAATCATCTGACCCATAGGTGGCAGCCATCTCAAGCCAGAGGACGAGAGGACTCTAGCCGCCACGCATATAAAGGATTTATAGTGAAAAACTTTGTTTTTACGGGTTAATTTTTTCGTCTTCTGCTTCTGTTGGGGTTAGATGGCGTAAATACAAATGTCTCGTTAAACCCGCCACCACCCGACACGGCCAATTAGTCAGGTGCGTGATGTCACGTAAGCAAAAGGTGCCAATTAGTGACTACTGCAGCAACACAACGCTGTGTTGGGGAGTAAACGCGCAACATTTAAGAACGACGTTTCGCTGGTGATTGCAACCAACTTCATCAGGCGAGCTAACCCAAAAACCTCTCAGGGATACATACGTAGCGCACCTCCGGTTAGCACGGTCGGCTGTGTACGGCGTGAAAGAAGTTCAACACACACACGTGCGTGTAGCTGTCTTCATGAGGAGCTCTCAGCACCTCCAACACAACCGTCTTGGCCAACAAATTTTGACTTAAAACTTTCGTGACTGCAGGAATTCATATGTTTTTGGTTCTTTCGGTAAAGTCACGTAGGTAGAAAAAAGAATACAAATAAAGTGAAAAAAAAATAAAAAACACTAATGTAGACTATAGCCTGGTTCTTAATCTGAGTGAGTGTATGGAAGTCTATAATGTAGACTGTAGCCTGGTTATTAAGTTTGGTGAGTGTACTGACAGTCTATAATGTAGACTGTAGTCTGGTTCTTAATCTGAGTGGGTGTACTGGCAGTCTATAATGTAGACTGTAGCCTGGTTATTAAGTTTGGTGAGTGTACTGGCAGCCTATAATGTAGACTGTAGCCTGGTTCTTAATCTGAGTAGGTGTACTGGCAGTCTATAATGTAGACTGTAGCCTGGTTATTAAGTTCGGTGAGTGTACTGGCAGTCTATAATGTAGACTATAGCCTGGTTATTAAGTTGGGTGAGTGTACTGACAGTCTATAATGTAGATTGTAGCAATGGTTATTAAGCTGAGTGAGTGTACTGGCAGTCTATAATGTAGACTGTAGCCTGGTTATTAAGTTCGGTGAGTGTACTGCTAGTCTATAATGTAGACTGTAGCCTGGTTATTAAGTTTGGTGAATGTACTGCCAGTCTATAATGTAGACTGTAGCCTGGTTATTAAGTTTGCTGAGTGTACTGCCAGTCTATAATGTAGACTGTAGCCTGGTTATTAAGTTTGGTGAGTGTACTGGCAGTCTATAATGTAGACTGTAGCCTGGTTAATAAGTTTGCTGAGTGTACTGGCAGTCTATAATGTAGACTGTAGCAATGGTTACAACGTGCCATTAAACCCAAAAACTCATCGGACAAGCGACCAGAGCAGAGTTCAAGTTCAACGAACACGCCACGGCAACCTGGTTACATGTCGTCCCACACTACATCCCAGGGTTCTTCGCTCATTGTTTCAGAACGGTGCTACACTTTTGCCGATATAATTAATAAGACATCACCAGCGTGCAGGCCAACGCAACATTTTCAAACCACTGGGGCTCTTATGGCAGCATTGAAATATGGTGTTTGAAACCATTGGGGCTCTTATGGCAGCATTGAAATATGGTGTTTGAAACCATTGGGGCTCTTATGGCAGCATTGAAATATGGTGTTTGAAACCATTGGGGCTCTGACGGCGGCGTTGAAACGCGGTTTTTTTTCTGGAAGACTTCGCTGTTTTTTCCTGGATTTTTCTGTTTGCGTGTAAGTCACTTTAAGATGTTTCTTGTTCGTGTTTTTGTTTTGTTGCGGTTGCACCCGAGTCAAGAGCCGCATGGCTCACAGGGTTATATACCTAATACATGAAACTGAAAAACTGAAATTTGGGGGGGGGAGGGGGTGTTTTCACATTTTGTGTGTGTGGGGGGGGCCACATGCCAAGTGGTCCGCGAAGCCTTGCAGTGACCACCACCCTCGCCATCCCATCGTCACCCTCTCCGCCTGTCGTCCGTGTGTCGCGTGGAGCCAGGTCACTACCGCGTGCGGGCGCTGCCATCAGCGGGGCTGTTGCCGTGGCTACAGGGGACAATGTGCGAGCTGGGCACCACGTGCGTGACCAGCCACACGCATGCCGAGGCCCCCGGGGAGGTCAACAACTACAGAGACTCGCTGTAAGAGAGGAGATTATGCATCCTCCTCCTCCCCTCTCCTCCTCTCATCCTCCACCTCCTCCTCCTCCTGCCTGCGTCCGTGTCGTCGGCACCGTCGTTGTCACCGCCGTCATCATCGCAATCATCGTCATAAAAATCATCGTCGAAATAATCATGGCCGTTATCATCGCAATCGTTGTCATGTCATTGTGTCGTCATCTTCTAAATTATTATCATCGCAATCATCATCGTCATCATCGAAATCATTATCATCGCAATCATTATCATCATCATCAATGTGTCCGCCTTCCTGCCATGTCTGTATCATCATCATCATGGCTGCAATCATATCGCAATCAATATCATTATTATCATCATCATTATGGCTGCAATCATCACAATCAATATTATTATCATCATCATGGCTGCAATCATATCGCAATCAATATCATTATCATCATCATGGCTGCAATCATATCGCAATCAATATCATTATCATCATGGCTGCAATCATCGCAATCAATATCATCATCATAATTAGCGTCAACGTCACTGCATCCACCAACACTTTTTGCCACGTCTATATCATCCTGTCGTGTTGTTGTGTGTGTGTTGTTGTTGTCACTTGCTGACCCGTCCCTACTGGACATCCGTAAAGAAGAGCTTCATAGCTCATCGGATTTCTCCTGCAGTCTCAATACAGATTGTGATCGTCGTCATCGTGTCCCCCGTTGCCCCGTGGCTCTACAGTCCATGTCACCGCATGTTATTCCCCCACCACCGCGTCCCACCCACCACAACAACAAACAACAACAACACCCGCCATTCAAGTGGCGATGACGTCACCACGGCGCCTGTGCCAGGCTAAGTGCACTTTGAGGCCACCACGTGAAGTGTCGAAGGCTCGCTGGCAGGAGGAGGCCACGGGACGGGCCCAGCAGGTGCCGTGGGTTGAATTCCGTGGTCGCAGTGCCACGCACACTTTGCCAACCCCGTGTCTCTATGACCCATATGAAAATAAGCCTTTTATTTGTTAATTATGGCGATGATACTCTTAGGTTTTTTTCGGTAAAGTCACGTAGGTAAAAAATAAAATAAAAAATTACTAAACAATAATAGAAATAAAATAATAAATCACGACGTTTCGGAGGCAACACAGCTTGTATTTAAGAACTTGTATCTTGGAATCTTTGCCTAACTTGATACAGTAAATTTAGCTGTGACTGTCCCACCTGATAACGGAGACTTGTGTTGCCTCCGAAACGTCGTGATTTTTTTTTCTATTACAGTGTTACTTTTAGTAATTTTAAATTTTATTTTTTACCTACGTGACTTTACCGAAAAAACCTAAGAGTATGAATCCTTGCAGTCACGAAAGCTTCAAATCCATAATTATGGCGATGTTGCCAATAATGATGGCATTAATGATACACGTGATGATGATTGATTATGATATTGATGATGGCGACTGATTATAAACATGATTTTTTATGACAGTAATGTGGATGACATTGATAATGAATTGCGATGGTGGCAATGGTAATGATTTTCTTTTGAAGGGAGAGTCAACCTAGGAGCAACATCAGACAGGTTATAATTGTATGCTGAGTGGACCTAGAGGAGAGCCCACCCCGGGAACATATAGACTGTGTGTGGTTAGCTGTGTCGCGCGACGCTAAGTTTATTTATTTTAACCAGGCGATGACCTGGGGTCACCAAATAGACAAAAGCAAAACAAATAAAGAATAATACCCTACAGCGATAGAAGTCAGAGCAAAAACAACTTTGTCACGTGAGGACTGAGTGGTTGACTCTGTGGTTGGATCTGTGGTTGACTGTGTGATTGACTCTGTGGTTGACTGTGTGATTGACTCTGTGGTTGACTGTGTGATTGACTCTGTGGTTGACTGTGTGATGGATCTGTGGTTGACTGTGTGATGGATCTGTGGTTGACTGTGTGATTGACTCTGTGGTTGACTGTGTGATTGACTCTGTGGTTGACTGTGTGATTGACTCTGTGGTTGACTGTGTGATTGGATCTGTGGTTGACTGTGTGATTGACTCTGTGGTTGACTGTGTGATTGGATCTGTGGTTGACTGTGTGAATGACTCTGTGGTTGACTGTGTGATTGACTCTGTGGTTGACTGTGTGATTGACTCTGTGGTTGACTCTGTGATTGGATCTGTGGTTGACTGTGTGATTGGATCTGTGGTTGACTGTGTGATTGACTCTGTGGTTGACTGTGTGATTGGATCTGTGGTTGACTGTGTGATTGGATCTGTGGTTGACTGTGTGGTTGACTCTGTGGTTGACTGTGTGATTGGATCTGTGGTTGACTGTGTGATTGACTCTGTGGTTGACTGTGTGATTGACTCTGTGGTTGACTGTGTGATTGGATCTGTGGTTGACTGTGTGATTGGATCTGTGGTTGACTGTGTGATTGACTCTGTGGTTGACTGTGTGATGGATCTGTGGTTGACTGTGTGATGGATCTGTGGTTGACTGTGTGATGGATCTGTGGTTGACTGTGTGATTGACTCTGTGGTTGACTGTGTGATGGATCTGTGGTTGACTGTGTGATGGATCTGTGGTTGACTGTGTGATTGACTCTGTGGTTGACTGTGTGATGGATCTGTGGTTGACTGTGTGATAGATCTGTGGTTGACTGTGTGATGGATCTGTGGTTGACTGTGTGGGTGGATCTGTGGTTGACTGTGTGATGGATCTGTGGTTGACTGTATGATTGAATCTGTGGTTGACTGTGTGGGTGGATCTGTGGTTGACTGTGTGGTTGACTCTGTGGTTGACTGTGTGATTGACTCTGTGGTTGACTGTGTGATTGACTCTGTGGTTGACTGTGTGATGGATCTGTGGTTGACTGTGTGATTGACTCTGTGGTTGACTGTGTGATGGATCTGTGGTTGACTGTGTGATGGATCTGTGGTTGACTGTGTGATGGATCTGTGGTTGACTGTGTGATTGACTCTGTGGTTGACTGTGTGATGGATCTGTGGTTGACTGTGTGATGGATCTGTGGTTGACTGTGTGATTGACTCTGTGGTTGACTGTGTGATGGATCTGTGGTTGACTGTGTGATAGATCTGTGGTTGACTGTGTGATGGATCTGTGGTTGACTGTGTGATGGATCTGTGGTTGACTGTGTGATTGACTCTGTGGTTGACTGTGTGATTGACTTTGTGGTTGACTGTGTGATTGACTCTGTGGTTGACTGTGTGATTGGATCTGTGGTTGACTGTGTGATTGACTCTGTGGTTGACTGTGTGGTTGACTCTGTGGTTGACTGTGTGATTGACTCTGTGGTTGACTCTGTGATTGGATCTGTGGTTGACTGTGTGATGGATCTGTGGTTGACTGTGTGATTGACTCTGTGGTTGACTGTGTGGTTGGATCTGTGGTTGACTGTGTGGTTGACTCTGTGGTTGACTGTGTGATTGACTCTGTGGTTGACTGTGTGATTGGATCTGTGGTTGACTGTGTGGTTGGATCTGTGTTTGAATGTGTGGTTGGATCTGTGGTTGACTGTGTGATTGACTCTGTGGTTGACTGTGTGATTGACTCTGTGGTTGACTGTGTGATTGACTCTGTGGTTGACTGTGTGATGGATCTGTGGTTGACTGTGTGATGGATCTGTGGTTGACTGTGTGATTGACTCTGTGGTTGACTGTGTGATTGACTCTGTGGTTGACTGTGTGATTGACTCTGTGGTTGACTGTGTGATTGGATCTGTGGTTGACTGTGTGGTTGACTCTGTGGTTGACTGTGTGATTGACTCTGTGGTTGACTCTGTGATTGGATCTGTGGTTGACTGTGTGATGGATCTGTGGTTGACTGTGTGATTGACTCTGTGGTTGACTGTGTGATTGGATCTGTGGTTGACTGTGTGGTTGGATCTGTGGTTGACTGTGTGGTTGACTCTGTGGTTGACTGTGTGATTGACTCTGTGGTTGACTGTGTGATTGACTCTGTGGTTGACTGTGTGATGGATCTGTGGTTGACTGTGTGATGGATCTGTGGTTGACTGTGTGATTGACTCTGTGGTTGACTGTGTGATTGACTCTGTGGTTGACTGTGTGATTGACTCTGTGGTTGACTGTGTGATTGGATCTGTGGTTGACTGTGTGGTTGACTCTGTGGTTGACTGTGTGATTGACTCTGTGGTTGACTGTGTGATTGACTCTGTGGTTGACTGTGTGATGGATATGTGGTTGACTGTGTGATTGACTCTGTGGTTGACTATGTGATTGGATCTGTGGTTGACTGTGTGATTGGATCTGTGGTTGACTGTGTGGTTGACTCTGTGGTTGACTGTGTGATTGACTCTGTGGTTGACTGTGTGATGGATCTGTGGTTGACTATGTGATTGACTCTGTGGTTGACTGTGTGATTGACTCTGTGGTTGACTGTGTGATGGATCTGTGGTTGACTATGTGATTGACTCTGTGGTTGACTGTGTGATTGGATCTGTGGTTGACTGTGTGATTGAATCTGTGGTTGACTGTGTGATTAGGTCTGTGGTTGTCTGTGTGATTGACTTTGTGGTTGACTGTGTGATTGAATCTGTGGTTGACTGTGTGATGGATCTGTGGTTGACTATGTGATTGACTCTGTGGTTGACTGTGTGATTGGATCTGTGGTTGACTGTGTGATTGACTCTGTGGTTGACTGTGTGATTGGGTCTGTGGTTGACTGTGTGATTGGATCTGTGGTTGACTGTGTGATTGGGTCTGTGGTTGTCTGTGTGATTGACTCTGTGGTTGACTGTGTGATTGAATCTGTGGTTGACTGTGTGATGGATCTGTGGTTGACTATGTGATTGACTCTGTGGTTGACTGTGTGATTGACTCTGTGGTTGACTGTGTGATGGATCTGTGGTTGACTATGTGATTGACTCTGTGGTTGACTGTGTGATTGGATCTGTGGTTGACTGTGTGATTGAATCTGTGGTTGACTGTGTGATTGGGTCTGTGGTTGACTGTGTGATTGGATCTGTGGTTGACTGTGTGATTGACTCTGTGGTTGACTGTGTGATTGGATCTGTGGTTGACTGTGTGATTGGGTCTGTGGTTGACTGTGTGATTGACTTTGTGGTTGACTGCGTGATTGGATCTGTGGTTGACTGTGTGATTGACTCTGTGGTTGACTGTGTGATTGGATCTGTGGTTGACTGTGTGATTGGATCTGTGGTTGACTGTGTGATTGGGTCTGTGGTTGACTGTGTGATTGACTTTGTGGTTGACTGCGTGATTGGATCTGTGGTTGACTGTGTGATTGACTCTGTGGTTGACTGTGTGATTGACTCTGTGGTTGACTGTGTGATTGAATCTGTGGTTGACTGTGTGATTGGATCTGTGGTTGACTGTGTGATTGGATCTGTGGTTGACTGTGTGATTGGATCTGTGGTTGACTGTGTGATTGGATCTGTGGTTGACTGTGTGATTGACTCTGTGGTTGACTGTGTGATTGACTCTGTGGTTGACTGTGTGATTGGATCTGTGGTTGACTGTGTGATTGGATCTGTGGTTGACTGTGTGATTGACTCTGTGGTTGACTGTGTGATTGACTCTGTGGTTGACTGTGTGATTGGATCTGTGGTTGACTGTGTGATTGGATCTGTGGTTGACTATGTGATTGACTCTGTGGTTGACTGTGTGATTGGATCTGTGGTTGACTGTGTGATTGGATCTGTGGTTGACTGTGTGATTGGATCTGTGGTTGACTGTGTGATTGGATCTGTGGTTGACTGTGTGATTGGATCTGTCGTTGACTGTGTGATTGGATCTGTGGTTGACTGTGTGATTGGATCTGTGGTTGACTGTGTGATTGACTCTGTGGTTGACTGTGTGATTGACTCTGTGGTTGACTGTGTGATTGGATCTGTGGTTGACTGTGTGATTGGATCTGTGGTTGACTGTGTGATTGACTCTGTGGTTGACTGTGTGATTGACTCTGTGGTTGACTGTGTGATTGGATCTGTGGTTGACTGTGTGATGGATCTGTGGTTGACTGTGTGATTGGATCTGTGGTTGACTGTGTGATTGACTCTGTGGTTGACTGTGTGATTGACTCTGTGGTTGACTGTGTGATTGGATCTGTGGTTGACTGTGTGATTGGATCTGTGGTTGACTGTGTGATTGGATCTGTGGTTGACTGTGTGATTGGATCTGTGGTTGACTGTGTGATTGAATCTGTGGTTGACTGTGTGATTGGGTCTGTGGTTGACTGTGTGATTGGATCTGTGGTTGACTGTGTGATTGGATCTGTGGTTGACTGTGTGATTGGATCTGTGGTTGACTGTGTGATTGGATCTGTGGTTGACTCTGTGATTGGATCTGTGGTTGACTGTGTGATTGGGTCTGTGGTTGACTGTGTGATTGACTCTGTGGTTGACTGTGTTATTGGATCTGTGGTTGACTGTGTGATGGATCTGTGGTTGACTGTGTGATTGACTCTGTGGTTGACTCTGTGATTGGATTTGTGGTTGACTGTGTGATTGGATCTGTGGTTGACTGTGTGATTGGTTCTGTGGTTGACTGTGTGATTGACTCTGTGGTTGACTCTGTGATTGGATCTGTGGTTGACTCTGTGATGGATCTGTGGTTGACTGTGTGATTGACTCTGTGGTTGACTGTGTGATTGACTCTGTGGTTGACTCTGTGATTGGATCTGTGGTTGACTGTGTGATGGATCTGTGGTTGACTGTGTGATTGGATCTGTGGTTGACTGTGTGATTGACTCTGTGGTTGACTGTGATTGACTCTGTGGTTGACTGTGTGATTGGGTCTGTGGTTGACTGTGTGATGGATCTGTGGTTGACTGTGTGATGGATCTGTGGTTGACTGTGTGATTGACTCTGTGGTTGACTGTGTGATTGGATCTGTGGTTGACTGTGTGATTGGATGTGTGGTTGACTGTGTGATGGATGTGTGGTTGACTGTGTGATGGATGTGTGGTTGACTGTGTGATGGATCTGTGGTTGACTGTGTGATGGATCTGTGGTTGACTGTGTGATTGAATCTGTGGTTGACTGTGTGATTGGATCTGTGTTTGACTTTGTGATTGACTCTGTGGTTGACTGTGTGATTGACTCTGTGGTTGACTGTGTGGTTGGTTCTGTGGTTGACTGCGTGATTGACTCTGTGGTTGACTGTGTGGTTGGTTCTGTGGTTGACTGTGTGATGGATCTGTGGTTGACTGTGTGATTGGTTCTGTGGTTGACTGCGTGATGGATCTGTGGTTGACTGTGTGATTGGATCTGTGGTTGACTGTGTGATGGATCTGTGGTTGACTGTGTGATGGATCTGTGGTTGACTGTGTGATTGGATCTGTGGTTGACTGTGTGATTGGATCTGTGGTTGACTGTGTGATGGATCTGTGGTTGACTGTGTGATTGGATCTGTGGTTGACTGTGTGATTGACTCTGTGGTTGACTGTGTGATTGGATCTGTGGTTGACTGTCTGATTGACTCTGTGGCTGACTGTGTGATTGGGTCTGTGGTTGACTGTGTGATTGACTCTGTGGTTGACTGTGTGAATGACTCTGTGGTTGACTGTGTGATTGACTCTGTGGTTGACTGTGTGATTGACTCTGTGGTTGACTGTGTGATTGGGTCTGTGGTTGACTGTGTGATTGACTCTGTGGTTGACTGTGTGAATGACTCTGTGGTTGACTGTGTGATTGACTCTGTGGTTGACTGTGTGAATGACTCTGTGGTTGACTGTGTGATTGACTCTGTGGTTGACTGTGTGATTGGATCTGTGGTTGACTGTGTGATTGGATCTGTGGTTGACTGTGTGATTGGATATGTGGTTGACTGTGTGATTGGATCTGTGGTTGACTGTGTGATTGGGTCTGTGGTTGACTGTCTGATTGGATCTGTGGTTGACTGTGTGATTGGGTCTGTGGTTGACTGTGTGATGGATCTGTGGTTGACTGTGTGATTGGATCTGTGGTTGACTGTGTGATTGACTCTGTGGTTGACTGTGTGATTGGATCTGTGGTTGACTGTGTGATTGGATCTGTGGTTGACTGTGTGATTGACTCTGTGGTTGACTGTGTGATTGGATCTGTGGTTGACTGTGTGATTGGATCTGTGGTTGACTGTGTGATTGACTCTGTGGTTGACTCTGTGATTGGATCTGTGGTTGACTGTGTGATTGGATCTGTGGTTGACTGTGTGATTGGTTCTGTGGTTGACTGTGTGATTGGATCTGTGGTTGACTGTGTGGTTGACTCTGTGGTTGACTGTGTGATTGGATCTGTGGTTGACTGTGGTTTGCGTGCTGCTAGGCTGTCCCGGGTGCTGGTGGACACGCAGGGCTTGCTGATGAACGACTCATTCTGGCGCAGCCTTGAGACCGTGTGGGTGAGCAGAACATCAGCCATGGGGCTCGCCAACGTCATCCTGACCGACCCAAGGGCTTGGACCGGTGGGTGGACACACACACTCTTGTGCGTGAGTATGTATGGTGCAGCGTTGGAGGCAGACGCCTTCCATCAGAGGGGCAATGCTCACAACGAGCGGAGCGCCGTGCCGCTATAACACAGCCATTTGGCATAGTAGGGGGCACAGATGGTGCGTCGGTTAGTCATCTCAGTCGGTCAAGCCAGAGCACTTGAGTCTGTCCTCTTGCCAGCGGGAGTTCTCCATTTCACATGACCATAAAGTGCACCTGGCCTGGCACAAGCGCCGTGGTGACGTCACCGCCACTTAGTGGCGAATGGCGCTTGTTGTTGTTGATGCTCCAGTGGGGAGCGGTAGTGCAAGAGTTAACACGCCGAACTTCAAACCCAGAGACCCGAGTTCGATTCCCGCTCACCATCATCACCAGTGATGATTATCTGAACCGGTCCTGGGTCTCTCCTCGGTCAACTCTGCCTCAAATGAGTACCTGGTGCGATGTGTAAAAATAACTTCACCGCTAGGTCGTGGTGCTGGCCACCCACCCCCTCGTGTGCCGTGCTGGCCTCCATAGGTGCTCGTGAACAGCACTTGCCCCACCAGTCTGTGTCGGCTATGTTTTGTATGTACATGAGGCATGTCTAGATACGTGCATGGTCAAACAATCTCCATGACCAACACATGGCCAACCCTTCATTCATTGGTGGAAGAATAGAGCTGTGAAATGTTTTTCATATAATAATAAGAAATACAATTTTCAGCTTTTGTAAAACCATACCTGTACATGCAACGCACACAACCGCTGTAGTTTAACATTGCTAAGAAAGTCATCAGCCTGATTACAATTTAATGTTTTCTAAAGTTCAATCAAATAAAAAAAATGTACAGCCCTTTGGCAATCCACTGCTGGATGGAGGCCTACCCATGCCATGTCATGTAGTGAAGGTTTGTTTGACCATACTTCACCACCCTGGTCAGTGCACCTCCGATGAGCATGGTTGGCTTCGTACGGTGCGAAAGAAGTTCACCGTACATGCATACCTAAAGTTGTGTGCTCAGGAGCGACTCCGACATTGTTTGCCACCGATGTTAACAGTCATGAATTCAGCGCAGCGCGCTAACCGCTGCGCCACCACTCACTCCATACACAGTCAAATCAGGCATGCAAATATCCATTGGCACTTTTGTGAATGAGATCGTGTTCCCTCTGCCCAGTTACGTCTCTCCCTCTCATGTCCCCTCCTCAACCCCCACCAACTGCCACGCTCTCGGTTTCAGAATCCACAGACTTATTTCCGAACATTCAGGTTTTTATCTTTTTGTCTCGTCAAAGGCAGTCACGCAACCTCGCACGACGTGCTGCCGTGGAGGAACGCTGCTGGCGTGGCCTCGTTATTTTGAAACGACGCGTCACCTTCCGCTTGATTTCACATGCTCTTGTGCCGCATCACGCACCGCCACCCCCTCCCCCAGTTGAACTTTTCCTTGCCTTAACTAAATTTCCCCTTCTGGGTTCTACGGAGTGATTTGGCGCCATCATGTCAAGCCCCCCACCATCTCTGTATTTGTGTGCGGTGGTTTGAACGCTGCGTGACCCGAGTTCGATCCCTACTCGAGACCAATAACAATGGCGAAATATCTTAAATCGGTTATGCCCCCCCCCCCCACTTCCCCCTCTGAGTTCGACTCAGCCTTAAATGAGTGCCTGGCACGGTGTTCACACATCCGCCGCCGGAGAGACAAAGGCGTCCAGGCGTCGTGCCGACCGCCCACTCCCTCCGTTTGCAGTGTCACCCTCCGTCGGTGCTCGCTAACAGCACTTGCTGCGATGGTCCGTGCGGGCTACGCGGGTGACCTTTGACCTTGTTGTTTCGTCGGCAACAGGTAACATCGTGCTACAGAATGTGCTGGTGGACAGCTCCCCGCTACAAGCCTACATGAAGCGAAACCTGTCCTTTCCGGACTGGGCCGTGTCGGACCTGATGGCCGTGCAGATCCGACCCCAACCGGTGAGAGACGGAGATAATGAGCACGCGTACAGCCCGTGATATCTTCCGTTCAGCCGCGTGTGTCCCAACAACAACAGCAGCAGCAAGCGGTGGGCTGAGCCGTTCGCACGAAGGGCTACAATTTTGTCAAATCGCCCCCGATGAGGCTGGTTGTGATTGCCAGCGACATGTCACAGTACTCAACACGCCAGCGGTTCGTGCTCAAGTAGTCACTCATTGGCACGTTTTGTCGACGTGACAAACCTTCCTGTTTGGCGGTGTCAGGTGCTGGTGGGTTAATGACACATTTATATTTACGCGATCTAACTAAAAAAACTACTTTTTTTTTATGAAGCACTATTTTGATATTTCACCGCGGCCTAGGTGTGCGTTCGCCGTTGTGCCACTGCTGCCACTGCTGCTGCTGCTGCTGTGTGTATCTCTCCACCGTGCTTTCCATTCATACCCCCGCGTTGCTCGGTATGATGTCCGACGTATCGCTCCACGTGCCGGGACACGTTTCGGGGACGCCGAACTCGCTTCCTAAAATGTTCACGTTTCTACAAAACCTGGAAACGCACTGAAGAACTTGGAATCCCGGCACTGGTTCCGTGTTTTTCCAATCTGATGATTGTGAATCCCCTGAGCTACGTGCGTCCCTGATGATCGTACAGTGTGTATATATATAGGGCCATGGGCGGAGTTTGGGGGGCATGGGGGAGGGGTGGCAACACCTCCCCCAAACTGGACACCTTCATGAATTTATTTTCAGTAGTTTACAAGTAAGCTTAAAAACAAATACATTTGATGCACCCAGTGATTCCTAATGTGAGGGACAAAGCGAACCCTCCCCCCCCCCCCCCAAATATAGAAGTAAAACACCGCCTATGTATAGGGCTCAATTTCTCATTTAATATTTCTCCGGGTCGCTGGTAGACTGGTAGTAGGTGGCACGTGACTTGTGACCATAGCCACAGCGAGTGGTCTCCTGGACGTGGTGTGCCGTGTGCCGAAATATATTTTCTGGGTCGCTGAACCCAGACACACCCGGCTGAACTGAAGCCCTGATTGTGTAGTGTTGTGTCCGCGGTTGGTTCAGGTGAGCATTTTCCTGCTTTTGGGGAAATTGAAATCTCTTCTTTTACGTGTTTTTTTTTCTTCGATGTTTAGAATTTTTTTATTTTGAAATGCATGTTTCAGTTGCGACGTCAGCGTCGTGCAGTTCACAACTCTTACGGCGAGCAGTGTACCACGGCCTGTCAGATAATGGCACCGCAAGATGATTGCCGCCAAAGTCACTTCAAGAGACCTGTTTATCCGCACCAGGAAAACAACTTTGATATGCCCTGCCAGTATTGTTGATTGAAGACAGTGAAAGCATGTTTTATTTCTCCTCCTCCTCCAAGGCGGAGTAAGTTAAGTAAAAAACAGACTTGGCAATAGCCACAGTTTGGATTTATACGGTGTCCTATATGCAATTGAATCTTAATACACTGTCCAGACATAGTGGAATCATTTCATTTTGGGCAGGGCGAGGAGGGAGGGGGGAGGAGTTACATCAATTGTGACCAGGCTGAAACCATCAGCTCACGACCCTGATAACCGGTTTCAGCACGAGTGGCCGAGATTCAAAATTAGAAACCCAAGATTCCAGCAGCGCCGGCTCAGTCGTCTGACCCCAGAGCCGCCGTCACCTAGACACCTTTGCATCGTAATGCGAGAAATGTGTGTGGCAGATAAGGCCACACACATTTTAAAGATGAACAATGATCTGTTGCTTTATTGAGGGTAGGATTTGGGCAACACTGCAATTGATTGCTCGTGCCACTGCTGGCACAAGGGCCTAGAACAGACGGAGCTCTGGTGAGCTCCGTCTAGAGCAGTGGCTCTTCACCTGGGGTGCGCGCCGCAGCCCCTGGGGGTGCGAGATGCCCTTTCTGGGGGTGCGAGACATGGACAGATTTTTTTTAGAAGGCAAATAATCGAAAACACAAATTAAGCATGGGCACGTAAGTACAACTACTTTTGTTTTATTAAACCTATGTATTTATTCACATTATTTTTTAAAAATAGGATTGAGAACCCAAGGGGTGCAGACTTTAGTAAAGGTAAAAAACCACTGATCTAGAGGGTACTTGGCCTGCTCTTTCCCCCTGGCCAGACCCCTTGAGATGCAGTGGGGAGCACCTACACTTTATCCCACTGCATGTGATCTGCCCAAAAACTCACTGTGGTGAACACAATTATACCCCTGCATTGACACGGGCGATGCAGACTTAAGAAACTTGCACCATTGTCACGCTTGCCATGCCCTCAAGTCCAGTGTAGTAGCCACTACACCGGCCCTGGCGCTGGCTCTCTAGCGGATTCCATCTCTCGTTGTCCCCGGCACGGCATTCGTCCCCGAGAGCCACCCAGCCTCCACCTTTTCCGTCCTCGCTTTGTAACGAGTCCCGCGGTGGCAGGGCACTTTGTGCTACCTGCCTGCGTACGAGCGAGCGAGCCAAATATCAAGAAAAGGGAGCCTTTTGCCCGGGAGGCCTCATCAAGAAATGCCGCCGGAGTCGCCCGCTGCCCAACAATTAGCCTAACGAGCGAGCCAGTCGTCCCCTGTCGTGGCTTCATCGTGCGAGGGAGCCACCGAAGATCGCCGCGTGCGATGAACGTGCCGTGACTCGGCATCCTCTTTTTTTCGATGCGCCGCCTCCCGCAAAGGGTTTTGTTGCCGTTGTTGTTAAGAGCGGCCAAGTGTGGTTTGCTAGCTGTGAGTGTCATCGATTCTGACCAGGAGTTCACTCTCTCGGTGGCCTAAAGTGCTTCGGAGGGACCAGAAACGCGTCGGGGTGACAGCGCAGCAATGTAATCACGAAGATAGCGTCACCAAGTTAAACCCGATTTAAAGCTTTCGTGACTGCAGGGATTCATCTTCTTGGTTCTTTCGGTAAAGTCACGTAGAATGGAAATAATAAAATAATAAAAATTACATTCAAATAAAAGCGTAATAAAATAATTCTCACGACGTTTCGGCCACAACGCAAGCAGCCGTCCTCAGGTGGAGAACAGGTCTGTCGAGAAGACAGAGTCTCCACCTGAGTATGGAGTGGTTCGCCCACTGTGCTATATGAATTGAGCAGTCCTGAGTATGTGTCCGTTCCGTGGTTAATATCAGCGGCAAGTGATATCTAAACTGATCCTGGGTCGCACACAATTTTTGGGCGACCCCTTTTGGTCAGGTTGGCCCGGGTTGTCACTTGAGGTGGCTCACTGCAATAGCAAAAGGCAACTCCGTGCCGGGGTTTTGGCACGTGCTGTGGATGATCCTCACGAAATGGCGTGTCACCCCCACCTCCAGCCTCCCCGGTAACAGACGGACGGGATGGGCAGTCAAATAAACCTCCGTTGGAAAGCCTGCTAAATAAAGACGGATTATTAAACGTATGGTCCGTTCGGGAGAAAAAAAACGTCATTATTCCAAAGAAAACGTACAAAAAAAATGTATAATGATCCTCGCGCGACAGAGTACGTTCGGCGGGGTCTGGCTTTTATTTTTATTTTTTCATTCGTCCAGCCCCAAGAAGGAGCAGATTGCAGAGCGCCGCGTCTCTATTGTGATCGCGTAGAGGGAAGGGCGTCTTTGTAATTGAAGAGGGGTACGGGTGGCGAGGTCTAATGGCCACCATTGTGTCAGCAGCTTTAATTAAAGTGGGCTACGACTGACTCGTCAGCTGCTTTTCTTTTTCTCCCGAGCAGCCTTTGTTGTACGCACCTGCTCGAGCTTTTCAATGCAGCCCATTAAGAAGTTAAATCGATAACTCGTCGATCGAGGTGGGTGATCGATCGCGGTGGCCACCTTCAGAACTGCTCGTTGTTTTGTTTAGCTTGTTTATATTCCCCCCCGCACCTCCCGAGTTAATACTCTCGGCTACGTACGGTGCAAAAGAAGTTCAACATACGTGTGTGTGTGCAGTATGGTGCGTGTAGGGTGATGGGTGGTGTGTGTGCAGGAGGGTGTTTGCAGGATTGTGTCTGTAGGGTGGTGTTTAGAGCATGGCTCTTGACTAACCGTAACTTTTTTTTGCCGATCCTGAACTTGTGTCCAGCCACTTGTACCTCGCAGGGCTGATGACGCAACCAGTGCCGGATTATCCTAGTAGCAAAGTAGCTACATGTGTAGTAGCTACAACACGTGTAGTAGCTGCACGTGTAGTAGTAGCTGCACGTGTAGTAGCAGCTGCACGTGTAGTAGCAGCTGCACGTGTAGTAGCAGCTGCACGTGTAGTAGCAGCTGCACGTGTAGTAGCAGCTGCACGTGTAGTAGCAGCTGCACGTGTAGTAGCTACGGTCCCCGCACTTTCAAGGGCCCCGCGCTAAATGCTTTCAAGCTATCAATTCCGGTTCAGTGATTCTGCACTTGCTCTATTACTATATTACTATACCACCTTCAACTTTTACGAACGACTGGGTGTTTAAGGTTAGCGATTTGTCGTATTATCTGGCTGTATAGCGAATTAAAACATACAATTTATTTACCATTCAAGTAAAAAAATGTGTGTTTTAATATTTTTTTTTAGGGCCCCTTAATAACATTTGCTACAGGCCCCATACTAGCTTGATCTGGCACTGGGCGCGATACAGCCGTCAGAAAATCACACTTAAGGTGGCGCACACGCGTTGAACGGTGTCACAGAATCCGCGCGGAATGAGCGATTTTCTTTTTGTCTAATTACATTCCTCGCCCTCTCGTGTCGTTCGCCGTCACAGTTCCTGGCTCTGTCGCTGGCGCAACGGCTGAGTCCGCGCGCGCTCGCGTGCAACACCTCCCTGCAGAGCCTGGTGCTGGTCATCGGCTCGAGCAACCGGAGCTCGCTCGTCAATCTCACATGCTCGCTTTCCGATGAGCAGCTCCAGGGATTCGCGGCCGCCGCGGCCTTAAGCGTCAACGCGAGTCGCCTCTCCACGCAGGTGAGCCGGCCCCAGGGGGGGGCGGCATTCGGGTGCATTTAAAATACATCGTATACTACATAACGGCATTGTAATGCATTTAAAATACATTATATAAGACTTAGCAGCATTGTAGTTGCATTATCGTGCATTTAAACTACATTATGGACTTCATAACGATATTCTCCTGGTATTATAGTGCATCTAAAATACATTATATACTACGTAACGGTATTCTAGTGCGTTCCCCATGCATTATGTACCGCTCGAATTCAACGTGACGTTCTCGTGCTTGCATTCACTGCAGCCTGGTTAGCATGGGTCCTGTTACAAGAATTAAAAGGGTCATCCCTCCCCCCCCTCTGTCCAATGAACTTCCATTTCCTGGCCCAGCGTCAGTGCAGTTGCACCGCCTGCACTACACCAACTTATCCTTTATCGCGATTCAACGCCTTGCCCCCCGCCCGTGTGTGTTGCAGGTGATGATGTCGCTGAACAGGACGGTGAGTGGGCAGCTCCTGGGCCTCGTGGGTACCCTGGGCCCGAGTCTCGGCATTCTTCAGCAGCAGGTATAGTACAAACAAAAGCTCTTCGGTGAGCCACACATCAGAATCCGAATTTTTTTTGTTACACTGGAGGAGGAATCCGATGAGCTACGTAGCTCTTTTATCACAGATGTCCGGGCAGGGGGCACGGGGTAAGAACGTTACAACAACAAACAAGACCAAAAACATAATGGGAGTGCACGGTACAAGAAAGGTAAGCAATACATATAAAACTAAACTATTCTAATCTTATCAGAAAAAGCCCACTGAGGCATTAACTTCTTTTTCAAAAGCAACCTGGCCACAAAGGTCAACAAAGTGACTTATCATTTGGACATTTATAGCAGCGAAATGAACACAAATGAATAACAACAAAAATAACATGCGCCATGAGAATAATAATAATTTCAATGTATCAAGAGACCATCATTCTGAGTGATAGTTGACATTGGCTGTTTTGGTTATTACACCCACAGTCTAAACCGGTTCCCATTTGCGTGGGTTTTGAAAACTAAGAATAGGTTTTACGATTTCTGTCAATAAAACAGGAGGTATGTCAAGATGTTCAAACACCGAACCTTTTGTAAATAATCAAGTCCGCATTAATCACACGTACTTGTGGCGAACACGCCAAAAAAACCCTGATAAGAAATGCGTTGTCTTTGAAACTGATTGGCCTACACCAGAGACACTCTTAAATTTCGATTTAAAGCTTTCGTGACTGCAGGGATTCATCTTTTTGGTTCTTTCGGTAAAGTCACGTAGAAGGGAAGTAATAAAATAATAAAAATATAACATAATAAAATAATTCTCACGACGTTTCGGCCACAACGCAAGCAGCCGTCCTCAGGTGAAGAACATGTCTGTCGATAAGACAGAGTCTAAATGACACGTCTTAGGCTTGGAGTGTCTATTTAAGCTGTGAGGGAGGAGGAAGAGAGCCTTGACAAAAGAATTTGCATTTCCTCTTCAAATGCAAATTCAAAGCCAGCAGAACCAATCCTTACAGCTGTCACCTTTCCATTACATCAGGGCCACGCCCCTAGGCTTCCCCCCCATTGGCTGTAAACCAGGACCGGCAGAGCCAATCATCATGACGAGTTGTGATACGTCAGTGAGCCGGATATATCCTCACATTACATCATTATATGCATGGGTTTTGTTTTGTGTTTTTAATGCCCGAAACAGGTGATGGGTCTTGACAGTTTGAAGACTGTCATGGGCGGACTGGGCGGCTCTACTGGCTTCTCGCTGTCACAGCTGATGTGCGGCAGCAGTGGGGGGCTCAGCTTCCTGGACAACTTGGGGTCCTCAAACACCTCCAGCTCGGGAACATCCGGAGGAACAACCACCACAACCACCAAGAGCCAGAACTCGAGCTCCACAGCCAGCGCCGGCAGTACGAACGTTGCAGTCACTTCGTAATGCACATGTTCACTCAAGTCGATCGCTCGTTCACTCGCCGGCAGTCGCCGTACTGTCACTCTTCTAGTAATAGGTGTTTACCCTTTTATCTGGCACCAAAACTGACACCTTTATACAAGGGGTCATGTTTGCAATAACCACAATACTTGCAGTCAAAATGCAAACAAAAAGTGACAACTCTGATAATGATATTGCACTGTCCTTGAAATTGATTGGTCCACACCCGAGACGGCTTTTCTTAGAGCCCAGTCTCACATGGTGTTGGACCAGATGACGCCAAAAGGCGCACAACTCCAAAACAGCGCACTATCAGAGTATTTTTGTGGTCCAACACCATGTGAGACTCGGCTCTAAGAAAAGCCGTCTCGGGTGTGGACCAATCAATTTCAACGACAGTGCATATCATTATCAGAGTTGTTTATTTTTGTTTGCATTTTGACAGCTTGTGTTGTGGTTATTGCAAACATGACCCCTTGTATAAAGGTGTCAGTTTTGGTGCCAGATAAAAGGGTAAAAACCTATTACTGTATCTTGCTACTGGTAAAGGAGGTCTCATAATGTCACTCTTCTATCGCTACTATCACGGTTGTTGCTGTTCTCGTGAGCTTCACTCACCGACTACTCAACCCATGCAGAGGATTCATCTTCTTGGTTCTTTCGGTAAAGTCACGTAGAAGGGAAGTAATAAAATAATAAAAATAAAACATAATAAAATAATTTATTTTTATTCTTTTATTACTTCCCTTCTACGTGACTTTACCGAAAGAACCAAGAAGATGAATCCCTGCAGTCACGAAAGCTTTAAATCGAAATAAAACCATGCAGAGGACTCGGTCCTGTAGACTGGCTGTTACACGCCATCCACGCTGCGTTCGTTCAACCTCGCAGTGCTCAACTTCGGAATTATCTCCAACTGTCTCTTTCCCCAAGTTAAAAAAATAAATACCAAGTCTTATCCACAGAATTACAACTTTAACATTTAATAGTGCTGATTAATGTATCGTGGCTAGACCTAGTCTAGGCCTAGCTTAGGCCTAGTAACCACTATAGGCCCGACCTATAGAACCACGCAGAGCGCTTGAAACCCCAACGTGCTAAGAAGCTCCACCGCAGTGGTACGAATACGTTGGGCGTAGCGTAAGGCAAGTGGGACGTCAACTGAACACAAGCCTCAAAAATCACCTGCGAAACCCGGTCTCCTAAAGTAGCCCCACTTCCTGTTCCTCAGTCCCTTGGTGTTCACGACCATTGGCACAGATCTGCTCCTGCCCTTGCGGCCTCCAGACTGTGTCCTACTCCTCTCTTCTACTCTGGGGCTGTTTCTCCGTGAGCTCCCTTGACCCTTTCCCGTTTTTGAGATGGCTGCAAGTGGCAGGGTGTGTGGGTGTCCCGTTCGCCGTCGAATCTCGGGCAAGTGGCTCAGCGGTAATTTCATTTGGAGACGCATAGCGCCGCTGCTTTTAAAGACATTGCATGCACCGCAGAGAACCGAAGCAACATGACCGCCGCCAAACTGTGCCACATGCCCTCCCACATGGCTTTGTGCGAGCCTCGGTACCGATGTTTTATTTCCAGAATCGGAAGAAGAAAAACGATCATGTAGACGTATGTCACGGGAAGGGGGAAGGGATATGGTCGCGGTTTGTCTTCCACAGACTCGTTGTGCGCCAACCTCATCAGCATGGCCGAGTCGTCGGCGGCCACCAAGATATTGTGGAAGATGTTCAAGCCCTTCCTGCTTGGCAAGATCCCCTACACGCCAGACACCCCTGCCGTGCGTGCCATCCTCCAGCAGGTAGGCATCGCGGTGGCGAGGATGTTAACTCCCTCGCCTGGTATACAGGTTGTCGTGAGTTCGATCCCGATCCTGACACCTTTTGCACATTTGGAGTTGCCTGTTTTCTTTCTCTATCCGTAATCGTGGGGATTTTTCTCCCGGGTCCTCCAGTTTTTCCCTCCACATTTAGAATCAACGTGTGTTTTAGAATATTTGGCTAATCTACACTTGCACATGATGATAAGCCACTTTGTTGTGCTATTATTTGTGGCCAGGTCGCTTCTGAAAAAGAGCTGTATAGCTCAATGGGCCTTACCTGTTAAATAAAGAATAGTTTAGTTTTTAGTTTTAGGTAGACACCCCAGATGAGGTGATGGCTTTTATTTTTATTTCATATATTTTTTTCGTCTTAATTATTTTGAGCGTTTTAAAATGTATACGCAGATTTTTTGTTTTTGTTTTGTTTGAGGGCCCCAATACCAGATCTATTATTTCGTACATTTTCTAACATTCGAGGCACGGGCTGCCGCCTCGGCATGTGTCCTTGGTTGAGTCTCCCAAACATTGGGCAGCTTCGATTGGTCGAGGTTGTTGGATTTTATCTGTCTTTGATCGATCGGTTGGGGCCTCTTGCAGGCGAATACGACATTCGAGGCTCTCGCCATGCTGGGGAGACTGGGCGTCGCCTGGGACACGGTGTCGCCTGCCCTCTACAACTTCTTCAGCAACAGCTCCGAGCTGCAACTGCTTCGGGTAACTCGGCTTCATTCGCACATCCTCACGGCCGTCCCGGCCAACTCTCCGATGTGTTTTTCGGGCCACGCCGCCGCGTCTTGCTTGGCATGACGTTCTTGAACACCATACTATGCTCACACCGACAACAATACAAAGGTCCCCCCCGACAACCTGAACAGACTGTTTGGGCAAGTGCCGTTAGTGAGCACATAATGAAGGCCGGCACGGCACACAAGGGGGTGGATGGCCAGCACCACGCCAGGCCGCCTTTGTCTCAACAAGTGGCGATGTTTACACATCACGACAGGTACTCAATTTGAGGCTGAGTCTACCTAGGGGAGGCCCATGACCAGTTCAGATAATCGTCACCAGTGTTGTTGGCTGTGAGCGGGAATCAAACTTGGGTTGCCGGGTTTGTAGCGCAAGCGCACTAACTGCTACACTGCCAATCCTCTCCCCACACGCTCGCACTCGCACACGTTTGTCCACCGCAGGGTGCCCTGGCCTCGCCGATGGTGGCCAGCATGCTGGACCCCGCACTGAGCGGCTCCGGCTTCACGGCCGCCGGCCTCTCCACTTTCTTATCGGGCGGCAACGGGACAACGTGGAGGAGCATCATGGGCAGCATGGGCAGCGTCCTGCACACGGTGTCCAGCTACGTGCAGGTGTCCACTGCCGCGGCCGCCACGGCCACCAGCGTGCCCACTGCGATAACAGACGCACGTTTAAAGGCATTTGGCCCAGAGGTCGCAAACGGGTTTTGATTCCTTACCCGTACCCGTACCCGGCCGCACCAGGGTCGCAAATGGGTACCCGTACCCGTACCCGGGTACCCGTACCCTACCCGAAGTGAGTGACAAACGGTTACTCACCAGTGACTCACGGCCTGCCCGTACCCGGCCGCACCAGGGTCGCAAACGGGTACCCGTACCCGGCTGGGTACGGGTAGCCGGGTATCGGGTACGGGCACGAGTATCGGGTACCCGGTTGCGACCTCTGATTTGGCTGCTATACATTTCCACACGTTTACGGGCCAAGTGGCGAGTCATCTCATATCTACAGGGGCAGCTGCCAATGGGGGTACCTTTTCATTATTTAGATTTATTTGGCTGCTTTAAATTTACACGCGATAAGCCACTTCGTTGAATTATAATCACATGTGATAGCCAGGTCGCTTCTGAAAAAAGAAGCTACATAGTTCAGTGGGCCGTACCTGGTAAAATAAAAAACATGGTTTAGTTTGAAATAGCTTTAGATTATCAGAATATGTATTTATACTGCAGGAGGAATCCGATGAGCTATGAGCTATGAAGCTCTTTGTCTTGTAGGGCCACGGGCTAAAAAATGTAAAACAACAATCTATACGAAAAGCATGATAGGAGTGCAAAGTGTAGGGAAGGTAAGCAAATAACTTTTAAAAAAATGAAAATAAACTAATTTTTTATTTTACCAGGTAAGGCCCACTCAGCTATCAGCTTATTTTTCAGAAGCCACCTGGCTATAACAAACGATAGCTCAACGAAGCGGCTTATCATGTTCACATTTATAGCAGCCAAATACTCTAAATAATGAAACGGCAGCCCAGTGGCATTAGTCTATCGACGGAACATCTTAACGCCTGTTTTACTGCTAGAAAGGGTCAAACCTATTCATTTTTGTGGATTAGTCCGCCGCAAGTAAAGGGCGACGATTTCTACGTATCATCCCAGTGGAGTGACCCTTGCATAATAAGCGTTAAGGATTTGCATTCATGGGGCGGTTGCATTTCATCTCAATCACTGCGTCCGTGCCAGGTCGCTCGCAAGCCACGCGCCAGTCTGTTAGGGCTGGCCCAAGGCAATCCGGGCCGCTAGTGCCCCGTGCACACATCGTGATCGATGGGCAGCGGAGTGTGGTGGGTATGTAAGGCAGTCCTGTGTCCAAGAACTACTGCCACCACCACGGTGTACGTAACAAGCCGACTGGACAGGGGGCAGTTGATGAGCTGAGAGCGACAATTATTATTGTTATCATTCAAGTCCGTCTTGAAAACTCACCTCTCTAAACTGGCCTTTACACCCCCCCCCCCCCCCCCCCCCCCCCCCCCACTAGTTCTGGCCGTTGTGTTTATTTGCTGCTTTCCATAACACGGTGGCGCATTGGTGGGATCTGCGGACGAAATGCGACACTTTACAGATGTAAATTCTTCTTATTATAATTTAAACACGTTTTGCCGCCGCCGCTGTTGCTGCTGTCGTCGCTTGCCAACCGCCGCCGCCGCCGCCGCTGTGCTGCACGCAGTGCCTGGAGCTGAACAAGTTTGAGGGCCAAGCGAACGAGGGCAGCCTCGTGAACCGCTCGCTGGAGCTGCTGGGCAGCAGCCAGCTGTGGGCCGCTCTCGTCTTTCCCGAGCTGGGCCCCGCCGACCCCGTGCCACGCCACCTCAAGTACAAGATCCGCATGGACATCGACTCGGTGGAGGTCACCAACAGGGTCAAAGACAGGTGCTGTCCCCCCCCCCTCCCAACCGCTCCACCCTCTTCTAACATTCCCTCCCCTCCTATCCCCTACCCTTCCATCCCCTCCCATCCCCTGACAATGACAATCATCATTGGAACCTCATTTGCCAGTAAAAAATATGATAATTGTTTTTTTACCTTTTTATCTGGCAACAAAACTGACACCTTTTTTACAAGGAGTCATGTTGACATGTTGACTCCTTGTAAAAAAAGGTGTCAGTTTTGTTGTCAGATAAAAGGGTAAAGAAACAATAATATTTTTTACCGGCAAATGAGGTTCTAATGGTGTAAATGCTTACCCCGAGCTCTCATTCTCTGATGGTGCATTGTCTTTGAGTTGTGCGCCTTTTGGCGTTATCTGGTCCAACACCATGTGAGACTAGGCTCTAAGGAAAGCTGTCTCGGGTGTGGACCAATCAACTTCAAGGACAGTGCATACATTATCAGAGTTATGTTTTTTGTTTGCATTATGACTGCAGGTATTGTGGTCCATGCAAACATGACTCCTTGTAAAAAAGGTGTCAGTTTTGTTGCCAGATAGAAGGGTAAAAAACCAATTATCAATGACAATCATGATGACAACGGTGACGATGTCGCATGCAGGGTGTACAGCCCGGGACCACGCAACGAGTCGCGCTACCTCAAGTTCGGCTTCGCGTTCGTGCAGGACATGGTGGAGCGGGCAGCGGCGCGCCTCTTCGCCGGCGGGCAGCCTGCCACCGGCATCTTCCTGCAGCAGATGCCCTACCCCTGCTACGTGCAGGACTCGTGCGTGTGCCCTCACGCCTTGCCCCACACCCTCGATCACTTTCGCTCGCTCGCTCGCCCGTTCATTGTTCGTTCGTTCACCCGCTCGTTTGTTCATTTTCACACTCATTAGGTCGGCCCTTCACCTGCCGATCCATTCGTATTGCAACTCCCTGGCCCCGCCCCCAAGCTACAACCAGGCCTACCCCAACTCCTACCACTACCCCTTCCACTACCGCAACCCATTTCACTACCACAACCCACTGCCACTATCATCTTACGTACAATTTTACGATTATCTGTAGAGCACCTCCTTGGAATAAGGCACTACATAAAGCGCTGCTATAAAAAAAAATGCAAGATATGATTGCGTGGCGTGACCTTGTCCCCTGTCGACCCCCCCCGCCGCCCTTCCCCCGGCCCGTCGCCATGGCAGGTTCCTGCAGATGATGACGAGCTCGCTGCCGCTCTTCATGACGCTGGCGTGGATCTACTCGGTGGCCATGATCCTCAAGGGCGTGGTGCACGAGAAGGAGGCGCGGCTCAAGGAGACGATGCGCATGATGGGCCTCACCAACGGGCTGCACTGGCTCGGCTGGTTCATCTCCTGCTTCATTCCGTTCATCGTCAGCGCCATCTGCCTCATACTCATCCTCAAGGCATGCTGGCCCGCGCGGAGTGTCCGGGGGGGGGGGGGGGGTTTACTCTTTCCCATTCCGATCAGTTTGTCCTCCGATTCCATTCCGATAACGTACACGATGACGCACGCGTACTCCTGGCCCAGGGCTGCAGTAAACGTGGAGCTGAGCATCGGTGCACACGCTCGTTTAGGGAGGACAACCACCTTGACGTTGGCCCTGCCCACAACTCGACAAGCCCCGCCCACTCCCCGCCTTGCCCCCTCCGTGGAGCATGAGGCCAGAAATTTGATCAGGATAGATGGTGGGGGGGGGGGGGGACACCAGGAGACAGATAGTCTTACTGAGAGGACCCAGGGACGCTTGGCAGACTTAACCACCGCCGCACGATCTAGCTTCGGGCCCGTGAAAAAGCACGACCTTCACACCGATCTCACGTCCGCGTCTTCCCCTCCGCTCCCGACCCTCCGCCGCCAGTTTGGGAACGTGTTCCCCAACAGCAGCTTCCTCATCCTGCTGCTCTACTTCCTGGCGTTCACCGTGGCGACCATCATGCAGTGCTTCCTGGTCAGCACGTTCTTCGCGCGAGCGAACCTGGCGGCGGCCTGCGGGGGCATCCTCTACTTCCTGCTCTACCTCCCCTACGTGCTGTGCAACGTCTGGCAAGACCGACTCACCTTCCCCATGAAGATACTCGCCGTGAGTTGCCCCTTCCCTCCCCTCCCCTCCCCTCTCCCCCTAGGCCGCACGGGGGGTCTTGGCGAGTGGTCGATTTGAGCCTAAACACATGCATTGCGTTATTTAACTTCAAGATTGCGTACATTTTCAGCCTTTGGTGGGCTGTCATGTGATGCGCTTTTAAAATCTTGATTGAAAACTCGTTTCTTTTAGAACTGCTTTTTGTGTTTTAGTTTGCTGTCAATTCCTCCGCACCTCCGATTTAGCATGGTACGAAAGAAGCTCAACATACGTGCGTACGCAACAATTATATTTATCACCATCTGTTGGAGCGCTGCTAGATTAAGGCTTTCCTCCACACACCAGGGTAGTCACGACGGTATATTTGACCATCCTTTAATCACAATCATCAGATTATTTATTGATACTGGAGGAATCCGATGAGCTATAAAGCTCTTTTTCACAGATGCACCATTACGTCGCCGGTCAGCGTGTCTTGGTGAAGGAGGTGGGAGATCGGGACCAGCTCGGACATCGCTCACCACCGCTATTTTTGCCGTGGCCGGGAACGGTCGAAATCAAAGTCACTTACCCTCATCTGTATGACGTGTGCCCGTGCCGCCCCCAACCCCCCCCCCCCCACATCCCCTCGTCGTCGGCGTCTTCGCTTCCTGCCAGAGCCTCTTGTCCACAGTGTCGTTCGGCTTCGGCTCCGAGTACATCTCCCAGTACGAGCAGCTCGGCGTGGGCTCGCAGCCCAGCAACCTGCGCGTCAGCACCGTGGACGGAGACCGCTACTCGCTCGTCACCTCCATCATCATGATGTTCTTGGACGCGCTCCTCTACGGCGTGCTCACGTGGTACATCGAGAACGTCTTCCCAGGTAGGCGCCCGAGAACGGAACGCCGGGCCTGGCTCGGCACGTCTTTGCCCAACCGCACAAAGCAGAAGACGGGGAGAGCAAAATGGGTCTGGGTGTGGGCAGGTGGCAGAGGGATGCTCTGTCCGACCTCTCGCAGAGATGATCCGCTATGAACAAGCTTCGGTGTACATTGTGCGTTTGCTATTGGGGACTGTTGAAAACCGGCCAGAATTGACCGAAGCGTCGCCCAAAAACTCGGAGAGACGAGCAAAGCAAAGAGAACGCGAAGTACCACACCTCCGATTTGGCACGGTTGGCTACGTATGGTGTGAAAGAAGTTCAACATACATATAATGCAAATGTACGTGACGTTTGCAATGATTGTGACGACTGCGACGTTTGTGATATTTGTGACGATTGTGGCGTCGTGATGATTGTGACGACTGTGACGACTGTGACGTGTCTCCCCCGCCCCCGCCCCCCCCACCGTGCGTGCCCCAGGCCAGTACGGTGTGCCACGGCGCTGGTACTTCCCCTTCACCAGGTCCTACTGGTGTGGGGCTTCATCGCACGACGGTCAGACGCTGCCTCACTCCTACAAGCCCCCGAGCTCCGGTAGGTCCACACCGACACGCTCGCCGCTATCGTCACCATCGCTTTTGTGTCTTTTTAAAAAAAATTATGCTTTTTTTTCCACCCACGAATTTTTCCCGATTTTTTTTTTTTACTTCGCTATCGGCACCTTGTCATTAGACGCGAAATCCATTTTGAGTCTCGGAGCAGTGCGGTATATTGGCCGTCTACGGGAAAAGAAAAGCCAGCCTGAAAGATAATGTCTCCAATAAGTCAAAACATCGATATATTTCTTACTTTTAAGTGGTTCAGAGGTCAGAGTGCTGAACTGGCACAGCTGAGATCTCGAGTTCAGCCCAGCCGTCAGTGACTGTGCTTGCCACAAACGAACCACACAACACCTCGCTGATTTCGTCAAGGAGCATAAACCATCACGCAAACTCCGCTCATCCTCGCAGCAGCAGCAGCTTTTGTTTAGCGATTGAACAAAGACGACCACCGCATCGCGCGCTTTCACATGCGCTTCTGCCACCATTTGGAACGCTCTTACATCCGATAGTAGGAAGCCACTGGAGCTATGCACTTTAAAATCTCGATTGAAAACTTATTTCTTATGGAACTGCTTTTTGTGTTTAGTTTGTTGTCCTTCCCCCACACCTCCCATTAGCACGGTTGTCTACGTACGGTGCGAAAGAAGTTCAACATACGTACAATGGCTGCCCGCAAAAAAACGCAACACTTTCAAATCGGCTCTGGACTTAATGCAGCTAAAATCCAACTTGGAGGATTAAATAATTAACAGGATCTCAGCGGTAGCTCTGTGATGTCCGCTTCCCATGGGCCGTTCTCTAACACACAGAGCCGTGCTGCTGTGCGTGCGATCCGAAATAAATTTTTTGTGTTGGGATGCCAAATGCACAATAGGAATTAAGTTTGAGAAGAACGACTGAAAACAAGTTACTTGTTTATTGACCCGTTAGATCGCTTACAGATCACTTGATTGAATAATGTATCGCTTGATTTGACTGAACGATGTGGACGATCAATGCCCCGCTTACTCCATCGCCGCGTTCAGAATCGGAATTTTTGTTTACACCAGAGGAGGAATCCGATGAGCTATAAAGCTCTTTTTCACAGATGTCCAGTAGGGACATGGTGTCAGAACGTTTACAACAAGAAATTTAAGCAAATTTACAAAAAAATATATATTTTTATTTTTACCAGCTAAGGCCCACTAAGCGACCTGGCCACCAATTATAGCTCAATGAAAGTGGCTTATCTTCATGTGGACATTCATAGCAGCCAAATAATCAATATATATTTTTTAAAGCTACAAAAAGTCTTCTTGGTTCTTTCGGTAAAGTCACGTAGAATGGAAATAATAAAATAATAAAAATAAAACATAATAAAATCATTCTCATGTATTATATTATTTTATAATGTTTTATTATTATTTTATTATTTCCCTTCTACGTGACTTTACCGAAAGAACCAAGAAGATGAATCCCTGCAGTCACGAAAGCTTTAAATCGAAAGTTACAAAAAGTGTTTTTTTTTTATTGAGGTATGCAACCAAGTTCGGTACAACGCGCTGGGGATTGCTGCGGGAGAGGGGTGGGGGGCAGAAAAACCGCGAGGGGGAAAGGGGGAGCAACCCAGAACGACACCCGCGGTGTGCCCCCCACTTACGGGAGGGGGTCCTCCGACGGAGGGCGGTGGTTTGTGGGCAAACGGTAGCCAACATTCTCGAGGTAGCTCGGGCGTAGGGATGGCGGGGGGTGACAAGAATCTAAATGATCTCAAGCGTTCTCTTGTCCGCGGCCGCTTGGACCGCTCAAGGCGACAAGCAGATCCTGGAGGAGGAGCCGGGCAAGTTGCCCGTGGGCGTCTCCATCCAGGGCCTGGTGAAGGTTTACGACGAGGGCAAGAAGCTCGCCGTCGACGGCCTCACCCTCAACTTCTACCAGGGCCAGATCACCTCCTTCCTGGGACACAACGGGGCCGGCAAGACCACCACCATGTACGTCACGCCAGCCACCGTGCCACCGTGCCACGCCGCACCACCCACCGCCACCCGACCCCACGCGCCGTGGCCTCTTCGGGGCAGTCGATGAGGGCGGCCGGATTGGGTCCATCTCTTGACGGGACGTTGGTAGCAAACGATATTGATACATATACTGGCAGTCCACGTATCTTTTTGGATGTGACCTTCCCACCCTCACTCCATCCCTTCCTCTCTCTCCTTCCAGCCAGACAGCCAGTGAGCGAACCTGTTTTCCATAATAGGGGTCAGAGGTCGCAACCGGGTACCCGATACCCGTACCCTATCCGATACCCGGCTACCCGTACCCGGCCGGGTACGGGTACGGGTACCCGTTTGCGACCCTGGTGCGGCCGGGTACGGGTACGGGTAAGGAATCAAAACCCGTTTGCGACCTCTGATAGGGGTACACTGCGTGAGTGGGTGGAGGGGTGGGAGTAGAGGTGAGATGGGGGGTTGGAGGGGGGAGTGGGAGGGCGAGGGGCGTGACGTCGGCACGACGTGGGTGACGTCACCACCACGAACGTGAACTTGGCCACGTGCCAGCCAGGAATTGAGGCAGAAAACCTGTCTTTGCCAGACAAAGTTTTTTAATAAATAAAAAAGTTTTTTAATAAATAAAGTAATTACTATTTTTATCTACGATCAGATATGAACCACTAAAAAAATGTATTGACGACTTAATTCAACTTCTTTACATTTAAAGACGTACCCAATTTAAAGATTCCGTCCTTTTTTTATTAGAAAGAACAAAAATGTATGAACTTAATACTCTGTGAGGGGAAGATCCTACCTTTTAGCGTATTCGAATTAATAAGATTTGAACATCATAAAATGCATATTCTTTTTGTTCTCACTATAATGTCACTTGCTGTTTAACGCTCTATCAAACGAAAAAAACCCGCAATATAATATTTTGAACGGTTTCTGAATGACACGCGTAAACGTGTTCATGGGGCACTTAAAATAAGAAGGCTCAGATTTTCAGACTTTTCCTTTTTGTTTGTGCCCTGCAAGCCACCCATGTACCACATTCCAGCTTTCTACCTTGTCGGGAAGTACCCTAGAGCTTTTTGAGACTTACATACACAGATTAAGGTCTTTACTTATATAGATACTACAATATGATGCACTAATAGAATTTGAAAACGCTCTTACGTTTCCGTCCGTCCTCCTAACCCCGTCTGTACCCCCACCTCGCCCGGACAGGTCCATCCTGACGGGGCTGTTCCCTCCCACGTCCGGCACGGCGTACATGTGCGGAAAGGACATCCGCACCGACATGGACTCGATCCGCAAGAGCCTGGGGATGTGTCCGCAGCACAACGTTCTGTTTGAGAAGTACGTGGGGCAGTCCTGTCACCCCCATCCAACCGGACCGCTGTCCCAGCATCCTACACCCTGTACCCTATACCCTGTACCCTATGACCCTGTACCCTATGACCTGTACCCTATGACCTGTACCCTATACCCTGTACCCTATACCCTGTACCCTATGACCTGTACCCTATGCCCTGTACCCTATGACCTGTACCCTATACCCTGTACCCTATACCCTGTACCCTATGACCTGTACCCTTTGACCTGTACCCTATACCCTGTACCCTATACCCTGTACCCTATGACCTGTACCCTATACCCTGTACCCTATACCCTGTACCCTATACCCTGTACCCTATGACCTGTACCCTATACCCTGTACCCTATACCCTGTACCCTATGACCTGTACCCTATGACCTGTACCCTATACCCTGTACCCTATACCCTGTACCCTATGACCTGTACCCTTTGACCTGTACCCTATACCCTGTACCCTATACCCTGTACCCTATGACCTGTACCCTATACCCTGTACCCTATGACCCTGTCCCCCACACCCTGTACCCCACACCCCGTACCCTATCCCACGTACCCTGACGATGCCCCCCGCCATCCTTCACCGCCGTGTTGACGCAGCCTCACGGTGGAGGAGCACATCTGGTTCTACGCGCGCATGAAGGGCTGCTCGGAGGAACAGGTGAAGCAGGAGATGCCGCAGATGATCCTGGACGTGGGGCTTCCGCACAAGAAGGACGAGCTCTCCAAGAACCTCTCCGGTATGCGTGCCCACTCCTGCCCGCCCGTGCCCTCCCCGCATGTCTGCCCGTGCCAGCCCGTGTCTGCCCGTGTCCGCTCGTGCATGCCCATGCCAACCAATGCCCGTGCCTGCCCATGCATACCCGCCCGCATCCACGTGCCCGCCCCGGATAGTCGATTTTGCTAAAAATATATAAAGTGGATTAATTTGCTCGCGGTAAAAATGTAATTCTTCTTGGTTATTTCGGTCACGTAGAAGGAAAAAAATAAAATAATAAATATTAAACATAATAAAATAATTCTCACGACGTTTCGGCGACAACGCAAGCAGCCGTCCTCAGGTGAAGAATGAAAGCTTTAAATCGAAATAAAAATGTAATTGTTGTTAAATGCAGTGCGGTACGGTGTTGGCCGTTGAGGCTACAAATGAGACTTATATGGTACAGATGAGTGGCACAATACAAATGAGGCAGATTAAACAAGACGGAGTCAAGGCTATAATGAGGGATCATTGATTTTGTTGGTCGTCATGATTGAAGCTTTGGGGATAGTGATGATAGTGTTGGTGATAATGGTGATAATGACAGTGATGTTGGTATTGACAATGACCCCCCAACTTAGCCTTTATCAGACTTTGGTCGCGAAAGCCGACATGCTAAACTTTATCAGACTCTTGGGGCAAGTGTTAGCGGGCACCTATGAAGGCCGGCACGACACACGAGGGGGTGGGTGGCCAGCACCACGCCCGACCGCCTTTGTCTCCCCAGTGGCGATTGTTGTTACACATCGCGCCAAGCACTCATTTGCGGCCGAGTCGATCTTAAAATTACGTGCGCTCACACGTGCGTGCCTGTGCGTGCCTGTGCGTGCGTGTGCGTGCGTGCGCGTGCGTGCCTGTGCGTGCCTGTGCGTGCGTGTGCGCGCGTGCGCGTGCGTGCCCGTGTGTGCCTGTGCGTGCCTGTGCGTGCCTGTGCGTGCCTGTGCGTGCGTGTGCGTGCCTGTGCGTGCCTGTGCGTGCCTGTGCGTGCCTGTGCGTGCATGTGCGTGCCTGTGCGTGCCTGTGCGTGCCTGTGCGTGCCTGTGCGTGCCCGTGTGTGCCTGTGCGTGCCTGTGCGTGCCCGTGTGTGCCTGTGCGTGCCTGTGTGTGCCTGTGTGTGCCTGTGCGTGCCTGTGCGTGCCTGTGCGTGCCTGTGCGTGCCTGTGCGTGCCTGTGCGTGCCTGTGCGTGCCTGTGCGTGCCTGTGCGTGCCCGTGTGTGCCTGTGCGTGCCTGTGCGTGCCTGTGCGTGCATGTGCATGCGCGTGCGTGCCTGTGCGTGCCTGTGCGTGCCTGTGCGTGCCTGTGCGTGCCTGTGCGTGCCTGTGCGTGCGCGTGCAGGCGGCATGCAGAGGAAGCTCTCCGTCGCCATCGCGTTCGTGGGCGGCTCGCAGATCGTCATCCTGGACGAGCCCACGGCCGGCGTCGACCCCTACGCCCGCCGCGGCATCTGGAACCTCTTGCTCAAGTACCGGCACGGTACGGAGCTCCCGCTCCACGCACACCACGGACAAAGATCCCCCGTGTGGCCTTGAACGGGCTGTTGGGGGGCGAGTGCTGTTAGCGAGCAGCGCCTATGAAGGCGGGCACGTGGGGCACACGAGGGGGTTTTGGGTGGCCAGCACCACGTCCGGCCGCCTTTGGTTCCCGAGCGGCGAGTCCTCATTAAGGCCGAGTCAACCGACGTGAACTCGGGTCACCGAGGTCGCCAACACTCCCGACGCATGCGCACCGTGTCCCCGGAGCGTCTCCGCGTGTCCCTCCCAACTGCTACTCACTCCATGTCTTTCTTGCCACTGATTTAAAAGTGGCTTTTAAAACGGTGCTGGCAACGAAAATGTCTCCATACCCCCGTGTCTGCCACACGTCTCTCCGCTGCTTCGCCACCCCGTTGTTCTGTGTCCCCTCCGTGTCTCCCCCGAGTTCATTCCCACGTTGTCGCGTCTGCTCCCGTGTGTCCCCCGTGTTACCCCCCGACCCCCACCTCGTGTCCCCTCCATATCATCGCACTTACAATTAGCACGGCTGGCGACGTACGGTGCCTAAGAAGTTCAACATACGTGCATCCTCGCCCCCCGTGCCCCCCCCCGCCTCCCCTCCCCCCGTGTCTCTCTCCCATGTCTCCCATTGTCCCCTTTCCGCTCACCCACCCCCTTGCCTACCGTGCCCCCTCGGTGCATCCCGCGTCTCCACCCCATGCCCCCCCTTCCCTCGTTACCCCCCCCACCCCCCGCGCCCCCCACGCAGGCCGCACCATCATCCTGTCCACGCACCACATGGACGAGGCGGACCTCCTGGGCGACCGCGTCGCCATCATCTCCCACGGCCGCCTGCGCTGCTGCGGCTCGTCGCTCTTCCTGAAGAACGCCTTCGGCGCCGGCTACTACCTCACCATGGTGAAGAGCGAGCCGGGCTCACGACGACCCTCCGCGGGGGCTGCCCATCTCTACAAAAACCTCGAGCAGGTCCGTCCCCTGTGGCTACATTGTAGCGGTGGCGGCGGCGGTGATAACGGGTCCGGTCCCGACCCTTACGCCCGCTGCGTATTTGGAGTTTGCGGAGTCTCTCTTTCTCTCTCCCAGCGGTCGCGTGGATTTTTCTCCCGGGTCCCCAGGTTTTTCCCTTCTACGTTTGAGAATCGACGTGTGCGTTTAGAGTATCTGGCTGCCGCTATCAATTTCCACGTGATGAGCCACTGAGTTGAGCTGTCATCTGTGGCCAGCTCGGTGGACCTTACCTGGTACAATAAAATAAATTTCGATTTAAAACTTTCGTGACTGCAGGGATTCATCTTCTTGGTTCTTTCGGTAAAGTCACGTAGAAGGGAAATAATAAAATAATAAAAATTCTACATAAAATACAATTCTCACTACGTTTCGGCCACAACGCAAGCAGCCGTCCTCAGGTGAAGAACAGGGCTGTCAGAAAGACAGCGTCTTTCACGTAAACAGAACATGATAATTCGTCGCAAATTGGCACGTTCTGTTTACATGACAACGCTTACTAGTTGGCTGTGTCGGGTGGTGGCGGGTTTTAACGACACATTTATAAATGTACGTGATCTAACCCCAAAAAAAACCTCTCTTATGGATGATATTGGTCGCGAAAGCCTCCTCTGTGTTAAAGATGTTGACAGTGACGGGTAGTGATCGTTGGCAGAGGTAATAGCAGTGGCTGTCAGTGGTCGTAGTGCTAACTTTTGAGTTATTTGAGCCCAAGTTCAGCGGCCTCCTATATATATTAAAATGTTTTCGGACAATTAATGAGTGTTTGCACATATGGGGTTAAGTGTGGGAACAGTTCGGCAATGTCTTTGTCATCGCCAGGTGCGTTTTTAGGAGAGAGAAACGCTGAATGAGGACAAAGGAATGGCAGAGTGGGGAAAACGGTCGCGATGTGTTATCGGAGTTTGCCGTTTGCGTTCAAACCCTAGACGGACGGTCAGTCGCAGAGCTCGGACGAAGGACTGGGCAGCGAGTCGGGAAGCCAGGAGGACATTGCCGGTAAGCGCTAATGGGGAGAGCATTTAATGCTGATGAATGTGATGATGAATGTGATTCATAATCAACGTTTTTGGGTTAGATCGCGTTATTTATAAATGTGTCGTAACCCTCCACCACCCGACACGGCCAATAACGCGATCTAACCCAAAAACGTTGATTATGAATAATATTGGTCGCGAAAGCCTACGTGTTCAACTTAAGATGAATGTGATGCTGATCGTGATGGTGGTGATGATGATGACGCTGATGATGATCGTGATGGTGGTGATGATGATGACGCTGATGATGATCGTGATGGTGGTGATGATGATGACGCTGATGATGATCGTGATGGTGGTGATGATTACGAACATGCTTATTACAGTGGGGGCAGTGACTGAAGATGGTGATAATCGTAACGGCGACGACGTTAATGACGATGATGATGACAATGGTGATTATGAAATATGATGACAACGATTAGAAATGCGGTGATGGCGATGATGATGACATTGACGATAATAATATCATGATGGTGGCAACAATTATGATGATAACAGCAATGATGAAGATGATTGTGGTGATGATGATGATGATGGTGATGCTGGCGACATTATTGACAAAAGTGATGACGAACCTGATGAAAGTAATAATCATTACACTCATCAAGTAGCCAAATCGTGCTCACATCTAAGCACGGTTGGCTACATACAGTGTGAAAGAAGTTCAACATACACACACATACACACACACACACATACACACACACATACACACATAAACACACATACACACACATACACACGCACATACACACACAGATACACACATACACACACACATACACACATTCACACATACACACATACACACACACATACACACATTCACACATACACACATACACACACACATACACACATACACACATACACATACACACATTCACACATACAACAACAACAACAACCGCCATTCGCCACTAAGTGGCGGTGACGTCACCACGATGCTTGTGCCAGGCCAAGTGCACCTTGAGGCCACGTGAAGTGTCGAAAGCCCGCTGGCAGGAGGTCACGGGGCAGACCCAGGTGCCACTGGTCGACTGACCGAGATGACCGAGATGACTGGCTGATGCACCACCTGTGCCCCCTACTGTGCCAACTTGCTGTGCTTTAGCCACCCGGCGCTCCGCTCGTTGTTGTGAGCGTCGCTCCTCCGCCCTCCGTTGTTGTTGGAGGGCGACTGCCTCCAACTGCCCAGTAGCGTCCTTCACGAGCCTCCTCCACTGAGGCCGATCTTGACACCGCTGGTACCAGTCATCGGCAAGTCCACTCAGCTCCACGTCCTCCTGTACCACATCACTCCATCTTTTCTCCAGCCCGTGCCGCGCCCGTCTAGCCCCCTCGATCCGGCCGAACAAAAGCTGTTTAGGCATGCGGTGGCTGGGCATGCGGGCTACATGACCCAGCCAACGCAGCCTTGCCTGCCGGAGGAGCTCACTGATGGGACTTTGCCCAGATCTTTCAAGGATTTGTGAGCTCCTCACACAATCCAGCCTGGTTAAACCCAGGATGGATCGTAGGCAGGCCAGCCTAAATGTTTCCAACCGGCGAAGATGCTCCACCAGGGGGGTCCACGTCTCGCAAGCGTAGAGAAGGGAGGGAATGACCGTGGCCGAGAAGACCTGAAGCTTCGTGCGGAGCGACAGACCAGGTAGCTTCCACACAGCGTTACGCAACCGATGAAAAGATATTGCCGCTCGACTGATTCGGAGTGAGACCTCTGCTGATAGACTGGAGCCGGTCATAAGCATACTGCCCAGGTATGGGAAACTCTCCACTCTCTCCACAACTGCCCCATCACCAATTGGGAGTTGTGGGGGTGGAGTGTCCGATGGTACAAAATACCCAGGCAGGTGCTTGGTTTTGGTGGGGCTGATGGTAAGGCCCCACCTCTTAGTGGCACGCTCCAGTCTCAGCAACAGCGCCTCCAACTCCTCTTCTGAATGAGCAGCTATTACCAAATCATCGGCATACATAACGTGGTTGACCAATAGGGAGCCATCCCTTGATCGCACCCGGGCGTCGATCAGCCTCCCATTATATCTGTACCAAACGGAAATTCCCCCGGTACAGCTATTGAAGGCTTCACGAACTACGCGGTCAAAATAGATGTTAAATAATGTGGGAGCCAGAGGACATCCCTGTCGCACCCCAAGGTGTACAGGGAAAGGCTCCGACTCCCGGCCACGTAGTTTTACCCGGGCCCGCTCACCATCATGAAGGTCCTTAATGATCGTGAGCAGAGGGTCAGGGACTCCGAAAGCACGAAGAACAACCCAGAGTCCAGTCCTACTGATGGTATCATAGGCCTTGACCAGGTCAATAAAGCAGAGATGTAGGTCTTTTTGGAATTCCCTACACCTCTGCTGTAGCAGACGGACAGAAAATATGGCATCTGTGCAGGACCGCCCTTTCCTGAAACCGCATTGGGGCTCCGCAAGCCCCTCCTCAGCGTGCCTAGCAAGGCGATGTTGAATAATCCTTGCCAGGACCTTACCCGGCACACTGAGGAGTGAGATGCCCCTGTAGTTGTTACAGTCTGTGCGGTCCCCCTTCTTAAAGAGGGGGACCACCAGGGCATCCTTCCAGTCCTGCGGAACCCGTCCAGTGGTCCAGACTGTTGTTATGATGTCATATAGGGCAGTCTGTGCACAAACGCCACCCTCCCTCAGCATTTCGCTTGGGAGATCATCTCTGCCCGGTGCCTTCCCTGGTCTCAGACTCCGGATCGCCCTCAGTACTTCCTCAACAGCTGGAACCTCAGCCAGCCACTCACAGGGGGTGACCTCTTCCAATATTTGAGGCACCGCAGCCTCAGCAGGGTTATCCCCACTTTGTGCCATGATGTTTTCCTGGCTGAGAGAATTTCCCTCCCCCAGGACCTCACAGAAATGCTCAGAAAATCTGCAAACCTGTTCCTGGGGGTCGGAGATTGGATCACCGTTTTTTCCTCTAATGATGGTAATAGGTGTGGCGCTGCAGGTTACTTTTTTGATGGAGTTAAATAGTGATTTGTGATCACGGGCCACTGAGGCAGACTCCATCTCCTCAGCAACCCGCGACCACCACCCATCCTTACAACGCCTTACGGCTCTCCGAACTTCCGAGCGAAGGCTGCGGTAAACCTCCTCATTCTCTGACGTGGGATGCTGTAGGCGATGAGAGTGGGCCTGTCGCTTTTTCTCAATTAACCTGAACACCTCCTCTGTCACACATACACACACATACACACATTCACACATACACACACTCACACACACATTCACACATACACACACACACATTCACACATACACACCACACACACATACACACATTCACAAATACACACATACACAAACACATACACACACATACACACACACTCACACACATACACACATACACGATGTTCACAGCAATGATGACGGCGATACGACACCGATGGCAATGATCGTGATGATGTCGACAATGACAATGATGACAACGACGACGATGACAAAAACAATAACGACGATGATGATCATGACGATGGCGATGATGACGATGATGATCTTGACGATTGGCGACGATGAACAAAGCGAGGAAGGCGATGACGACGATGACGACATGCCGCGTGGTGTGCAGACGTGAGCGCGGTGACGCGGCTGCTGCAGCAGCACGTGCCGGACGCCCGGCTCGTGGAGAACTTTGGGCAGGAGCTGACCTACGTGCTGCCCTACCACGGCGCCAAGGACGGCGCCTTCGCGCTGCTCTTCAAGGAACTCGACGAGAAGCTGGCGGAGCTCGGCGTCTCGAGCTACGGCGTCTCGGACACCACGCTCGAGGAGGTGCGGCGCCCAACGCACACACGCACGTGCAGACACGAGCATGTGCAGACACGCACACGTGCAGACACGCGCACGTACAGACACACACACGTACAGACACTCACGTGCAGACACGCACGTGCAGACACGCACGTGCAGACACGCACGCATGTGCAGACACGCACACGTACAGACACGCACGCACGTGCAGACACACACACAGCGGTTAGCGCACTCTGCTACGAACATGGCGAAGTGAGTTCGATTCCCGCTCAAGGCCAACACCAGCTAAGATTATCTGAATAGATCCTGGGCCTCCCCTAGGTCGACTCAGCCTCAAATGAGTGCCTGATGTGATATGTGAACATCGCCACCGGGAAAACAAAGGCGGCCGGGCGTGGTGATGGTCGCTCACCCGCTCGTGTGCCGTGCCGGCCTTCATCGGTAATGCTGCTCGCTAACAGCACTTGCCCCTATAGTCTGTTATGACTATACGGGGGATCTTTGTCTTTGTTTTTCCACTGCCAGTGCAAAGCTGAGCCCGACCCAGACGGAGGTGTAGTTTTGGGGTAGCTCTCTTGCGAAGTCACAACAACAAACCTTGCGTCTGTTTTGTTCCATCAGATCTTCCTGAAAGTTGCTGAAGAGACTGGAGTGGACACAGAAATTATCGGTAAGGCATTGGACGGTTGTTATAAATTGTATTATTACTATAATTGTTTAAGTTTATGGCTCTTTGTCAATGCACTGCTGGGTGGAGGCCTTGTTTGACCATACTTCCCCACCCTGGTCGGTGGGGGGGTTGGTGAAAGGCGCGCCCAGGAAATGGGCCGGTTCAGATGTCAGTTGCCGCTGATTTTAGCCACAGTCAAGAATCGGACTCAAGTTGCCAGTTTTGTAGTACAGCACATCGCTTAAGCCACTGCAATGCTGTTCCCCTCCCACCTCATTTTAATTCTCTACAGCTATCCTGAGCGGTACAATATAATCGATGGATGTACTGAATAGTTAGCGGAGCAATCAATCAATTTACTTAAACATCTGCTCCTGAGCTGTGTTTCACACATGGGGTGCGATCTTCATCTAGAGTTACACACCTTAGAAGCCACAGTCATTTATGCCCATTAAATATTGTGCGCCTTATGAACTGCATTAGTATTCATCTTCAGTTCGTACCCCGTGCACCGACTCCCATTGCAACGGTATCGCTAGCCAATCGCAGGCAGCCACGAGTATCATCATGTGACCATGTAGGTGCACTCTCCGGTCATGTGACTGCGGGAGGCCGATCGAACCGAGCCTGTGACATCACTTCGCTGCCCCCTCCCCCCTTAGCTGAACGTAAGTGAATGTGACGCACGTGTTGGATCAGAAAGTAAATACGAATTTAACGATACGTCTCTCAAAAAAAAAGTTCTAGAACCTCTTGCTTTCCTTGTCGCTCCAAAATTGTGTTTCGGAGCGAGCGGCTCACTCGGTTTGTCCTCCCCTGGCCCCCGCGGACCGCGCACACAGAACCGTTGGTGGTGCCGCCGCCGAAGGAGGTGTCGCGGTCGCCCGAGGATTCCAACTGGGAACGTCGCTCCCTGCGCCGGAAGTCCAGCGGCCGGGCGGAACGAGCTCTGAAGAAGACTCCGGAAGGAGGTTCGTTTTTCCTTCGTTCGGCACCCGGGTGCCCCCCGTTTCTTTAAACGACGCCAACGCGCCATAGCTCTCCCGCGAGTCGGAAGATCGTGGCAATAGTAATGATTTCAACTTTGTAACACGCTCACACATGTAGGATGGACAACAGCGGGGAACATTTTAAGTGCGTTGTTCGGAAAAATGGAAGGAACTGCAAAGACCTAACGGAGTAATGCTTGATGACGACATAAGAGATTGGTGGCAGAAAGATGTGGCACTACTTGAGCATGTTGGCACAAGACAGAGAGAAAAGTGGAAACAAATGACGAAATGTGAAGAGAACACGTACAGGCTCTCTGCCCATGGATCGTGATGATGATGAACACGCTCACTTTCGAGGAGAGTAGAAAAACTCGGAGGCGCGAGGAACCACATGGATGAGCAGGAAGTCGGCCGGGCAGTGAAATGGCACCAAATTCTCCCCCATCCAAGCTCTGCAGTCCTCTAGATATTAAGATGTTATCGGCCAATGAACAAGTGTTTTACATGTGGGACACAACTGGAGCGCCCGGGTAAAACCCACACGTGCGAGGGGGCAACACTGTATCCCATACACATTTTATTTGTTTCGAGCTCCTCCTAGCGAGTCAGGGTTACTTAAGGCTCCTCCTCCTCATGGGCAGAGGTACCTTCTCAGCATCTGTGCGGTGATCGGCGAACCCTCGCTGCTGCCTCCGCACGGTGCTGGGAGAGTAAATCACTAGGATAACCACTGTCGTTGACTTCCCCCCCCCCACAAAATTGTATAATATTTTATTGACCCCGGAGAGATGATGGGCTGAGTCAACCCAATCGCCGTAATTAATCCTTTCCCATCCTGATGACGCACACGAACGTGTGCATTATATCTTCTTGGTTCTTTTGGTGAAGTCACGTAGAAGGGAAGTAATAAAATAATAAAAATAAAACATAATAAAATAAAATAATTCTCACGACGTTTCGGCTACAACGCAAGCAGCCGTCTTCAGGTGAAGTCTTCAGGTGAAGACGGCTGCTTGCGTTGTAGCCGAAACGTCGTGAGAATTATTTAATTGAATTATGTTTTATTTGTATTATTTTATTACTTCCCTTCTACGTGACTTTACCGAAAGAACCAAGAAGATGAATCCCTGCGGTCACGAAAGCTTTAAATCGAAGTGTGCATTATAAACGCTATATATTATTTGCAACGATTAGAAGAATGTTGTACAAAGAACTTTCAAGCCATCATCTATAATCACGCACTTAAGTGGAGAAGAAAGTACAAATATAGTACAGTAGAAATAGTAACTAACTTTACTAACTTTTTATATTAGCAGGTAAGACGCACTGAGCGATGTAGCCCTTTTTCAGAAGTGACCAGGCCGAAAATGATAGCTCACCGAAGTGGCTTATCATGTCGAAATTGATATCAGCCAAATACTCTGAACGCACGTTGATTCTAAATGTGGAGAGAAAATCCAGAGTACCCGGAGAAAATCCACGCGACCACGGGGAGAGAGAGACACGCAAACTCCAAATATACAGCAGCAGGCGTCAGGGTCGCGATAGAACCCACGACCTCCTGTATACTAGGCGAGGTAGTTAACATCTTGCCACTGTGGCACCCCAGACAAAATGCAGACAGGAGGTTATGGAAATCTGATATCACCTGATAATTGATGTCGTATGGTAACAAAAATGTACCCCACGGTTTCCCCTCTTAATAACGTCTGCCGCCATTATCGCCGCCGCCATTTTCCCCACGGTGGGCGCCTTTCCGCCCGTGCAGAGAAGAAACCGGCGTTTCGTACAAGAGGTACCCACGGCAATCTCTGTCGCCACGCTTCCGTCCCGTGGTCCCGTGTCCTCGTGTCCCGCTTGGCGATGTTTGATTGTACGTCGTGTCGTCGTCAGCCGTGATCTATCCGCTGCTGGATGTAGGCTTCCGAAAGCTCGATTGTTGTACGTGCCCCTCACACATACACAGACTTGCAGACTCATCAATCAGATGCCGTGTGGGTAATTGATGAACAGGGTGGCCGCGTGTCTTTTAGGGGATGGGGGTGGTTGGGTGTGTGAGGGGCTTGTGGGGTGGGTGCTGACGATGCATATGTCAGGGTAATCCGTCATCACCACTTGAAGGCTAAATTCGATTCTGGCTTCAACACAAACCGAACCACAGCGCACCTCGTAATTTATGCTACATACCCACGCGCGTGTTTTTCCGGGCCATTCCTGGAGTGTTCACGATGATGGTACGATGATGGTACGATGATGGTACTCTATACAATGGCCCCGATCCTGGGCTCCACGGTGGGCTTGGCCGTTTTGAAGTTGACCAAAAAAATTCGAGGAAATTATTCCGTTTAAATTCCACGTGCCCTCTTCCACCGTTGGCCGTGCAAAGTCACCACTGTTTCCGCAAAGGGAGCTATCGCAGCATGGATGCAGCTCACAGACTGCTGTGGAAATCCGGCCTAGGAACCCAGCGTCGTCACTCAAACCCTTGGCCCTGCTCTCAACCCAACCCATCCCACCCGATGGCTGATTGCATAAAACTCTTTGCCGTTCCAATGACGTACGTGTACGTCATCGGAACGGCAAAGATGAAAACCTCGAATAACGGCAAAGATGAAAACCTCGAATAACACATTCCTGCTGAGGGAGCTGGTAGGAACGTTGTGTTGCTCGGTCAATGGCCAGGGTCAATGGCGGCGTGGTGTATTCCGCAAATATGCCCGACTGTGAGGGCGGGCACAAGCCGGCATGAGTAGGTTAAACGTTGAGTTTTATAAGGGCACCACGGGGTGACCAGCCCCTCCCCACCCAGCCCCACCCCTCCCACCCCCCACCCAGCCCCACCCTCCCCACCCTCTCCACCCAGCCCCACCCTCCCCACCCACCCATCCCCTCCCCACCCTCTCCACCCAGCCCCTCCCCACCCTCCTCACCCAACCCTTCCCCACCCTCCCCTCCCCACCCAGCCCCACCCTTTCCACCCAGCCCCACCCTCCCCTCCCCAACCAGCCCTTCCCTCCCCACCCAGCCCCTCCCTGCACGACAGAGTGGTTCCTACCAGTAAAATGACTTTATCGTTACCAAGGCTTCCACAATTTAGCGCCACCTATCGTGGAGTGCGGTCAAGTCACTACGGCTCTCTGCAGTGACTACAACGGCGCTGTGCCTAATCCGCTTGCACGTTCCGAGACTCAGCGGTGAACAGGACACGCACACCCTGCGTGTCGGAACGGAAAAAGGGTTTAGTGGAAATGTCCCTGAATGTATCCCTTTTTATTCGGACGGACAACTACAGGGAATTCGAACTCGCGTGGTTTTTTTTACGCGACCGGTCACAGGTCGCATGATGGGAGACGCGATGCCATGTCGGAATTAACGCTTTGAAGCCCTGAAATCGCGGCAGCCTTTTTTTTTGCTTTCATGTTGTCATGGTCCCGTCGCCTGTGAACGTGCAGCTGTGCGTCGCGTGAGTAGAGCCCAGCAGGTTCACATCGATGATATCATCTTGCTCGATTTAAGAGCGGAAGCAGGTGGATTGCTTCACTTTTCTGGCAAATCACCCGATGATGCTGGTTGTTCTTCTTGGTTCTTTCGGTAAAGTCACGTAGAAGGGAAATAAGAAAGTAATATTAGGTTTTATTTTTATTGTTTTATTATTTCCCTTCTACGTGACTTTACCGAAAGAACCAAGAAGATGAATCCCTGCAGTCACGAAAGCTTTAAATCGAAATTTAATTATTTTATTATGTTTAATTTGTATTATTTTATTATTTCCCTTCTACGTGACTTTACCGAAAGAACCAAGAAGATGAATCCCTGCAGTCACGAAAGCTTTAAATCGAAATTTAATTATTTTATTATGTTTTATTTTTATTATTTTATTATTTCCCTTCTACGTGACTTTACCGAAAGAACCAAGAAGAGGAATCCCTGCAGTCGCGAAAGAAGCTTTAAATCGAAATTTGATGCTGGTTGTAATTACGAGTGAAAAGTCGCGGTGCTCAAATTGCAAATGTTGTGGATTGACTCTCCAACACGCCGGTGGGCTGAAGTAGTCACTAATTGGCACCCCCTTTGCGTGACAAACCTTACTGGCCGTGTCGGCCGGTGGAGGGTCACCACACATTTACGCTTACGCGATCTAAACCCCCCAAAAAAAAACCTTTGTCGTGAATAATATTTGGCCGCGAAAGCCCGCTACGTGTTCAACTGAGGAGCCCGTCGTGCCGCTTCACCGTGCGCTCCGTGTTGTTTGTGTGTGCTTCTCGCCGCCGGAGGCCAAAATAACCCGCGTCGCGTTTGTGTCTCGGTTTGGGGGAATCTGCCAAGAGCCCCGGGTTTAGTTTCCGGCCTCTGAAACGGAAGAGACGAAAATGAGCTTCCAATCTGGTGTCCTTGGACGCGCGTCCATGTTGATGTAAAAAAAACAATATTAGACAAATAGTAATGAATTATGTGAATAATTAGTCGCTCTACTGCTGGATGGAGGCCTCTGACACACCTTATGGGCCAGTTTGACCCTCCTCCTTCACCTGCCCCCACACCTCCGATGAGCACGATGGGCTACGTACGGTGCTAAAGAAGTGCAGCATACATGCATATTCACATCATGGTCAGTGATGTGGGTCCGTGGCAGGGCAAGGGATCGAATCTGATTTTAACCGGGTGGCCCTCAGTCCAGGGATGGAGTGACAAACGACGGCGCCGGTGTGTTGGAATGACGTCGCGTTTGGCATGCCGTGCGTGTGTGTGTGCGTGTGTGCGTGTGTGCGCGTGTGCGTGCGTCTGTGCGTGTGTGTGCGCGCGCGTGTGTGCGCGTGTGTGTGCGCGTGTGTGTGCGCGCGTGTGTGTGTGCGTGTGTGTGTGCGTGTGTGTGTGTGCGTGCGTGTGCGTGTGTGTGCGTGCGTGTGCGCGTGTGTGTGCGCGTGTGTGCGTGTGTGTGTGCGTGCGTGTGTGTGTGCGCGCGTGTGTGCGTGTGTGCGTGTGTGTGTGCGTGCGTGTGTGTGTGCGTGTGTGTGTGCGTGTGTGTGTGTGCGTGCGTGTGCGTGTGTGTGCGTGCGTGTGCGCGTGTGTGTGCGCGTGTGTGCGTGTGTGTGTGCGTGCGTGTGTGTGTGCGCGCGTGTGTGCGTGTGTGCGTGTGTGTGTGCGTGCGTGTGTGTGTGCGTGTGTGCGTGTGTGCGTGTGTGCGTGTGTGTGTGCGTGTGTGCGTGTGTGCGTGTGTGTGTGCGTGTGTGCGTGTGTGTGTGCGTGCGTGTGTGTGTGTGTGTGCGTGTGCGTGCGTGCTCCTCCCGCGTGCAGTGAAACCCACCGGTGACGCCGTGGACAACGGGCGAGGATCCTGCCAGGTGACGGGACAGGCGTTCCTGCGGCAGCAGTTCCGAGCGCTCTTCATCAAACGCTTCCACTTCGCCAGGCGCAGCCGCAAGGGCTTCGTGGCTCAGGTCGGGTTTTAAAAAAATCGCTCTCTCATCACCTCTGTCCGTTTTTGTCTGCCTGCCTGCCTGTCTGTCTGTAACGCGAGGTCACGATAACACTGGTAAAGATGACCCCCCCGCCCGCCCGCTCGGCGTGAGCGGAAACTTTTGGTGTCAAGTTGCGTCGCCGTTAAGGATTTGCCCCCTCCGCCCCCCCCCCCCCGATCTTAAAAAAAAACCCGCTACATTCGTTAAAAGGGTCGCCCAGCAACCCGGAGACACGAACCGAATTGCAGCCGAGAGGCGTCTCCTCCCATGGCGTTGCCCGACCCGCCGTTGCCTCGTCAGGGACTCCGCACGTCTGGCCTCCTGCACCGTCGTTGTCGTCGCTGCTGACTAAATATTCGCCGAGTGCAAACGTGCGTTGGAAAGCGTTGGAGAGCGTCGCTTTAGAATCCGTGATTTTTAAAAAAAATTTCTTCGTCCCCTCTGTCTCAAACCGGGATAGAACATTTTAAAACCGGGACAGAATAAACATTTTCAGGAAATGTCCTTGTGAAAGTGGGACTCTACCCAGCCAAAAGGGGGACATTTTATAGTCCAAACTCATTGGCGGTTTTGTCAGAAGTCTTGGGCTCAGCGGAGTGTACTGCCCTATGAACCCGGCGCCCCGAGTTCGATTCCCGCTCACGGCTAACACCGGTGACGATTATCAGAACCGGTCCTGGGCCTCCCCTAAGTCGACACAGCCTCAAATTAGTACCTGGTGTAGTGTTTAAACATCGTCACTTGGGAGACAAAGGCGGCCGGGCGTGGTGTTGGCCACCCAACCCCTCGTGTGCCGTGCCGGCCTTCATAGGTGCTACTCGCTCACAGCACTTGCCTGTTAAAGGCTGTATGGTGGATCTTTGTCGTACCAGTCATCTCAATCAAACCATGGCACCTGTGTCTATTGTGTATCCTGGCACAAGCGCAATGGTGACGTCTCCGCCACTGAGTGGTGAATGGCGGTTATTGTGGTGTGTGTATGCATGTGGTAAGCGGTAGTGCAGCAGTTAGCGTCCTGTGCTGTGAACCCAGCGACCCGAGTTCGATACCCGCTCACAGTCAACACTAGCGACGAATATCTGAACTGGTCCTGGGCATCCCCTAGGTCTACTCGGCCTCAAAATGAGTACCCTTAGCGCTGTGCAAACATCGCCAGGGGAGACGAAAGCGTCCGGGCGGGCATGGTGGCTGGCCACCAGAGGTCGCAAACGGGTTTTGATTCCTTACCCGTACCCGTACCCGGCCACACCAGGGTCGCAAATGTGTACCCGTACCCATACCCGGCCGGGTACGGGTATCCGTTCCCTATCCGTACCCGTACCCTACCCGAAATGAGTGACAAACGGTTACTCACGGCCTGCCCGTACCCGTACCCGGCCCCACCAGGGTCGCAAACGGGTACCCGTACCCGTACCTGGCCGGGTACGGGTAGCCGGGTATCGGGTAGGGTACGGGTATCGGGTACCCGGTTGCGACCTCTGCTGGCCACCCACCCCCTCGTGTGCCGCGCCGGCCTTCATAGGCACCGCCGCTGCCGCCCTCGAACAGCTCTCGCCCCAACAGTCCGTGAAGGCTGCGTAACGTCCTTTGCCCCCTCGTGTCCGCAGATCGTTTTGCCGGCGGCCTTCGTGTGCCTCGCGCTCATCTTCAGCAGCGTCGTGCCTCCGTTTGCGGAGTACCCCAGCCTGGAGCTGCACCAGTGGCTCTACGGCGCACAGTTCACCTTCGTCAGGTGAGGCGGCCTCCATGTGGCCCTCGCGTCCACACTCCCCGTGCGCCCCGAGGGGGTGGGGGGGGGGGGGGCGGCCGTGGCCACCACTGACGCTGAAAACACATTCCTGCGGAGGGAGCTGGTAGGAACGTTGGGTTGCTCGGTCAATGGCCAGGGTCAACGGCGGCGTGGTGTATTCCGCAAATATGCCCGACTGTGAGGGCGGGCACAAGCTGGCGTGAGTAGGTTAAACGTTGAGTTTTATAAGGGCACCACGGGGTGACCAGCCCCTCCCCACCCAGTCCCACCCCTCCCACCCCCCAGCCACCGCCACCCCACCCTCCCCTCCCCACCCAGCCTCTCCCTGCACAACGGACGGACGGACACAATAATCCCCTGTGGGCTGGTGTAACCAGGAGGTTCCTACCAGTATCATCCCTTGCTTTGAGTCGCAGGTTCTTGTCTGTATGGGTGTTTGACTTCTTTTGAACCGTACATAGCCAACTGTGATATGTATTCATGTTGAACTTCTTTCACACCGCACATATCCCACCGTGATAAGTATCCATGTTGAACTACTTTCGCACCGTTACGTAGCCAACCGTGCTAATCGAAGGTGCGGGGGGATTGACAATAAACTAAACACAAAAAGCAGTTCTAAAGAAATGAGTTTTCAATCGAGGTGTAAAAGTGCATCGCTCTTAATATAGGAAGGAAGAGCGTTCCAGACGTCATCGGAAGTGAAAAGAAAAAAATTCTAATGATGCGCACGAACTTGTGATCGTACGTCATCGGCATGGGAAAGTGTTAAATGGTGTGATTTTAAACGGCGTGGTGGTTTTAAGTTTGTTTATTTGTTGCGTGTTTTTATTCCTCTCTCCACGCCGGCTTGCCATCATTCCCTTCCCCCCCTGCATCGTCTCGTCCAAACCCCAGCAACGATGCCCCCGGCGAGAGCCACGTGAACGCCCTGGCACGCTCCCTGACGGAGTCTCCCGGGTTCGGCACCCGCTGCATGAACACCAACCCCATCCCGTGAGTGTGGCCGGCCCGCCTGCTGGAGCTCGCGACCTTTTCTGGGAGGCTCAGCAGGGACAACGTGGTGCTGGCCGTCTTAGCACGTGCCCACGCTGACCTCCTTAAAGCATAAATAACATTTGTCAATAACGCTGTGGCCTTGCATAGACAAAGTATACGAGAGGCGACTGTCTGGGCAATGGGCCTTTGTCACAGCACCAGGCGAGAGAGATTTTATTTTAATGATCAGTGCTCGCGTACCACTGCCAACGCACCACTCGCGCCACGCCCGAGTTCACCCGCGTGACGTGTATATCGGACCCCCCCCCCCCCCCCCGTGTCACATTTTTTTTTAATAACGTGCCATTTTATTGAGGGGGACTGTGTGTTGTCTTGGTGTGGTCTGAGACTGTGTTTGTTGTTTTACTGCCTTGCCCAAGCTTGCATTTAGTGTTGAAAAATCTGACTTGTGTACTTTATCCATTTACATTTAGCGACTTGCTTATTTTTTTTTCTCTCTCCTTATTTTGCACTCCCTTTCCCGTCGTTTTGTCTCGTGTTTGTTGCTGTTACTTTCTGACCCCGTGCCCCTACCGGACATTTGTGATGATAAAATAGCTTCATAGCTCATCGGATTCCTCCCCCAACAAAGATTCTGATTCTGTATAGACACAGAGAGCTGCACTGCCCCTGCACTGCCCCTCTCTCTGGGTTCAAAACCTCGTGAAAAGTTTTTTATAAAGTAAAAAAAAAATCTTCTTGGTTCTTTCGGTAAAGTCACGTAGAAGGGAAATAATAAAATAATTTAAAATATACAATTCTCACGACGTTTCGGCCACAATGCAAGCAGCCGTCCTCAGGTGAAGACAGCTGTCTTTCCGACAGCCCTGTTCTTCACCTGAGGACGGCTGCTTGCGTTGTGGCCGAAATGTCGTGAGAATTGTATTTTATTGTTTAATTTTTATTATTTTATTATTTCCCTTCTACGTGACTTTACCGAAAGAACCAAGAAGATGAATCCCTGCAGTCAAGAAAGCTTTAAATAAATAAAACATTTTTTATCAAAAACTGCCACTCTCCGTGTGCCCACCCCCCCACTCTCCGCAGCTCGTACCCATGCCCAGGGGGCGGGAGCCCGGACTGGACTCAGCCGGCCATGAGCGCCGAGGCCTCCAGCGTCCTGCAGAGCGGCAACTGGAGCATGGGCAACCCGTCGCCCGCGTGCCAGTGCAGCACCCAGAAGCACCGCGTCATGTTCCCCGAGTGCCCCGAGGGGGCGGGTGGCGCCCCCCCCATGCAGGTGATTCGCGGCGGTCTCTTCCCCGTTTATTATTATTATTAATATTCTAGATTTGAAGCTTTCGTGACTGCAAGGATTTATATTCGTAGGTTTTTTCGGTAAAGTCACGTAGGTAAAAAAAATTATGATTAATAAAAGTAAAATAAAATAAAAATCACGACGTTTCAGAGGTAACACAGCAAGATTGGTGTATCACAATAGCTGTATCACTTGATAGCTGTATCACTTGATAGCTGTATCACTTAATAGCTGTATCACTTGATAGCTGTATCACTTAATAGCTGTATCACTTGATAGCTGTATCACTTGATAGCTGTATCACTTGATAGCTGTATCACTTGATAGCTGTATCACTTGATAGCTGTATCACATAATAGCTGTATCACTTAATAGCTGTATCACTTAATAGCTGTATCACTTGATAGCTGTATCACTTGATAGCTGTATCACTTAATAGCTGTATCACTTGATAGCTGTATCATGATAGCTGTATCACTTGGTAGCTGTATCACTTAATAGCTGTATCACTTGATAGCTGTATCACTTGATAGCTGTACCACTTGATACAGTTGATACCGTCACAGCATGATAGCTGTATCACTTGATACAGCTATCATGCTGTGACGGTTCCACCTGAAGACGGGAGCTTGTGTTGCCTCCGAAACGTCGTGATTTTTATTTTATTTTACTTTTATTAATTGTAATTTTTTACCTACGTGACTTTACCGAAAAAATCTAAGAATATTATTATTCGTTTAATGTTAAAATTTTTATTATTTTTACCCTCGTTGGTGCATCTGGGCCGCCCCCCGCGTGGTCATTTCCCCCCCCCCCCACCCTCCCCCCCCACTGGACGTTTCTCGTTGCCGAGCCGGAAGAAGCCGAACCGTGACTGCACACCGGGCCTGGCCGGACGGCGTTTGTTGCTTTGTCTTGTTTCCACGGACGGCGTTCGTTCGAACGCGGGAGGTTTTGGCAGTCGCTCTGCGGGAGATCCAATCGGATCTCCGCGCTCGCGCACACGAATCGCTATCACTGGAAGGTGGGCCGAGCATCCCGCTGTGGAACCTTCCGGCAAAATAAAAAGGCGTTGGGACATTAGTAAAGTCTGACTTGGGCAGCAAATGGAGCAATTTCGTTGCGATTGATAATATCCATCTGGGGGGGGGGTGGCTTAGTTTCATTTGTTTGCGTTTGGGTGAATTGTTCACCTTTCCTGCACTTTGCTCTCCTATCGTGTTTTTTGACTGTTTGTTGTTGTAACGTTCTGACCCGCCCCGACTGGACATCTGTGAAAAAGAGCTTTATAGCTCATCGGATTCCTCCAGTATAAAGAAATATTCTGATTCTGAATAATACATCGGTTGTTACAAAATATATATATATTCCTCATCATCGTAACGCAACGCCAGCAGCAACAATCGGGGATACGATAAAAAGCAGAAGAGGAGAGCGGATTCCTAGCGTGTGCTGCGTCCTTGCCATTTCAGAGACTGCAAAACAACACGGACACCCTGCAGAACCTGACGGCAGTCAACATCACTGACCACATCCTGAAAACGCTGCCGAAATACTACAAAACCAGGTGCCGTGGAACGCGTGCCCACACAAAATAATACAAAGATCCCCGTGTCGCCTTAACAGACTGTGGGGGCAAGTGCTGTTAGCGAGCGCCTATGAAGGCCGGCACGGCACACCAAGGGGGTGGGTGGCCAGCGCCACGCTGGACCGCCTTTGTCTCTCTAGTGGCGATGTTTTTACACACCGCACCAGGTACTCATTTGAGGCTGAGTCGACCTAGGTGCGGCCCAGGACCGGTTTAAATAATCATCACAGGTGTTGGCCGTGAGCGGGAATCGAAATCTGGTCACTGGGTTCGTAGCGCAGCGCGCTAACCGCTACACTACCGCTCCCCGCATGCACGCACACACACACGTTGGCACGCACACGCGTGCGTGCACGTGCAGATGGCCACCTGTGGTGATTTATGCGGTCTGAAAATATTTACACGTTTTTTTTATTAATTGAAAATTTAAATCTTTTAGTTTTTTTTATTTATCTCCAAGCATTCTCTGTGTCCGTAGAGAGGGAGACAAATCGCAAGTGATGTCCTCGGGACCGACTGGCAAATATTTCGTGGTTTAAAGGTCTTAAAAAAAAACACGCTTTGACAGTTAAGAAAGCGGAGTGAGCTTGCGCAGAACTCGTCACGAGATGGAATGATGACCAAGAATCTTCCGCGTCAATCGAAAACCAAATTTTACGCGATGAGGTTTTATTTTTTTTCGTTTATCGTTGACCAACCTGACACCATCGACTCACCGCGGTTTGCAAGAGGTCGTGGGTTCGATCCTGACCCCGACGCCTGCTGAATATTTGGAGTTTGCGTGTATCTCTCTCTCCCCGTGGTCGTGTGGATTTTTCTCCGGGTCCTCCGGTTTTTCCCTCCACGTTTAGAATGAGCATCACGCGTTTACATTATTTAGCTGCTATACATTTATATGTGATAAACCACTTCTTTGAGCGAGCTATCATTTGTGGCCAGGTCGCTTCTAAAAAAGAGTTATAAGGCTCAGGTTGCCTCACCTGGTGAAATTAAAAGTTATTTTTTTGGCCAAACTAAGTGCAAAACCGACTATAGCAATGGGTTATTTCGTGCATTCATCGGTGACCAGGCTGAGACCATTCAACTCCTCCACACTTGAGAGGCCAGTTCATCTACAAGGGACTGACGGATTAAAACACAGGATCTCGGCAGTGCCGTCTCTGTGTCTCGGTAGCCCCGGCGGTGTTGATTGTAACGAACAGCTGTGTGTCGTCGTCCCCCCCCCCCCCCCTCGGTGTGCCGCAGACACGGCGGGATTTCCGTCGGAGACAAGAACAGCGTCGTTCGGATGACGGCCGCCGACCAGTCGCTCCTCCTCGCACGCTTCGGCAAGATGTTCAACTTGAGCGTGGTGCGTGCACCTCTCACACCGCTTGCTCGCTCGCTCTCTCGCTCTCTCGCTCTTGTGCGGGGTGCGCATCCAGGTCAAGGTTGAGAGGTCATCTCAACCAATGCCGCTGATGCCACCGACACTTTTCCTTCGCTGCCTTGGGTGCGTGTTGACACGTGTCTGTGTGTGTGTGTGTGCGCACCGGTGCCGGCCTTCATAGGTGCTGCTCGCCAACAGGATTTGCCCCAACAGTCTGTTAAGGCTATACGGGTGGGGGATCTTTTGTCTTTGTTGCGGCGGTGAGCGGCGGCGTTGTGGTTGGCGCGCTTGCGCCGTGAACCCGGCGAGCCGAGTTCGATTTCCCGCTCGCGGCCAACATCGGCGACGAATATCTGAACCGGCGCTGGGCCTCCCCTAGGTCGACTCAGCTGTATATGAACACCTGGTACGGTGTGTAAACATCAGCACTGGCCGAGGCAAAGGCGGCGGGGCATAGCCCCAACAGTCTGCTAAAGGCTGTACGGGGGATCTTTGTCTTGTATGCGGATGCCGCAACTCGGTGGCGAACGGCGGCTGTCGTTGTGATTGTTGCGTGGAGGTGTGCGCCACATTTAGAAGATTGGCGAGTTGTGGTTCACCACCACCACTTGACTATCTTCGTCACCGTCATCATCGTTGTCGTCAATGAACGCGGAATGTCTCTTGTGCAGCCGACCATGGGCTCGTCAGGAGTGACAATCGAAGACTTCATTGGGACACGAAACAACCTGAAGGTACCGACACCACCACCGTCACTGTTCACGTGAACGGCACCGAATTACTGTTCACGCCTTAAAGGAGCGGTACTGCAGGAGCAATGATAACACTGGAGTCTCTGGGCATTATGAAAGCACGTGTTGGAGGAGAGCAGACTGTACGTGTTACCAATTAGGTTAATCATATTTTATAACATGCGGTGCGGAGAGAGGGGGGGAAGGGGGGGGGGGCGGCACGTTACCGTGGCATTTGAGCGCCCGCGACCCGTGTCCGCCCACAGGTCTGGTTCAACAGCAAGGCCTTCCACGCCCCTGGAGCCTTCACGAGCGTCGCGAGCAACGCCGTGCTGCGCGCGGGCCTTCCCGCGGGGGCCGACCCCTCGGACTACGGCATCACGGCCTTCAACCACCCGCTGAACCTCACCAAGGAGCAGCTCACGGACGTCATCGCGTGAGCACCCGCAGCATTTGCGCCGCTGTTCTTGACGACATTGCACTCGCCGCGGAGAACCGTAGCGGACGCGACCGCCGCACTCCACGATAGCCGGCGCCGACACTGCGCCGCGCGCCTTTCCCGCACGGCCTTTTACTTGCGATTCCGTTCGGGATGGATTTTTGATTCCGTTGCGACGACATGCCGCGTCTGTCTCCTTCGGCAGGAGGTCGTCGGGGATCGACGTGGTGGTGGCCATCTGCGTGATCTTCGCCATGTCCTTCGTGCCGGCGAGCTTCGTGCTCTTCCTCATCCAGGAGCGCGTGAGCAAGGCCAAGCACCTGCAGTTCGTGAGCGGAGTCAACCCGGCCGTCTACTGGATCTGCAACTTCGTCTGGGATATGGTGAGGGGTGGGGGGCATTGGGGGGTGGGGACGCGGGGGGGTGATTTTGATGAGAGCGGCAGCGCGGTGACGTAAGGGGGCAGCACTAATATACTTGGAGAATGCTGTTACACGTGACCGTCACACATTGAGAGCGCCAGATATGTTACACGTGAGGTGGACGTCAGCCCAACGTAGTCACAGAGCCGCGTGACAGCCTCCCCCTCCAGCACGTGCAGGGCAACAACCGGTCTGTGCCCGGCACGCCTTGACGGACTTCACTGCCGGAGACGACAGTGCGCCATTGGCCTCCTGCTCCACCGCATTGACACAGCGGGGCTGTCACACAGTCGTACCATGTCCCACCGCTCTGAGAGTAACGTGACAGGGAGGGGGGTGGGGGCGGGGGGGGCGAGGGGGGGTGACGGCCCCGAGTTGTCAGGGCGACATCGTCCAGCACCATTTGAAGGCACTCGTTACGAGAGCGGACACGCTCGTTGTCGTTGTCATCGAGCGTGCGTCCCTCGCGGCATCTCCCCCCCCCCCCCCCCCCCGCAGTGCAACTACGCGGTCCCCACCGTCATCGTCATCGTCATATTCCTCTGCTTCCAAAAGCAAGCGTACGTGTCCACGGCGAACCTTCCCGTGCTCATCCTGCTGCTGTTCCTCTACGGGTGAGTCGCCCCCCCACGCAGTCGCCCACCCCCCCTCGCCTCGCGTCTCCCCAAGTCGCCGTCGTCGTCGTTTGCAACGCGCTGTTTTCCTCCACGGCGATGTCCGCTCTCCGAATGTATGTTGAGCTTCTTTCTAAACTTTATTTTAGGGTAAGGATCAAACCCACGACCTCCGGCATACCAGGCGAGGTAGTTAACATCTCCTAGCCACTGTGATGATGATGACGAGAGAGAGACACGCAAACTCCAAATATACAGCAAGCGTCAGGATCAGGATCGAACCCACGACCTCCTGCATGCCAGGCGAGGTAGTTAACATCTCCTAGCCACTGTGATGATGATGACGAGAGAGAGAGACGCAAACTCCAAATGTACAGCAAGCGTCAGGATCAGGATCGAACCCACGACCTCCTGCATACCAGGCGAGGTAGTTAACATCTCCTAGCCACCATGATGATGATAATAGAGAGACACGCAAACTCCAAATATACAGCAAGCGTCAGGATCAGGATCGAACCCACAACCTCCTGCATACCTGGCGAGGTAGCCAACATCTCCTAGCCACCGTGATGATGATGAGAGAGAGAGACACGCAAACTCCAAATATACAGCAGGCGTCAGGGTCGGGATCGAACCCACGACCTCCTGCACACCAGGCGAGGTAGTCAACATCTGAGATATTGACCGTGCGAGAGCCTGCGCTCGTGCGTGGGATCCGCCCGACGTGGACTCACGCGTCTCCCCGTGCGCCGCTCCCCCCGCGCCGCAGGTGGTCGATCACCCCGCTGATGTACCCGGCGTCGTTCATCTTCTCGGTGCCCAGCACGGCGTACGTGGTGCTCACCTGCATCAACCTCTTCATCGGCATCAACGGCAGCGTCGCCACCTTCGTCCTGGAGCTCATCAAAGACCAGCCGGTCAGTCCCCCTCGCGTGCCGTGATGGCCTTCATAGGTGCTGCTCGCCAACAGCACTTTCCCCAGCAGCCTGTTGCAGGCTATACGGGGGACCTTTGTGTCTATATGTATGCATTTTTGTATGTGTGTGTGTGCCCTCGGGAGCCGTAGTGCAGCGGTTAGCGCGCTGCGCTACGAAGCCAACGCCCCGGGTTCGATTCCCGCTAGCGGCCAACACCGGTGACGATTGTCTGAATGAGCCCTGGGCCTCCTCTCCTAGGTCGACTCGGCCTCAAATGAGTACCTGGCGCGGTGTGTAAACATCGTGTGGTGATGGCCACCCACCCCCTCGTGTGCCGTCTCAGCCTTCATAGGTGCTCGCTAAACAGCACTTGCCCCAACAGTCTCTTGAGGCTATACGGAGTATTTGAGTTTTTTTGTGTCCTGGACTTGGGTATGTACATCCAAGCACACAGATGTATCTCTGTATATATAGTGTGTGTGTGTGTGTCTTTATCTCGGTCACGTGGCCTTGGAGTGCACTTGGGCTGGCACGAGCACCGTGTCATCGTCGTCGTAGTTGTTGTTGTTGTCGTCGTCGTCGTTGTTGTTGTTGTTGTCATCGTCGTCGTCATTGTTGTTGTTGTTGTTGTCCCCGTTGCTGCGTCCCGGTGGAGCAGGACCTGCAGAAGGCGAACGACATCCTCCGCGTGGTGCTGCTCATCTTCCCGCACTTCTGCCTCGGCCGTGGCCTCATGGACCTCGCCAAGAACCAGCAGCTGGCTGACATCGGCGCGCGCTTCGGTACGACGCCGCGAGCACCCACGCACGCACACGCTCGTGTACGTACGTACATCCGCGTTTGTACGTATGTACGCGGATGTACGTACATACATACATCCTTGGGCGCAAGAAGAACATCATGCAGACGAATGTACGTAGGTGTGCGTGCGTACGCACACATACGTACGTATGCCTGCGTGCGTACGTACGCACTTGTGCGTGATGTTCTTCTTGCGCCCAAGGACTGCGTGGGAGGCGGGGAGGGACGGTTTGCCCCTCTGCGGGCGGTGCTATTGCGGAAACGTGCGGCGATGCCCCTCCCATCGCGGACATCACAGATCATCGGCAGGGCGTGAGCCAAGCAAGGGAAGGGATTAAATGCGCAACGGCGGGGGGGGGGGGAGGTGGGGTGGGGGAGTCCCATAAAACTATAACACCCCCGTGCCCCCCCCGCCCCTCACAAACTCAATGCAGCCCTGAGCGTACGCCGAAACACAAATCCAGATTTTAATTTGTCTTTGCAATGAGAGTCGCGGACGACCCCGCTACCCCGTGACCCCGTGCGACCCCCACCAGGCCAGAACTCGTTCAAGAACCCCTTTGATTGGGACGTGGTCGGGAAGAACCTCTTCGCCATGGCCGTGGAGGGAGTCGTCTTCTTCACGCTCACACTGCTCATCCAATACCGCTTCTTCGTCAAGCCCAGGTGAGCGGCACAGCGAGTCCTCCGCCGCACTCTCTCTCTCTCTGCACTGTTTCTCTCCTCTCTCCTCTCTCTACTCTCTCTTTTTTTTACGATCAGTGGAAACAAGAAGATGCTCGGTGTATTCGGCACTTTGCTTCGTTCATCATTTCGTAATTTTTTTTTTATAACTTTGCTTTATGTAAACCCCCACCTCTCACTCACTCTCTCGCTCACTCTCTCGCTCACTCTCTCGCTCACTCTTTCGTTCACTCTCTCGCTCACTCTCTCGCTCACTCTCTCGCTCTCTCTCGTTCTGCACGCAGCCCTTCTCACAGTTTGACGGCCTCAGACGGGTAGCTCATATCAGCATGCAGAGCTCCCTGTCATCTGCCACCGAGCACACGGCCTCCTCCATCGCCCACTGCTCCTTGAAGGCCGGCATGGCGTGGGTCAGCCGCGCATGGCGGAACTCCGGTCCACACACCCTGGCTCCGACCAGAGCGCGGAAGATGCCCAGGCTGCTGGCCGGACGTTTCCCCTCCAGGGCCACCTTCCTCGCCCTGTGCACGGCGAGCTTGGCGTAGCCGACGAGCACGTTGACCAGCCCCTGTAGATGTTGGGGTCCGTCGCCCTTTTGGTATCCAAAGATGAGGACCGTCGGGGAGAAGTGGAGGCTGAACTTTAGGTGGATGTTTTTGAGGACCTTGAACAACAAGTCCAGGCTCTCTCTCTGAGCCATCACCACGGTGCGTGCCGCCACCCCCCCTCCCCCCCCAGGCCGGTGAAGATGGAGCTACCTGCCACGAAGGACGAGGACGAGGACGTGGCTCGCGAGCGGCAGCGCATCGCGTCCGGCGGCGGCCTCACCGACTCGCTCCGCATCGTTGAGCTCGTCAAGGTGATCAACAACCCGTCCGTGTGGCTCCCCCCCACCCCTTCTTCCCTTCCGCCCGACCCCCCCCCCCCCCCACTGCATTATTGCCCCAATTGCCACAGCTCTTTGCCCACCGTTCAAGGGGGGCTCCATTGACAGAGGTGACAAAGGTAAAGGCGCAGCCCTGCAATTGCTCGCTTGTTCCAACCAGAGGGAGCTCTGGCTGCCAAGTCCATTGTAACAGCTCGGACCGTTGTCAGAGGTGTGGGACCTAAGACCTGGGATTGAGCAACGGTTGGCTACGCACGGTGTGAGCGGAGTTCAATGTCCATACGCACGTGTGGGTCGTGGATAATCACAGGGAGGTTAAATCCAGGGTCACGCCGTGACCCTTGGACAGGTCGACGCTCGCTGCGTCCCCGTTGGCGGGAGATGGAACCGGGGACCTTGCGCCGTGGCACCACAGCACCATCCAAATAATGACATTGGTAATGTCACGATGACATCAGATTATTTCCATTGGTAGTATTGCAGTGGAACCCCTGTTAATGACCACCCTTGTTAACGACTAATCGCTTAACGACGGGCCTCCATAGAGCCCAATGTGTAGTGTATAGTAGTGTATAATGTAGTGTATAGTAGTGTAGTATAGTAGTAGTGTAGTGTATAGTAGTGTAGTGTATAGTATTGTAGTGCCTCCAATAGAGCCCAATGTGTTTGCTCACCGACCATTCCCCTGTTAACAAAGGGCTGTTGTAGGTACAGTAAATATATATGAATGCATTGATTAACCATGTTTCTTTTAATATGTGTTTAGTATATTTTATGTATTAATATCCATTGTTTAAATACGTACGTGAGAAAAAAAATACGTGTATTTTCTACACTCGCTTAATGACCAAATCACCTAACGACTGGTTTCGCGGAACCAATTACCGCCGTTAAGAGCGGGGGGGGGGGGGGCAGTTCTACTGCGTTGCTTTACCGACTGCAGCACTCACAGTCGCCGTGGCCGCGTCTCCCGCGTGCAGATCTACCGCGGGAAGAAGAAGGCTGCGGTGGACCGCGTCTCCGTGGGCATCCCGCCGGGAGAGGTACGCCACGTAACCAAGCGCACGCCCGTCGGCCAATCGACACCTTGACACTCTCCCGCTCCGAGACGTCTGCAAGTGGCAGTGTGGGGGCGTCCCGTTCACCGCCGAATCCAAGCGACCCGGCGTACATTTTATTCAGCGCTGTTTCATCTATGTAATAAGACTCTTTGAGACGACTTCTGGAATCCGTCTTTTATTCACTTTGGGTTACATCTACTTCACGCTGCTGGTAGACAACGTGCAGGGACAGATAGACCGAGAGAGACGCACTGCCACGTGGCAACTCGGAGCCATGCGCCTTCCTCCGTTGGTTCCCGTTCTGACCACGTGTCATTCCTCTCTACCCCTATTTAATCCCCGGGTCATGTGGTACGCTTCAGCCAATCCTCGTTAGCCTGCGTCGAATCTTCCAGGCTCCCTCGTCAGCTCCCGGGACCATGCCCCTGACTCATCTCCCCATTGGCTGTGGCCAAAGCCAGCAGAACCAATCCTTATAGCTGTCACCTTTCCATCACGTCAGGGCCACGCCCCCAGGCTTCCCCCCATTGGCTGTAAACCAGGACCGGCAGAGCCAATCACCATGACAAGGTCAGGGTTGCGATTTCCGCATGGAAAATGCGGAAGGAGGGTTCAAATTTTCCCGCATTTTTGCTAAAGTCAACCGCAAACGGTGGAAAGACTACTCCTATGACCGCGCGCTTTTAACAACACGTTAATGCGTTCTATTGGAAAGGATACATGCAAGGCCCAGCATCACGTAGGGCTTTGAGTTACTGATTGGAATGAATATATGATTTCCGCATTTCCGCACAAGAACCACATACTTTATTCAAATGCGGAGCCGTGATTACGAGCACATGTACTTTCACTTCTTCGCATTCTTCCAGCGCTTCATGTCGTCTTCGGCGTGAAAGATGCTGAGTTTTGGCTTGTCGCGGGTGCAAACTATAAGCGCGTTCAACTGCTTGCACGAGAGGAGCAACCACTCCTCGGGCTTGATGTTGTTTTGCAGAGAGAAAGCCCTCTCACAGCCGACCGACCTGTGCGCCAAAGTTTTAATCGTTAGCAGTAAAGTGTATATATTCGCAGGAGGTATAAAGCAGAGGTGGGACAAAGTCATTGTTATGCAAGTCCAAGTCGAGTCTGAAGTCATCAAATTCATGACTCGAGTCTGACTCGAGTCCAAGTCACATGACTCGAGTCCACACCTCTGGTATAAAGTAGCTACGACAGAGGCAAATGAGCGTACGCTGGACGAGGATATTACCTGAGCGGAAACGCGTGTGTATCTGAGCGTATCGAAAACAGCGTGGGTATCTGAGCGCTTGGCCAAAATTACCAGTGGATTTCCCAACGCGCTGCAATCTGAGCGACGATGAATAGTTTTGCATATCGACAGAATATGAATAAAGAAAATGCTACAGTTTTTTTTTTTTCCTTTGTCGCTACGAGTACTGCGAGGGCTCCGAATGGCAGACGCTAGGAGACATCATGGGGCTGGGCAAAAGGGCCTGAGCACAGCGCCGGGGGTTGCGTCGATCCGGAAAGATGCAACCGTAGGGATTCCTATCGGCGACAAACATGTCAACGGTGGCGTCGTGTACTTGTGGCAAGTGTGCTTCATCGACGGCATCGACAAGTACTTCGACGCACAAGAGCTCGCGGCTCTCATTGATTTTTTCACAGTTCGTGCGCACCAACAACGCTGTCTGAATGCAGGAATCCATAGTTCATATATACATATCGTTTTTTCCAGAAGTCAGCAGAGCCAAATGGGCATACGCAAGATATGTGCGCCAACCGCGCGAGTACGGCACCGAGAAAGGCGGGAATCGAAGTCACGATTTGCGGAAGTCTTCACAGGAATCACCGCAAATTGCGGAAATTTGTGCGGAAGAGGGTCACAGAAACTACCGCAAAATGCGGTCGAAAACAGCATGTTTGCGGAAATTGGTGCGGAAATCGCAACCCTGGACAAGGTGTGATACGTCAGTGAGCCGGATATATTCTCATATTACATCTACATAAAGGCTCAGTCCCATTTACAGCAGCCACACCTTAACAACCCTGGCACCTCCCAGTTCAACCAGTCTACACAACAAAGGCTCATTCCTAGCAGCAGCCTCAGCCGCACCAACCTCACAACAATAATACAAAACTCCGATCCAGGTGCCTACCTTGGCTCCTCCCCCCCTCAACCAGTATATATACAGTAAAACCTTGGATTGCGAGCATAATTCGTATATCAAAGCACTTGTATATCAGTTGTGATCACGTGACGCTCGGCAGACAAAGCGTATACACGCACTACTCGTACTGCAAGACCTCGCTCGTTAATCAAATTAATATTTATTTTAAAATGTTGCTCGTCTTGCAAAACACTCGCAGACCCAGTTACTCGCAATCCAAGGTTCTACTGTACAAGGACGGGTCTCTTAGAATTTCTCTTACTTGATACAGCAATCGTGCTGTGATGGTTCCACCTGAAGACGGAAGCTTGTCTTGCCTCTGAAACGTCGTGATTTTTATTTTACTTTTATTAATTTTAATTATATTTTTTACCTACGTGACTTTACCGAAAAAACCTAAGAGTAGGCGTAGCGCCGTCGTCGTTTTTAGACACATCGCCTCTGTCAAATGTTTCGTGAACTTTCCGCCGGGACACCCCACCACTTCTCACAGGGCAAAGCGTGACCTCCAAAATGTAACGTCGCGTCGTTCATGGCGAACCGTGGCGAGCTTTGTTTTCTTACTTCTGCGTACCAGCTGTAGGCGCGGCCACGTGGGTGACAGGCCTGCGTGGCGTACGCGCGAGTAGAGGGACTCCTCGTTGTAATGTGCTAGGAGATGCGTGCCTGAAAAGTGCCATGGCGAGCTGAAAGAAGCGGTAAGCGAACAACGCTTTCCCCGTAAATAATGTGGGGACGCTAAAGTTTGGCGAGATACGACGTACTACGACGCACGTGCGGTGAGATGGCGGGACAAATAACTGAGGGTACGCCGCGGTATTGCTGTGTCATTCCGCTCAGCCGAGTAGCTCAAGAAAGTTTTCAAGTTTCAAGTTTATTTATTAGGTATAGCCCTGTGAGCCATTCGGCTCTTGAATCGGGTGCAACCGCAACAAACAAAAAACTAAAATATGAACAAGAAAACATCTTAAAGTGACTATGTGACTAAGTGCAAACAGAAAATCCGAGAAAAGACATCAAAATATTGCAGAAAAAGCACCGTACACCAACACTGTGTGCAAAAATCCCATTGGGATGCAAGTCGTCAAACAACGCTCGTCAGAAACCATGCGATAATGGGGGGCGCGTTCTACGTTGTGCAAAAAAGTGTTCCCAGAATGGAAGAAAACCACGTTATAGCGATAGCGAGTTGCGTGAACACCGCGCGTAAAGCGAGGACCTGCCGTATATGCTTAAGTACGAGCACACGCACGCACACGATGGTACGCGTCGGTAAACGAGCGGACGGGCCCGGGTCGGTCGTCTCTCTCCCCTGCAGTGCTTCGGCCTGCTGGGCGTGAACGGCGCGGGAAAGACGACGATGTTCAAGATGCTGACGGGCGACACGGACGTCACGAGCGGCGAGGCCTTCCTCACGGAATACAGGTGACGGGCAGGACGCACCGTGGCACGTGGCAGAGGCCAGCGGCTCGAGTGAAACACGAGAGGGCATCGTGGGATGTTCACAAGTTGATTTCCCACCGAGGAAAGCACCGTAGAGCTAAGAAACTGTTTTTAAATGGTGACTCGGCCACAAACGAAAGCTCCAAGCGAAGTGGCTCGTCACGTGTAAGCTTATAGCAGCCAAATAATCTAGAGGCCATGTTGTTGATTCTAAAATGTGGAGGGGAAAAAACCAGATGACCCGGAGAAAAATCCACACGTCCCACAGGGAGAGCATGCAAACTCAAAATATACAGCAGGTGTCAGCGTCAGGATCGAACCCATTACCTCCTGTAGACCAGGCGAGGGAGTTAACATCTCACCACCGTGGCAGCATGGAGTCTTTAATTTTCCATTCAGGAAGGAGATGTGAGTTTTTCCACAATTTACAAACAAGCTTAATCATTGCAATTATGTTGTAAAATTATCTTTACACTTAAACTCGAGTGAGTCCGTTTAAAATAAAATTATAATAAAGGCTCTACCTTTTCTGGCAATAATGCTGGTGTTAAGATGTTAAAACACCAAAATAGACACATTATTCCAGGAAGGCCAAAGCCTTTTTATTATTACACGCTTTTATTTCACTCACTTCGTCTGTTGTATCCTCAAAAAATAAATCTTGTAACTCAATTTTTACACACTTCCCAATGTGCTATCGACTGCAAACTTCGTATAGGTATGTCATACTGATGACAACACGATATTCCATCATAAAAAATCCAAAACATATATTTGAAAACTTTTTACACGCTTTTATTTAACTTACTGTATGTGTTGTATCCAAAAAATGTGTAAGTCAATTTCAACCGTATTCCCAATGTCGTATCGACTGCAAACTTGGTATAGGTATGTCATACTGATGACAATACTATATTCTATCATTGAAAATAAAAATATATTTTTAAACAATCTTTTTTATGGCTCTAATTGTCCACGTTTACGGCTCTAATTGTCCACGCTCAACTCACGTTAGCTGTTAATCACCACGTGATCCCTGACGTCACAGCAAGCCTCGGGGAGCCACGCTCAGGGGCGGGGGATGTGGAAGGAGGGGAGGGGCGATGGGGGAAGGGGGCAGGGGGAGGGGCAGCTCAGACAGTACATTTCATTAAAGCGTGTTTTTTTTTAAAGTATTTTTTAATATTTGTTTTTTCATCTTAATACAGTACTGGCAGTCCCATGGCGATAACAGCACCATACCTGCACACAGCTGCTTCTTGCCATGACTATCATTATTGTTTGTCTTTAGCGTCTTCACAAGCGTTGGGAGTGTATGGCTGCCTCCCGTGTGTTTCTCTTCTCCTCCTCGTCCCCGTCCTCTTCCTCCTTGCTTTGTTTACACTCCTGCCTGGTCACACGGTGAACTTGGGTCCGGTTTGCTGGTCCAGCGAAGTCGTACGTGAAATGTCAGGTTGCAATTACGATGGAACGGTTCCGCGCGCGTGGCATCCAAACGCGTCGTCGTGTTCATTGTAGAGAGGTCGTCTGAGATCTACTCTAGACCATGATCGTCTTTGTCTCTAGACCTCGATATTTCCCGTGGGAGGCCAGTCGGCCGAAATTTCGAGATACTCCTTTCGTCCCCAGCAAACCATTGTTCAAAAGTATATTGTGAATTTTTTTTTACTTACGTAACCCGAGTTTGTGTTTTTGGTGTAATTTCACACTCCTGTCCGTGCCGCCACGTGCCAGCATCCTGACCAACATGCGGGAGGTGCACCAGAACATGGGCTACTGCCCGCAGTTCGACGCCATCAACGACCTCATCACGGGGCGGGAGCACCTGGAGTTCTACGCTCGCCTGCGCGGGGTCCCCGAGAAGGAGGTGGCCACGGTAGGTGCCCAGCGGCGACCCTCGGGGTTTCTCTGCAGTGCCGCCCCATTTTGTTATCCACCCATTAGCTGCCAACCCCATACCTCTCAGCAGCAGCAGAGCATGGTTGGCATGACATTAAATGAGACAAGCTGTGCTCTAATCCTGCCGATGGTTAGCACGGTCGGCTACGTACGGTGCGAAACAAGTTCAACAAGCATGCATAAAAGGTGCGTACCACGATATTGTCCAAGGCGCGTTGGCGTCACGTGACCAGTTCACGTGCACAAATCCACCAATTGCGGCCATCCGACCGCAGAACTTGACATTGTTGTGGGCCGCCAGAGGTCGTGGTCGCACCACCCGCACGCTCGGTAACCACGAGAGCCGTTTAATCCCCAACGCCCCCCCCCCCCCCCGCATCAGGTGGCCGAGTGGGGGATCCGCAAGCTGGGCCTGATCCGCTACGCGGACCGCTCGGCCGGCAGCTACAGCGGTGGCAACAAGCGCAAGCTCTCCACGGCCATGGCGCTCATCGGCTGCCCTCCCGTCGTCTTCCTGGTGAGACGCGCCGCGCGCTCGGACTCGTGCCCTTCGCGTGGAGGGGCGATCGTATTGTTGTTATTATTACATTTTCACACGCTTGTTGAGCACGGGCCCAAAAAAACGCCGGGCGGCCAGCGATGATCAGAGAGTTGATACGTTTCGCGAATTTGGTGGGTGTATTGGTGCGTGAGTGGGTGTTTTGGTGCGTGATTGAGTGAGTGAGCAGGTGAGCGGGGTGGGGTGAGTGCGTTGTTGAGAGCCGCCACAGTGTGGTGGTGGTGGAGGTGGTTGAACACGGTACAGGTGAGATGACACGGTCGGTGTCTGGGGGACCGAGTGCTCGCCACACGCGGAGGGCTGGTCACGTGGAGGCTGTGGGGGCAGACGCTCAAACGATTTTTGTCTCCGCAGGACGAGCCGACCACTGGGATGGACCCGAAGGCGCGGCGCTTCCTGTGGGACTGCATCCTCAGCGTCATCAAGGAGGGGCGGTGCGTGCTGCTCACCTCGCACAGGTACCGCTCCCTCGCCTCGCTCGGCCGCCCAACCGCCCACTCGATCACTCACCCACCCACTCACTCAATCACTCACCCACCCACTCACTCGATCACTCACCCATCCACTCGCTCAATCACTCAGCCACACACTCACTAACTCAGCCACACACTCACTCGATCACTTAGCCACTCACTCACTCAATAACTCACCCACCCACTCACTCAATCACTTAGCCACTCACTCACTCAATAACTCACCCACCCACTCACTCAATCACTCAGCCACTCACTCACTCAATAGCTCACCCACCCACTCACTCAATCACTCAGCCACTCACTCACTCACTCGATCACTCACCCACCCACTCACTCAATCACTCAGCCACTCACTCACTCAATAACTCACCCACCCACTCACTCAATCACTTAGCCACTCACTCACTCAATAACTCACCCACCCACTCACTGAATCACTCAGCCACTCACTCACTCGATCACTCACCCACCCACTCACTCAATCACTCAGCCACTCACTCACTCAATAACTCACCCACTCACTCACTCAATCACTCATCAACTCACTCACTCACTCACCCATTCACCCAACCACCTACTCGCCCAATAACCCACCCACACTCACCAACTCAGCCATTCACATACCCACTAACCCAATCACCCACCCGCTCGCTCACCCGCCCGTGTGCCCGTGTGCAGCATGGAGGAGTGTGAGGCGTTGTGTACTCGCATGTCCATCATGGTGAACGGCAGATTCCAGTGCCTGGGCAGCGTGCAGCATCTCAAGAACAAGTGAGTGGGCGACCTGCATGTGGCAAAGACAAAGATCCCCCAGAAAGCCTTTACAAGACTGTTGGGGCAAGTGCTGTTAGCGAACACTTAATGAAGGCCGGCACGGCACACGACGTCTACATAGCTGCCCCAGGTGCTCATTGTAGGCTGAGTCAACCTAGGGGAGGCCCAGGACCTGTTCAGATATTCGCCACTGGGTGTTGACCGTGAGTTGTAATCGAGCTCGGGTCGCCGGAATCGTAGCGCAGCACACGCAGCTTACCGCTGCACTACCGCCCCAGCACACACTCGCACTCACAAAGACAAAGATCCCCCCCCCGTATAGCCTTAACAGACCGTTGGGGCAAGTGCTGTTAGCGAGTAGCACCTATGAGGACCGGCACGGCTCATGAGAGGGTGGGTGGCCAGCACCACGCACTCACAGTCACACACAGTCACACACAGTCACACACAGTCACACACAGTCACACACAGTCACACACAGTCACACACAGTCACACACAGTCACACACACTCACACACAAAGATCAAAGATCCCCCTTATAGCCTTAACAGACTGTAGGGGCAAGTGCTGTTAGCGAGCACCTATGAAGGCCAGCACGGCACACGAGGGGGTGGGTGGACCAGCACCACGCCCGACCGCCTTTGTCTCCCTAGCGGCGATGTTTACCCATCGCACTAGGTACTCATTTTAGGCTGAGTCGACCTAGAGGGGGCCCGGGACCGGTTCAGATAATCGTCACTGGTGTTGGCCGTGAGCGGGAATCGAACTCGGGTCGCCGGGTTCATAGCGCAGCACGCTAACCGCTACACTATCGCTCCCCACTCACACACTCACACACAGTCACACTCACACACAGTCACACTCACACACAGTCACACTCACACACTCACGCACAGTCACACTCACACACTCACAGCACCGTCTGGTTTCCCTGGTAACGTCGCTGGGTGGCGGCGGTGGTGGTGCCGCTGCAGGTTTGGCGACGGCTACACGGTGACGCTGCGCGTGGCCGGCTCCCCGCCGGTGCTGCCGCCCGTCGAGGAGTTCATCGACTCGGCGTTCCCCGGCAGCCTCCTCAAGGAGCGCCACCACAACATGCTGCAGTACCAGCTGCCCTCCGCCGAGTCCTCACTCGCCAAGATCTTCAACCTGCTGGCGCTGCACAAGGAGGAGCTCAACGTGGAGGACTACTCCGTCTCACAGACCACGCTCGACGAGGTGAAGCCGGCTCCACGGCCGTCGCGCTCGCGGTCCCCGATGCCCGCCCTGGTTAATACTGCGGGCGTCTTGAACGTAAATCGTAGGGGGCGCTGCGGTGGCGAGATGTTAACTATCTCGCCTGGTATACAGGAAGTGGTGGGGTCGATCCCGACTCTGACGCCTGCTGTATATTTGGAGTTTGCGTGTCTCTCTCTCTCATCATCATCACGGTGGCTGGAAGATGTTAACTACCTCACCTGGTATACAGGAAGTCGTAGGTTAAATCCCGACCCTGACGCCTGCTGCTGTATATTTGGAGTTTCCACGTCTCTCTCTCCCCGTAGTTGCGTGGCTTTTTCCTCCACATCTTAGAATCAACATCACACGTTTACAGTAGTTGGCTGCTATTCACGTGATTATCAGCCACTTCATTGAACGATCATCTGTGGCCAGGTCACTTCTGAATAAGAGCTATGTAGCTCAGTGGGCCTGGTAAAATAGAAATTGTAGATTATTTTTGTGGTGACATGGCCGAGCGGTTGCTCGTTTTGCCGCTCATTGCAGAGGATCGCTGACCGAGTCCCGATGGCCGCCCTGGTTAATACTGCGGGAGTCTTAACTGAAAAGAGTGTAAAGATTTGGATGTATGTACATGTATATGAATGTGCCGTTAGCTCCTCACGATTTCGACCACGATAAAACAGGACGTGTTTTCACAATTGGGGCTGTTCAACGGCTCTTCCTTGTATTTACTTCCGCCTCCTCCAAGGTCCTTTTCCACTGGCACATCTGAGCCGAGCCAGAACCAAACCATGATGCGCTTGGGCTCCACAGAGGGTGTCTAAGTCTGGCAACTGAGCCAAGCGGGGCCAGGGGCCTTGGTCGAACGCCGCTCTCGCCGCTCGAATTGTCGCTTCAGTGCTTGCAACTCAAACATGGCGTCAACGACAAAGGTCCCCCGCCCGCCGTGCTGTTAGCGAGCAGCTAATGAAAGCCAGCACTGCACACGAGGGGGTGGGTGGCCAGCACCACGCCTGGCCGAGTGGCGATGTTATCACGCACCGCACCAGGTGCTCATTTGAGGCCGAGTCGACCAAAGGGAGAAGGCCCAGGACCGCTTCAGATACTCGTCACCGGTGTTGGCCGTGAGCGGGAATCGCCGTGTCCTTCCCACGCGCGTCGACTTGCCCATGGCTCTCGCGCGTGGAGCTGCAAGGCCTCTGGTTCTGCGATGGGGGGAAGCAAGAAGCTCGCGCCTCCCTGAGCCACGCCGCGCCGGCTCTACGCGGGCCTCGCCCGCCGCTCGATCAGCCGCTCGCGACAGGGCGTCCTCGTGGACGTGCGCTGGAGACTCGCGCCATTGATCGCCGTGTCTCCCCATCCCGCACCCGCCCTCCGCAGGTGTTCGTGAGCTTCGCCAAGCACCAGCACGACGGGGAGGAGTGGGAGTCCCTGATGAACCAAGCGACGATGCAGCAGCAGCAGAAGGACACGGAGCTGTGAAGGCGCGCGACCCTTCCCGAAGGCTCACCCGCGAGTCGACCACGGTTTTATTTTTTTCCCCTGATGCTCGAACCGTGGGTCACCCACGGCAGTCAGAACTTCTTACGGCCATTCACCACCGGTTCGAAGGCATCGCTGGGAGAGGCATTCCTACATGTTCGGTGTGAGGTGCGGGTATAGAGTTCCACGGTGGCGAGATGTTAACTCCCTTGCCTGGTATACAGGAGTTCGTGGGTTTGATCTCGACCCTGACGCCTGTATATTTGGAGTTTGCATGTTCCCTGCCTCTCTCTTTTCCCGTAGTCGCATGGACTTTTCTTCGGGTTCCTCCGGTTTTTCCCTCCACATTTTCAACTCAACACCATGCGTTTTAGAGTGTTTGGCTGCTGTCAACTTAATCGCGCTAATAAGCCACTTTATTAAGCTATCATTTGTGGCACTTCTGAAAAGAAGGCTAAATAGCTCAGTGGGCCTTACCTGGTCAGATAAAAAAAATAGTTGAGTTCATTCGGGTCTGTTTGGGTTGGCGAGCCAGAGGATATTACTTACAGCCTGCACACCACATCCAGTATACGTCTCACTATCGCTGCAGCTACAGTGCGCGTGCTTACACCAGTCTACCAAGTGACCCAGAGTGTAGTCGGTGATAAGTGAAAAGCTTCGCTCCCGAGACATCTAGAGTTGGCTTCCAGCTTGTCCGAGATGGACACCGTCCATACGATTGTGGAATCTCCAGGCTGGGCTCGGGGTTTCAAACAGGAAACTGCGAACTCGCCGACTTGAGCGCTAAAACAACGTGGATCCCGAAACTTGCCGCTCCAATTGGTGAAAGTTGACACTGCAGAGCCAGAGGCCTCCACGCGCACGGGAAAGAGACAAGTCGACACGCGTGGGAAGGACACGGCGATTCCCGCTCACGGCCAACACCGGTGACGATTATCTGAAGCGGTCCTGGTCCTCCTCCCCTAGGTCGACTCAGCCTCAAACGAGTACCTGGCGCGTTGTGTAAATATCGCCATGAGGGAGACAAAGGCGGCCAGGCGTGGTGCTGGACACCCACCCCCTCGTGTGCCACAGTGCCGGCCTTCATAGGTGCTCGCTAACAGCACTTGCCCCAACAGTCCATTGAGGCTACCTGGTGGGGGGGGGGGAGGCCTTTGTCGCACTTTAGAAATACGGCCTCAGTGTGCTGGAGATGTTGTTGCGTGGAGCATTATAGGCACTCGGTGAGATTAATTTTATTGTTATTGCTCGTGTAGACTTACATGGACTTTCGGTTTAAAAATATATATATTGTTTATGCTACAAAGTAATGGGCTCTGTTCCTCCGCAAACGGCTGAGAAATTTTTAAATGAGCCTCGTCGTAACATATATCGGATAAACAACCAACATCCACCCAATCCCCAATTTCGTTGCTATGTAATCACTGGGCAGTGCCGCTTTGTCAGAAGGGCTGCGTCCTGAAAAGTACGAAAAAAAAATCCGAGATTTTCTTTGCGGTTTCAAATTGTCTGTGGGGGGGGGGTTCACGCTCGGCTCGCGATAGATAACAAAGTCGCGTGGTCACCAGAGGAGCGGTAGATTGGGTGGCCGTGGCGATGTACAAGCTGGCGGGGCTACCACCTCGCCGTGTGTCCCGGTTGAGCCTCCCAGGAATGTGGTACACTGTGAAACTACTGGCTATCTGTGAAACTACTGGCCATCTGTGAAACAAGAGCTTTGCATTTCGATTTAAAGCTTTCGTGACTGCAGGGATTCATCTTCTTGTTTCTTTCGGTAAAGTCACGTAGAAGGGAAGTAATAAAATAATAAAAATAAAACATAATAATTTTATTGTTTTATTTTTATTCTTTTATTACTTTCCTTCTACGTGACTTTACCGAAAGAACCAAGAAGAAGAGCTTTGCAGCTAAATCGGATTCCTCCGGTATAAATAAAATATTCTGATTCTGGGATCCTCACGTTGTTCACCACGACCTTCTTGCATCAGAAACACAGCCCGTGTGCGATTGTGCAGTGGAAGAAATACAAAATCCTCTTCCAGTGGAATTGTTTTCTGTCACCGGGCAACTTTAATTAGGTGTTGCCTTTAGGCAGCGCGAGACATCAGAAGAAAGAAAACGCCGACTTAAAGAATGTTCCCAAAGCGTCATCATTTTGCACTTTCAGATATCGTACACGTATATATTGGAATTTATTATATAAAATACTGTTATTATAAACGTAACTGATATATATATTCTACAGAGCATCCGTGCGTTGCGTTGTTATTTTTTTTATGGTAAATTATTAATCTCTTGGGTATTTGACCGTTGAAAATCTTGTGAAATGTGTGAAAGGATTTTGAGTCCCACGTAGGCTTTTGCCCAATGGCTCGGGTTATAACTTGCGCCTTGGCTCAGTGGGCCTTACCTGGTCAAATAAAAAGTTTTTAAAGTTAGTTTCAACTTTGCCACAAATCCATCGCATCAGAGTGCAGCCCAGTAATATAACGCCGACCACATACAGCCCAGCTCTCTATCCACTGCTGGATGACAGCCTCCCAACGCCAAGGGCGGGTTTCTTGGGGGCTCTTTGACCACACTTCACCACGCTGGTCGCTGCAGGTTGCTGAAGGCCCGGGGAGCATAGACGTTGGCAACGTAGGCATACAGTACAACAATGGATTGTGCTGCACTGCCCTCTGTTGCCCACGGTGTAACCCCGCAGCAGCCTATAGCACCTGTGCTGTGTGGCGGTGCTGGTCGCATATCGAATTCGCGATCGAACAATGATTCGTCCGTCTTCTTGGTTCTTTCGGTAAAGTCACGTAGAATGGAAATAATAAAATAATAAACAGGTCCCTGCGGGGTGGGCTGGTAGGAACGAACAAATGAATGGCTATAATAAAATGAAATGGCGGGGGTACGATACGAAGGGAGAGTTTGATGCCTAGTTCTAGGCTTTAGGCCTAGCTGTAGGCTTTAGGCCGCTGTGAGTTAATTTTTAATTCCAATGTTTTAATTAAAAACTATCTCAGGGAATTATAAGGGAATGTTACACTTGTTTAGCCAGGAAAGCCTCACTGAGTCTAAAGGTTTTTGTAGGGTCCTGCCAAGTGTTTGCAGTAGGGGGCGATGTTGCTACACCTAATTGTAGGCTGGTTCACTTCGTTCCTACCAGTAAAATAAAACATAATAAAATAATTCTCACGACGTTTCGGCCACAACGCAAGCAGCCGTCCTCAGGTGGAGAACAGGTCTGTCGAGAAGACAGAGTCTGAATGACACACCCCAGGCTTGGAACGTCTATTTAAGCTGGGACGGAGGGGGGAAGAGCGCCTTGACAAAATAATTTTCATATCAAGAGGAATTTAGCAAATCGAAATTTAATGATTCGTCCGTTTCGCGAAGCTGCAAATTGTTTTAACAACAATGACGACAAGAATCGCATTTATGAAGCGCCTCTCATGGAGGACCTTTAAAGCGCTGTTACAAGACACGGCGGCAAATATTCAGCGTACAAATAACTCGTGAAACAAAAAAGTAAATAGATGTTCATATTAACGGCTACTATTTGATGAGATGTGGTGCATCCTGGGTGATTTGGTTATAGGAGTATCTCTGAATCGTATTCTTAGGTTTTTTTCGGTAAAGTCACGTAGGTAAAAAATTTATAAAAGTAAAATAAAATAAAAATCACGACGTTTCGGAGGCAACACAAGCTTCCGTCTATAGGTGAAACGTCGTGATTTTTATTTTATTTAACTTTTATTAATTTTAATTTTTTACCTACGTGGCTTTACCGAAACAAACTAAGAATATGAATCCTTGCAAGTCACGAAAGCTTCAAATCTATAATCTCTGAATCGCATTACATATCGCTGCGGTTGACACAAAAGTGTGAGCTCTTGGTGGTTCCACTTTTAGAATCAACAGCTGATGGTGCTGCAATGTGGCGTTTGTGCATTATCCGTGTCTAAATAATAAATATATGTTGTGTAAAACTTTGCGTGACGCCGTCGTCATCGTCGTGAGCCATGTTCCATCCACTGCTGGATGAAGGCCTCTCCCTGCCATCGGTCTTGCCATGCCCCAATCAAGCACTTGCATCGCAGCCCTTCTGGATGAGGGCCCTCCCCACACCGCCGTTCACGTTGTTGGGGGCTATTTGACCATACTTCACCACGCCGATCAGTGCGGTATTTGGCAAGGCGTGGGAGCATAGAAGTGCAACTGCACAGTAATTCCTCGTTGAACGCGGTAGGTGCGTTCCTGAACAGTGCCACGTTAAGCGAAAACTATTTCCCCATTAAACACATTCCTCCTGCGGAGGGAGCTGGTAGGAACGTTGGGTTGCTCGGTCAATGGCCTGCAGGGTCAACGGCGGCGTGGTGTATTCCGCAAATATGCCCGACTGTGAGGGCGGGCACAAGCCGGCGTGAGTAGGTGAAACGTTGAGTTTTATAAGGGCACCACGGGGTGACCGGCCCCACCCCACCCAGCCCCACCCTCCCACCCAGCCCCTCCCCACCCAGCCCCTCTCCACCCAGCCCCACCCCTCCCATTTTTGGATGCACGACGGACGGACGGACGGACACAATAATCCCCTGTGGGCTGGTGTAACCAGGAGGTTCCTACCAGTATAATGTTAATGATAACATTTGGCGGGATACGCTGTAAGACTACTACTACGCAAGCACACGTAGTGAGATAGCGGGAAAAATCACTGAGGGTACGCCGCCGCGTTACTGTATCATTCCGCGTACTATATCACTCCGCTCAGTCGCCCAGCTCAGGAAAGTAGTTCTTCCACCGCTCAGAAACCGGATTATAACAGGACGCGCGTTATAACAGGACGTGCCTTCCGCGTTATAACGGGCCGCTCGTCTTGTGCGAAGTGTTCCCTAATGGAAGGTCCTCGTTACAGCGAAAACGCGTTACAACGTCAAAGCCGCCACGCGTTAAGCGAGGACTGCCCCTACTTTGGCTGCACTGCCACTCAACTGCCCAACACCGCCTTACGCTGACCACCACACAATTCCATCACCCCACTGTTCATATTGAAGTTACACCAAAATAAATAATAAAAGCTCGTACTCTATACACGTACATACGTACGCACGTGGGTGGACATCAAAATGAATTTCCGTACTGTTATTGCGCTCGGCACGTGAATGTGGAACTTCCAAGCACTGGCCTCGGCTGGTGCCCCATTTGTCACCTGGAGGAGCCAGAGGCGCGGGGCTCGTTACGTGGGGTCAACGAATGACCTACGATGTCAGGTTTTGGAAAAGCTGATTTTTCAGCCCCTGGACTGCGGTTACCACCTGCCCTGGTCGTCCCCCCCCCCCCCCCCCGCGTCACCGTCTTCTTGTTGAGGCCAACTGCTGTGCTTGAGAATGTTTCTCCGCTTAAATTTCCATGTAAAGCTTTCGTGACTGCAGGTATTCATCTTCTTGGTTCTTTCGGTAGAGTCACGTAAAAGTGAAGTAATAAAATAATAAAAATAAAACAATAAAACATAAATAAATGCATTCTTAACCTGAGGACGGCTGCTTGCGTTGTGGCCTTAACGTCGTGAGAGTTATTTTATTATGTTTTATTTTTATCATTTTATTACTTCCCTTCTACGTGACTTTACCGAAAGAACCAATAAGAGGTTTCTCCGCTTGTCACTAAAAATGCAATATTTCACCCCCTCCTAGAAGCTCCGCCAACCTTACAGCTGCTACTGGGAAAGATTAATTAGAGAATCTATCGAAATTGAAAGAAATACAAATTTTAACCTTTCAGGTAGCTACCGACTTAGTGCTGCGTGGAAGCGAATCATCAAATAATAAATTGTTTAAATGCGTGCCGATACAGGCCACCATACTTCAATAGGGATTACCGTCGCTACGGCTATTTTAATACACACAATGGACAGGAAGGACACGATCAAAGGGCTTGCATAATGCGCATGCATCATGTTCTCGTTATTAAGTTTATTCAATCCTTCAACAACAACAAAAACCATCAAAACATTTAGTAAGTTTGAGTATAAATTGATTCAATGTAAACTTTGGCACGTTAACAAAAAATTGCGTTTGCGTTTTGGAAGAAATGTATCACATTATATTTAATTCTGACCGTGCAGGTTGCTGTTGATATAAATGAACAGCAGCAATGCACTATGGATAGTAGTCTTCATGGTATGGGGGTAGAAGATTAACTGTTCATTGCAAGATTACGGTAACCCAAGGTATAGCCAACGAATATCATTTAAAGTATTTGTTCAACTTTTCTCTGGCTTGAAACCTTCCCTACGTATGATGCAAATACAAAAATATCACATGCGTCAACACAGCATATAAATGTAAACCACACAGTCAATTATAGAAAGTAAAATCATTCATCACAGAGAGAACGGTAGTATTTTAAAGGGGTCCATACTACCACACTCCCTTGCAATGGCAAACGAAACCCTGCAATGTTATTTGCTAGACCACGCATCTCCTCCCAACAGTGGCCGACTAACCCACCGCTCAAGTTCACTTCACTTGCCACACGTTTCACGTCGTACGAAGTGGTTGACAATTGCAATCACCGGTGTTTTTTTGTTACGGAGGATCTCTGGAGACTTGACCTCACGACCCCGATGGCTACGAAGCTCTTCCAAAGGTGAGGAATAATGCAGCAAAATGAGGCACGCGCAAGGACATGGTGGGAAATGTAGCGTTGCCCAAAGGGGGTCAAGAAAATAAAATGTAATAACTGGAAAGGCTACGTTGACTGCAGCTAGCTAGCACTTTTGTGATGAATGTCTAAATGTCATTGTTTAATAGCAAAAAAAAAAACAAATTGCTTTTTGAGTCGAACAACTAACGTGATCTTTTACGTCATCCTGGGTGTACGAAGGGACCGTCTACACTGGAAAGTCACCTTGTGAAAATTGTTTAAAAAGGAACTGCATTGCTTGGTTTTTTTGGTGACATTCCAATGTACCGACTATTCGTTGCAGCTGGCAAAACCATAAATATAGGTTTTTGGGTTAGATCACATAAATATAAATGTGTCATTAAACCCGCCACCACCCAACACAGCCGCTTAGTCAAGTTTGTCACGTAAACAAAACGTGACAATTCGTTACTACTACAGCGACGAATTGGCATGTGTAACCCAAAACCTCTTATGGATAATATTGTTCGCGAGAGCCTTTGTGTCAAACAGCTGGAAAATGTGATGGTCTGCAAGTTGTGTGGTCGAGGCGTGGAGCAGTTCTTGACCTTGCGATACATCCACCGTGTCCATGCAGGCGTGTAATGTGACGACAGCCCACAGTTAATGTTTGTGTCATATTCTCTTCTTTAGCAAAGGCACAACTATATCTGATAGTCATTAATCACCATGCCACCCCGTAAATCTCCAGAGCTTGCACCACATTTAGATGTGGACTCTCGCAAAGGGTTTGACGAGTTTCACGGTTTAAAATAAGACAATTCCATTCACTTTTCACTTGTTATTTTTGTAATTCTGGGACTCATTCAGCGTCTTAAGATACTGTACTGTAATTATAACACTTGTTTATTTAAACAGGCTGCGTGATGATGTGACAGATCACTTAACTCACATTCAGAAGGCTACATTCAAATCCTGGCCGGGAGTGAAATCGACCAATCATACCTTCAGGGGGTCACTAAAATGAGCATCGCTTTTTGTGAGGACAACTGAAAGTGGTTGTGTCTACGGAAGAGACCTTTAGAAGTGTGGACTCGCCACCACGTGGCACGGGGCACGAGAAAGGCATTTCCACAGTCACCGAAACGAAGGCACACGTTGACTCATCAACCTTTATGAACACTCTCCTTGAATGGCACAAACCAGAGCGCGGTGCCTGCGCTGCTAATATCATTGCTAACTTTGGCACCGATGGTCGCTGGCACGGGCCGCGTGGCATATGACGCACAGCACACCCCCACCACCCACCTCTTGTGTTTAACCCTCTCGTGCATCATGTCCACTGTGGTGGACTGCGATGATTTATTGGAATTTCAGCCGTGGTGACAGCAAAGCTCTCGTTGGTGCGTGCGGTCGTCCTTCCGCAGGACGTCGTGTAAGCTATTCAGTGTTGCCACCTGGCGGTGGAAAGTGTGATTCTACGGCAGGGAGGTTTGGTAAAGCGGAGGTTGCCATTCATGAAGGCGGTGGCCAGAGGAAGCTCAGTGTCTGCTGTAATGGAAATAATCATAATTTTGTGATAAATTACATGAAACCTTCTGCATATTTGGAAGCGGTGCCTTTGACAAAAATCACATAAAACCAAAACACACAGGCTTTGCTTTTAATAATTCACGCATTAGAGAGGGTTAATAATAATCAGCTGTCTTGCAGTGTAAAACATGAAATACTTAAGTACAAGGGAAATAAGAGGTAGTAGGCAGCGGAGGGTGGCCCGCGGGGTCTCTGTGTGTGGTCGTGCGGGGTAGCCAACTTTCCCCAGCGCTGTCTGCCAACGATGTTCGTCGGCCGTGCTTGGGGGGGGGGTGGACAGCGTGCGCGATCGCCCCGTTGCCCGTCAGTGGCTCTCGCGAAAAGTGAGACGGTGCGGAGACAAACTCCTCCTCTCCAGGACTTCCTTGACCTCCCACTCCGTCGCCCCCTGCAGCACAGAGCATCCTCTTTATGCCTCTTTTTCCACTGCGCAACCAAGCCGAGCCAGGGCCACGCCGAGCCAGTGGAAGCAGAGCCGTGCCACTGACGTCACGCACGATGAACGAGTCCGGGACGTGTGCGTAGAGGTGATGCGGTGATGTGTGTGTGTAGAGGTGATGCGGTGACGTGTGTGGAGGTGATGCGCTGATGTTGCAAGTTGGCACGGTAGGGGGCACAGGTGGTACATCGGCCAGTCATCTCAGTCAGTCGACCCATGACACCTGGGTCTGCCCCGTGACCTCCTGCCGGTGGACGTTCAACACTTCACGTGGCCTCAACGTGCACATAGCCTGGCACAAGCGCCGTGGTGACGTCACCGTCACTTAGTGGCGAATGGCGGTTGTTGTTGTTGCGCTGATGTCTGTGTGTGGTGGTGATGCACTGACGTGTGTGTGTGTGTGGCGATGCGCTGACGATGCACTCAATTTTTCTGAAAGACATGTTTTTTCTGGGGGGGGGGGGGGGGGTTCATTGAAGTGTTTTTTTTTTTTTTTTTTCCCGAAACCAACCGAGTCGCCTGGTGCGGGCGTGCCACTTGTGCCGAGCTCTTACCTTCCACAGCCTGTCGCGAGCACGGTGAGTCGCGAGCAAGTTTTTGACCCTCTCGTGAATTTTCTCCCAGGAGTTCACCGGCGAGCTTTCACGCCTGACAAAACCCCACGGCAAGCCGCGCGCGGGTCAGTTAGGAGAAGACTGCGCGTGGGTGCCTCACGTATGAACCCCGTTCCTCAAGCGAACGTAAAAAAACACCGCGCAATTTTAAAGCAATAATTTTGCTTAAAACACAGTTGCTCTCGATGTCGTGCTGTTTTTAAACGTGGACAACGGCACGTAGCTGTGCGACACGGCAACTTTGTTCGAACTTGAAACGGAATGTTGCCAAGGCAAAACGCACTCAACTGGATGAGGTCACAAGGTCATCGCAGCCAAGGTAAATCCAACACGGTTGGCTACGTACAGTGCGAAAGAAGTTCAACATACACACAAAGCACGGCTGGATAGGAACGGTGTGAAAGAAGTTCAACATACACACAAAGTACGGTTGGCTAGGAACGGTGTGAAAGAAGTTCAACATACACACAAAGTACGGTTGGCTAGGAACGGTGTGAAAGAAGTTCAACATACACACAAAGTACGGTTGGATAGGAACGGTGTGAAAGAAGTTCAACATACACACAAAGTACGGTTGGATAGGAACGGTGTGAAAGAAGTTCAACATACACACAAAGTACGGTTGGCTAGGAACGGTGTGAAAGAAGTTCAACATACACACAAAGTACGGTTGGATAGGAACGGTGTGAAAGAAGTTCAACATACACACAAAGTACGGTTGGATAGGAACGGTGTGAAAGAAGTTCAACATACACACAAAACACGGCTGGATAGGAACGGTGTGAAAGAAGTTCAACATACACACAAAGTACGGTTGGATAGGAACGGTGTGAAAGAAGTTCAACATACACACAAAGTACAGTTGGATAGGAACGGTGTGAAAGAAGTTCAACATACACACAAAACACGGCTGGATAGGAACGGTGTGAAAGAAGTTCAACATACACACAAAGTACGGTTGGATAGGAACGGTGTGAAAGAAGTTCAACATACACACAAAGTACAGTTGGATAGGAACGGTGTGAAAGAAGTTCAACATACACACAAAACACGGCTGGATAGGAACGGTGTGAAAGAAGTTCAACATACACGCAAAGCACAGCTGGCTAGGAACGGTGTGAAAGAAGTTCAACATACACAAAGTACGGTTGGATAGGAACGGTGTGAAAGAAGTTCAACATACACACGTACGTACAAGCGACGGCACTCACCCATCCAGCAGCGGCGTACGCCGTGACGTGGCCGTCGGGGCCGACAGCGGCCGGGCCGCCAGCGCCCCCACCGTGAGGTCATCGTCGTCAGCTCCATCGTCGTCGTCGTCGTAGTTGTCGCCGTCTTCGTAACTGATTGTGACGTTGTGCACCGTGGCCACCTGTGGATGTGCACGCACGATGACCGTCGCGTGGTAACGTACGGACCGGTTTAAAGCAGCGAGGGCGCGTGAGAAAACTTGGGGGAGTGCGGGGGGGGGCACAGCACTATCAACGTCACGTAAACTTTAAAGAAACGTTAAAACGACAAACGGCAATAGTACTCATGGCTTGATCTGAGTTTCTAGATTTGAATCTTTCGTGACTGCAAAGATTCATACTCTTAGGTTTTTTCGGTAAAGTCACGTAGGTAAAAATTAAAGTAAATAATAAAAATGATAATAGAAATAAAAGTATAAATCACGACGTTTCGGAGGCAACACAAGTCTCCCTCATCAGGTGGGACCGTCACAGCTAAATTTACTGTATCAAGTGAGGAAAACAATCCAAGAGGCAAGCTCTTAAAGTTAAGTGGGAGGGGGGGGAGGGGCTTATCTGAATGATCTGAGTTTGTTCGTTGTGCATTCTACTGCAGTTCCCAATATTTGTTCACTTCGACTCTAAGTATCTAGGAGGGGGGTGAGCCTTTGGCAAAGGGAACTCGGCCCCCCCCTCCAGCCGCCCCCACCATTGACCATGATGTAACCGTCCGTCTCTTATGCACGAACACTTTCAACCTCAGTTGGAAAGTGTTAAACAAGTAAACCCGTAAAAACAAAGTTTTTCACTCTAAACCCTTTATATGCGTGGCATCGGGGCGGCTAGAGTCCTCTCGTCCTCTGGCTTGAGATGGCTGCCACCTATGGGTCAGATGATTGTCTGGCAGCATTAAACAATTGGTAATTAAATATTTTTAAAAAAAATTCCCTAAACAGTGTAAAATTTTGAAAAAAAAATTCTCACGAAAATGCATTGTCATGCACAACAAGTCTGTGTGCAAAATGTCAGCTCGATTAGATTACGGGAAGTGGGTTAAAAAACGACCGAAAGATTTGCACGGTCCTAAGCAAGCAAGCGAACTTAATATAAAGGATTTCAAAAGGGAGTAGCCGACTTCCCAATGCAAAAGCATGCATGAAGCATTCTGAAAGCTCAGGGCTTCCTGGATGAATGGCAGTGCGAGCACACCGACACAAGGGTAGTCACACCTTGCCACACCGATTGCCTTGGCATCTGTTGGGCGAAGCTGAAAAAAAGACAAACAAAAATTCCAAGCAATTGTTACACACACATACTTACGGGCTCAGTTCAGATCTCACTCGCCACTAAAGTTAACTGTGGCCAGGAATCAAACTCGGGCACTGGGTTCATAGCGCAGTGCACTAGCCACTTCGCCACCACTCCATTGAAACCAGTGTACGGTTAACCCTTTCCCATTCCGATGACGTACGCATACGGAAAGAACTAAAATAAAATAACTTTATCGGTACCGAGGCTCCCACAAGGCCATGCGAGAGGGCGTGCGGCACAGTTTGGCACCAGCTATCGCAGAGTGCGGTCGTGTCGCTACAATTCTCTGCAGCGAGTACAATGTATTTTAAAACGGCGCTATGCCTCTCTAAAATAAATGCTAAATGCTTTTGCGTTCCGAGATTCAGCGGTGAACAGCACCCACCCTGCAACCTGCAGACGTCTCGGAACGGGGAAAGGGTTCATTAACAGAAAATTGGAGCCAATTAAAAAGTCAATTCTTTTACGAGGTGCATTTATCGCGTGCACATTTTACCCGAAGGCGAGCTTCTGGTCCCTGGGAAGTATCCCTGGCGGGGAGAGGTGCTTCTGGCGCGCGATCCCACCTGCGACAATACAACAACGTTCTCCGCTCAGTGGCGGCAATGTCAACACAGCACTTGTGCCAGGCCAGGTGTACTTTGAGGACATGTGAAGTGACGAAGACACGCTGGCGAGTCACCCAACATTCACACGTTACGAGCTAACCTACTGTAGCACTCCACAAGGCGCCAACTCACCGCGCTCTAGCAACTGAAATGCTCCGCTTGTTGTTGTGACCGCCGCTCAAAACAACAACAAGCGGATCGACGCCAGTGTAGGGCTATCGGCATACAAGTGTTTTTTTCCACTGGCTATTTTCCAAGCCGAGCCGAGCCGGAACCAAACTATAAAGACCTCTGGCCTCAGAAGGCATCTGAATCTGGCTCGAGGCCAAGCAGGGCTGGCGGCGGAGCTAACGACGCGTTCGTTGCTCATGGCCATCGGCGGGCACGACTGCAGTACTGCGGCGGTAAAAACCCGGCGCTTCCTTCAGCCGCACTGCGGTAGTGTAGCGATTAAAGCGTGCCGGCGCCATGAATCCAGTGACCCGAGTTCCTGCAGAACAGCACCGATGACGATTATTTGAACCGGTCCTGGGCCTCCCCTAGGTCGAACTCAGCCGCAAATGAGTACCCGGAGCGGTGTGTAAACATCGCAACCAGGGAGACAAAGGTGGCCAGTGCCGGCCTTCATAGGTGCTACTTGGTAACAGCACTTACACCGACAGTCTGTTACGACTATACGGGGGGATCTATGTCTTTGGTGTCAGGTATTGCAGTCGCCGATGACCTCGAGGTTATCGACCACTCACGGCAGCGGCGGCTCGCGACACGCTACGTCGCTTCGCCGGCCTCGCAGCGCCGCCCTCCGAGGCCCTCTTCGGCGACGTCCTCGCAACTGGCGAGCGCCCGCGTGACCTCCTCGTCGTCGTCGTCGCCTCGTCGGCGCCGTTGCCGTAGCAGCAGAAGGAGCAGGGGCCCCAGTGCTCCCCCTCCTGCCCCTCCCCGTCTGCGCGTCGCGACGTCTCCACGATGGAGGTCCGAGTGGAGAACTCCAGCTGAGGAGCGATGCCCTTCACCGCGGACAGTCAAGATATCGCGCGTCAAATTATTATGCGCGCGCACGTGAATCCAATGCCTCCCCAAAGGCGTGCGGCAGGTCGCGGCCGGCTGGCCATGCTTCGCCGGCCAGCTGGGGAACGCAACACTCGGCAATGTCTGCAGCAACAGCAGCAACAGCAGCAACAGCAGCAACTGCAGCAACTGTAGCAATAGCAGCAACAGCAGCACTAGCAGCAACAGCAACAGCAGCACTAGCAGCAGGCACTATTTTACCAGCCCGCTGCAAGACCGAGGGTGACTGCCAATTATAAACACAGAAGACAAGACAATTATACACGTGCGCACATGTGCAGCCTGTTGTCAATCCACTGCTAGATGAGGGCCTCCCCACGTCACGTGATTTACTTCACCAAGCTGGTCAAGTGCACGCTGGTGAAGGTGGGGAGGATAACCATGGGAGCAAAAAAGGTACCGTACAGTACGGGCGGTGAACTTTTTCTGCAATGCCCTCTGCTGCCCACAACATAGCCCTGCATCCTATAACACCTGTTATGCACGACAGTCGCCAATCCAAGCACGATCCAGGCTCAACACCGCTTCAGCTTCTGAGACCTAACAAGGTCGGCACGTTCTGGGTGACGTAGTCAAAAACCCGTGTATTGTAAGATGTCTAAAGTGCACCTGCTTTGTTAAGAGGCTTCTGCGTTATGAGAGAATGCATGAATGTGCGAAATCTGTGCTTTAATTCTAAATTTGAAGCTTTCGTGACTGCAAGGATTCATATTCTTAGGTTTTTTCGGTAAAGTCACGTAGGTAAAAAATGTTAATTAAAAAAAGTAAAATAAAATAAAATGATAAAAATCACGACGTTTCAGAGGCAACACAAATATGTGCTTGCCCGTGTGCGTGGCTGCCATGCATAAATTGTGTTCTTAATATGGACGACACAATGGTGAGCCCAGCTGCACCACCACGTTTTCAAAATGCACACGAATGTTCACCAACAAAGCCCTTCGCGTTTGTATTGACCTAGACTCAAATCAGGGTATGGGATTCATAACCGTGCTATCATCTTCTTGGTTCTTTCGGTAAAGTCACGTAGAAGGGAAGTAATAAAATAATAAAAATAAAACATAATAAAATAATTCTCACGACGTTTCGGCCACAACACAAGCAGCCGTCCTCAGGTGAAGAATGAAACACCACCAAGCTTGGAGCGTATATTTAAGCTGGGTTGGAGGGGGGAGGTGGGAAGAAGAGCGCTCTTCTTCCCACCTCCCCTCCTCATCATGAGAATTATTTTATTATGTTTTATTTTTATTATTTTATTACTTCCCTTCTATGTGACTTTACCGAAAGAACCAAGAAGATGAATCCCTTCAGTCACGAAAGCTTTAAATCGAAATTTAACCGTGCTATCAATTACTATTTCTCAGAAATTAGCCGTCGCTTCCTGGCATTCATCTTCTTGGTTCTTTCCGTAAAGTCCCCGACAGACCTGGTCTTCACCTGAGGACGGCTGCTTGCGTTGTGGCCGAAACGTCGTGAGAATTATTTTATTATGTTTAATTTTTATTATTTTATTATTTCCATTCTATGTGACTTTACCGAAAGAACCAAGAAGATGAATCCCTGCAGTCACGAAAGCTTTAAATCGAAATTCGTGGCATTCGCCAAGCAATGATAATTACAGATGGCCCCCTAAGCTGGCCCTCGGCGTGACTGTTAATTCGCCCATATACTTTCTTTTTAAAAACATCTATCACGTCAGTTGCAAATCGCTTGTAAAATCTCACTGAGATATATCTATAAAAAAATAGCCAGGCGCGGCGACGCACACCAATAAAGCAGCATTTTGGCGTTGAACGATGTAACGAATCGGTGCGCGTTAAGACTCAAAAACCGACTGAGCTGTGCGGTGACCAGTAAGTAGCAGCACGGCAAGTGCGTTCCGAACCCATGTGTGCTGACTTGAGAATGAGATACCTATGGTTCAGTGATTACACTGGTCAACAAAAAAATACATTTTTTTCTGGCCTGGACTTTTGCAGCTGTTTTAGACTAATTTCAGGGTGCTGATTCCAAATCTGATCTCAGATTTGCTCTATCACATCATTTTTATGCTATCGGCATACCCCATTTTCATTGATTTTACCCGAAATTAACTCTGTCACTTATGATTGCAAGTTGTTGCGAGTCAGTGACCACTTTAGTGTTAAAATATGGTGCTGTATTTTTAAGGTAGTGTGTTTATAATATAATTTTATGTAGATACCCACATTTATTTAATATTTTTCTTCTGCAGTTTTTATTGAAAATGCAATATTTGATATCTCAAAAACCTGATGTGATAGACAGAAACTGATGCCAGATTTGGAATCAGCACCCCAAAATTACCTTAAAACCGTTGGAATACCTTAAGCCAGAAAAAAGTGTTGACCAGTGTTATTCACCTTCACTGCAGCCTGCACCGCTTTGGTTCTCAGAAAGGGCATCTCGCACCTCCAGGGGGTGCGTGCACCCCAGGTGAACAACTACTGCTCGAGTTGGTTACCAAGTTTTGTTATGTATGTTGAACTTCTTTCACACCGTACGTAGCCAACCGTGCTAATTGGAAGTGCGGGGAAAGGGCAACAAACGAAATGCAAAAAGCAGCTCTAAAGAAATTAGTTTTCAATCGAGATGACTTAAAAGTGCATAATAGCTCCAGTGGCTTCCTAATATCAGAAGAGCGTTCCAGACGGCCGCAGAAGCGCATCATGACCAAAATATGCCAATAGAGGACCCTCTTGAAAAACTGTCCATAAGACTCAGTGCGGCTTTTTTTGATTTAAAAAGAAAATTAGGTTTTTTTTCAATGTGTGAACCATAAATGCAAGATTCAGTTACTTATCAACAGCAGGCCGATGGAAAACCAAGACATAAACAATATAAAAAATGATACTTCACAATTCAGTGCTATTCCCTGGCATATGCCTCCATCAACAAAACCCCATCGAATACATCTTGAGTGAGTCTACACACATGCACTTTAATAGCCAGCTGAAAACCATTTGGGGATTCTTTTCTTATTGCAAGGGAGAGTTTGGAGACCTGGATTCTATCAGACACTCATGAACAGATAACATGTTCCAATATATCAGTGGCACGAAATTGAAGCGAACAGTTCCAAAATTCACAGTCAATTCAGGGATTTTAAACAAATTTTCCAACGAACGTAACAAAACCGCCTAGATAACTGTGCCTGCACGTGCCCCGTGGTGTCCGTGTGTGCGTGTGCGTGGGAGCGGCAACGTAACGGTTAGCACGCTGCGCTATGAACCCGGCGACCCGAGTTCGATTCACGCTCACGGCCAACACCAGTGAGGATTATCTGAATCGGTCCTGGGCCTCTCCTAGGTCGACTCAGCCTCAAATGAGTACCTGGTACGATGTGTAAACATCGCAAACTACGGAGTCAAAGACGGCCGGGCGTGGTGCTGGCCACCCACCCCCTCGTGTGCCGCTCCAGCCTTCATAGGTGCTCGCTAGCAGCATTTGCCCTAACAGTATGTGAAGGCTATACGGGGGATCTTTGTCCTTGTGTGCGCGCGTAGGGCGGTGGTTGCGTACAGGGTAGTTGTGCGCACGGTTCAGAAGGATCTGCCCATCGGAACCGTGGGCTGATGGGGTGAGGCGAGGCTCCGGGAACAGGAAGCATCGAACGTCGCCTTCGTGGGTGGCCAGGGACTCTCCGCCTGGCCGAGTGAGCCCACACAGACACACGGACATGCATGAACGACTTGAACTCTGCCCGTTCGTTTGTCCGATGAGCTTTCGGGTTGTGATGTCTCACGGTTTGTTCGAGGTGCTGAGAGCATCTCGTGAATAGTTACATGTACGCTTGCATGTACGTTGAACCTCTTTAGCACCGTACGTAGCCAAGCATGCAAATCAGAGGTGCGGGGGAAGGACAACAAACTACACACAAAAAGCAGTTCTGAAGAAATGAGTTTTCAATTCAGATTTAAAAGTGCATAGCTCGAAGTGGCTTCCTAGTACCTGAAGGCAGACTGTTCCAGACGGCCGCAGAAGCACATCTGAAAGCATGCGATGCAGTGAACGTCTTTGTTCAATGGTTAGCCACGAAACCTATCCACAACCGCGAAACCTATGCAGTGGCATGCTCATTTGTGTTTGCAGATGTATTTATTCATTTTGCCCATCGTGTGTTTCTGGAGTTATCTGGAACTCTGCTGGTGACGGGCTTCTCCATTGACTATACATTGGGTTACATTTGTGCAAATGTCTACTGTGGATTTGGACATTTACTATTTATGATCAGGGTTAGGGGGTTAGGAAACGTATGCATTAATCATTGTGAGTTGGAGCCAGGGGTCACGTCCGTTCTAGCAATCTGTAATCAGTTAAGAGTCAGTCACTAAATCGAGCATGTCGTATTTTTTGATGTTGCGTCGCGCCTCTAGACGTGACACGCACAGCAGCTCCCTTGCGAGTTTTGAATGCCGTCGGAGAAGCCTGCACATGCAGGCCAAGTGCAGTCTTATTTACCTGGCAGAGTAAGCTGTATCAATTCGATGCGCACACATTCCTCTGCGGATAAACACGCACACACACACAGAGTCATCGGGATAGAACCAAATAAAGATTACTTACAGATAATGTACGTAACATCCTGCATGTGCCGATATATAGAACTCATACTGATATTTTGCGACATGGCTCGTTGAGTCTGCTAATAATTACAATCCCAAGCACCGATACATTCATTATAGCCACTGCACTGCGGTTGTTCCGGCCATACTGCACCAAGCTGGTCAGCGCCGATTGGTGAATGAGGGCCAAACACCGGTTTAGATATCACTCACCACTGAAGTTCAAATTCAAGTTTATTTATTAGGTATAGCCCTGTGAGCCATTCGGCTCTTGAATCGGGTGCAACCACAACAAACAAAAAACTAAAACATGAACAAAAAAACATCTTAAAGTGAATATGTGACTGAGTGCAAACAGAAAATCCAAGAAAAGACAGCAAAATATTGCAGAAAAAAACACCGTACACCAACGCTGTGTGCAAAAATCCCAGTGGGATGTAAGTCAAACAACCAACAACAACCACAAGACAACTTAAATTAAGGCCATCAGTCTAACTCTGTACTACAACAAACAAACATGGCTAAACCAATACACTTTTCAAAATCACCTAAATAAAGCCATGAAAGCAATGAAACAGTGATCATAGGAACTGTGACGGAATTTTCACAATAAATGGCATAAACAACATGTACTACCAAAACCCTGCAGCCATGGCCTCAGGTCACCTGGTTCATAGAGCGTTGTACGATCCGCTGAACAACAAGTCCCCCTTTGTTTTAATTAACTTACAGCTATTTAATTTAAATGCTCGTTATTTTGTTCTTCGTGGTGGGTTACAAACTGTTCCTCATTTTGGTTGTATAGTGAACTACATTTTTGATATCTTCTATTTGACTGCAATACGTTTTGTCTGCTGTTATTCACGTTCATGACTATAACCGTACCAAACTGTAATCATCTTCTGTATTAAATTAACAGAGGACAGAGACACCCCTGACATTTTGCTGCTTCTGTGTTAGAAATCATAATCAAGACACGTTTGTATTTGCTACATCTGGGATCCTCCACATCCACGTGTTTTCAAAAGGTGTTCACAATGTTCATGTCCCAGCTGGTTGTAAAATCTGGTAGACCGTTCCCTTGTGTTCCTCTTTCCAACGATACATTTACCAATCATCCTTTCATCTGTTTCTCATTACCTTAGCACTTACGTATTCCATTATCACGGTGGAATGTGTATTACCATAATTTTAAAGTTGAATCAGGAGGACAGTGAGCAGGTGCATTCATTATTTTCCAAATACAAAGTGTGGTATGCTCTCTTGTTCCCTTCTAACAAAGGGAAATTGCAGGCGAATGGTGATTAGGTTGTGCGAGCGTACTTTTTCAACTGGAAGAATAAGTATAACCCGTAAAAACAAAGTTTTTCACTCTAAATCCTTTATATGCGTGGCGGCTAGAGTCCTCTCGTCCTCTGGCTTGAGATGGCTGCCACCTATGGGTCAGATGATTGTCTGCAGCATTAAACAATTGGTAATTAAATATTTAATTTGTTTTCACAACGAGTCTGTGTGCAAAATGTCAGATCGATTGGATCACGGGAAGTGGGTTAAAAAACGACCGAAAGGTTTGCACGGTCGTAAGCAAGCAAGCAAGCACGCAAGCAAGCAAGCAAGCGAACTTAATATAAAGGATTTAAAAAGGGAGCAGGCGGCACCTCACTTAGATCTGATTAAGAACACTCCCTTAGTTTGCATTTGTGGCGAGATGTTAAGTACCTTGCCAGGTATACAAGAGGCCCTGGGTTCGATCCCGACCCTGATGCCAGTACATTTGGAGTATCCGTGTTCTCCCCGTGGTCGCGTGGATTTTTATCCGGGTCCTCCGGTTTTTCCCCTCCACATTTATAATCAACGTGCGTTTTGAGCATTTCGCTGATAAAAATTCCCATGTGATAAGCCACTTTGTTGAGCTATCATTCGTGGCCAGAACAACTACTATATACAGCTAAGTGGGCCTTAACTAGTAAAATAAAAATAGTTTATTTTAGCCAGGTAGAGTAGGAATGCACACAGCCGTGAAGATCGGCATCAGCAGACTTGAGTCACAGGCAGGATAGGAGAGAACAAATTGCTGCTGTGCAGATGTCAGTCACTACAATCTCCAGACAGGGTGGACACCGGGCTTGATATTATGGTGTGACTCCAGGCCACGCCACCTCGCTGGTCTCGTCAAGGAGCATAAACCATCATCACACGAACTCCGGTTATCCTTGCAGTGGTTTTTGGCTAGCCAATGAACAAAGACGGTCACCGCATCGCACGTTTTCCGATGCGCTTCTGCGGCCATCTGGAACGCTCTTCCTACTGATATTAGGAAGCCACTGAAGCTATGCACTTTTGAATCTAAATTAAAACCCCATTTCATTCGAACTGCTTTTCATATTTAGTTTGTTGTCCTTCCCCCGCACCTCCGAATAGCACGGTTGGCTACGTACGGTGTGAAACAAGTTCAACACACGTACAAGATACACACCACACGTGCAGTGTCTTTGGACAGGTCAAGACGCAAAGATTATTTGAGCAGGAACCGTGAGGATGGCGTGGTTGAGTCGCCACATCATTCTCCGGTGACGTATATTGAACTTCTTTCGCACCGTACATAGCCAACTGTGGTCATCGGAGGTGTCAACTCCTTGACAGTAAGAAGTGCATCTTGGGCTGCCACACAACGCTTCTGTAGCAAGGTGCTGTGGCAGCCATTACCCATCAGACACAATGCAGGATTAGGAGAGCAAGACCCCCCCCGTCCTAATTTATGTAGAGGAGGTGGTTAATCTTCTGACAGTCACCTCAAGAAAGTTAACCCTAGACACCTGTTCCATGACCTCCTTCCATCGAGCCATTGACACTTCACGTGACCTCAAGAAACCAAAGCTGGCACAAGCAGTGTGGTGATGTCACCGTTGCTTCGTGTTTGTAGGACGCGATCAAGTGTGAATGTTGGTTACCAGGTATGTGGCTTTATTTTAAAGATATAACATCCCAAAGGTCGCAAGGCGATCACTCAGTTTTATTGCTCCTGCATCCACTGCCATAAAATGTTCCCGCGGGTAACACCGGGTTCCATTCTGTGTAGCGTCCGAGGTCTGACGAGACTGGGCGCATCACACGTGTCATGGTCATGGGCCAAAATTGCAATAAAATAATCGCTATATGGTGATTAGTGGGATATTGGATTGTCACCGTTTATACAACTGCCTCGGATCTTACCTTCCAGGAGTTGAGCAACATCTGCCGGGTCCGTTGCTCTAGGGAAAACCTGGGGCGACATCGCAAATTTAATTGTCATAACCATCGCTCCTAAACACATTTCGTGAGCAATTATAACACAGTATCCCGCAAATTACAAATTTATATTTAATTTAATGGGGGAGCAGTAGCGCATTGGTTTGCACACTGCGTTGTGAGCCCGACGACCCGATTCCAATTCCCAATCGTGGCTAACATCAGTGGCAAGTGAACATTTAACTGATTCTGGGTTTCCCTTAATGAACCAGCACTGACCAGTGTGGTAGAGTCAAACAGCCCACGTGACCAACATGGCATGCATGTAAAGGCTTTCATCCAGCAGTGGACTGACAAAGGGCTAAAGTAATGATAGTCCTTCATTTGTACAGAAAAGCCTTATCGAGTCTCAAGGCTTTTAGGAGGTTCCTGCATGCATTGGGATCCTTGAACAGTTTCTATATTGAGTTATTACATGTGAAGATCTAAACACACACGCGGTGATAACACTCACAGTCTGCAGATGGATTCAAGAATCCACTTTCTGTACTGCCACCTCATGGCCACGTAGCAGACGGGCAGGTATGAGAGTTTTATAAATGTGTGCTAAATAAACCCGTGCCTCTCACACGCTGGAACACCCTGGCAAGACATTTTCCTCCTGTGATTCTCTCTCGCCTTGTTACATTGGCTCATTTATCTATCTAGCATCTCAATGCAACAAGAGTGAGGCACGACACTGGCTAAGGAGAGACATAATGGGTGGGGGAACTGAATATGCCGGATGAGGTTAAGAACACACGGGAGAGGTGAGGGGAGGGGAGGTTATGGGGAGAGAGCAACACAACAGCATCGCCCGTCAAAAGAATATTTTGCGGATAGCCTCGGCTACCGTCCAAGAGATGCGAGTAAGTAAATCAGTCTCTTGGGTATTATTGATCCAAACTTTAATCACTTAACTCTAAACCCGACATAAAAAAAACTAAATAAATTACCTCCCGTCATATTTTATCAACTGAAAGATAAAAAATGTGAAACTGAAAAGGTTGGTTAGTTGTGCAATATCCCTTTGGGGCGTTGTACTCGTCCTCCACAATGTTGACGTTCGTGTCTGTTTTTGTTGCTGCTGCTGCTGCTACTGTGCTCACTCACCACGGATGTCCCATGTAATACAGCCGGGCAAATGGCCAAACAAGATCATCCGTGTAATGAATCTATCCGAATGGACATTATCTCACGTATCTGTTATTAGACTAAAATCTGTGCCTGTTTCTTTCCCTGTGTCTGAGTCGGTCTCTTTGCGGGCATATTTGGGCTTTCATCCCCACCCCCGTGACGCCACCACCACTGCCACCACCACCACCGCCACCACCACCACCTTCTGGAAGCGCAGACGCTCATGCACGAGCAGAGGGAAGACGGCCGGGACGCAGCGGCACTTGCGGTACTGGCCGAACATGCACACGCTCAGGTAGATGTCGTCCTTGTTGGGCAGGAACACACCTGGACATGTCACCTGTGCAAAGACAAGAAAGAGAAAAGTAGATAAAGATCCCCCGTGCAGTCTTTTGAACAAGTTGTTTGAATAAAGTTCTGTAAGTGAGCACCTAAGAAGGCCCGCACTAAACACAAGGGGCTAGCACCTCTCTGGAACATTTGTTTTATTTTCCCAATGCTTTACAGACCGAAACAGATACTTATTATAAAATTGAGTCGACCTATGGGAGGGGCAGGATCGCTTACAATATATTCCAAACTAATGTTAGCCGTGGCCTGGAATCGAGCCCAGGTCACCAGTTGCATAGCGCAGTGTGCTAACCACCTCACTACGTTACCTGCGCGCACATACACTTTAAGACTAATCATACACAAGTGAGTTATAGACGAGTAAAAGGCGCAATTGTGACGACAGGATCGGTCCACCCCCTCATGCCGTGCAGGTCTGGCACATCACGCACACAGCCGCGTTTTCGAACCGCGAACTCAAAAGAGGAACACATTTGGCCTTAGTTAGACAGCGACAGCAGCACGGGCAATGATGATGCGAGTTTTCAATTCTGCTGAGGATTCAAGTACGGTGTTAGGGGCCGTCCACAAATGACGTCACGCGATTTTTGACCGCCCCCCCCCCCCCCTCGTCACACGGCGTCACAAAAAGTCAGACCCCCCCCCTCAAATATGGCGTCACAAAGCTCTGCTCCCCCCCCCCCCCCCCAAAAAAAAAATAAAACACGCTTCAAATCGCTTTAAACTATTGTCATCGTAGTGCGTATTTAATGTGCCGCTGCACTCTGATGTTGTAGGAGGAAACATTTATTAAAAAGTCTATTCAATTAAGTAGAACGTGTTGTCTATATTTATTTAAAAGTTGCGCATTTTGATGTGACGTCACATTTCTCACTCCCACCCCCCGTCGTCACACATCGTCACAAATGTCTGACCTCCCCCCCCTAGGTGCGTGACGTCATTTATGGACGGCCCCTTATCACCATTGCCAGCTGTTGCCTTGCGCCTGAGGGACTTTGGTGCGGGCAAGCGTTCCCTAGCCCCTGGGGGGGGGAAGAGTTCTAAACAGCCTCAGAGAAACAACGAACGCATGTCATCACTTTGTGTAAATGATGAGAAACTTGTGAGCACTGTAAAGTACATACACCAGCAACGGGACAAAATGCATGAACATAAACAGCAGCGCGCGCAGTAAAACCTTGGCTGGCGAGCATAATTCGTTGCGGAAACGTGTTTGTAATCCAAAGCACTCGTATATCAAAGCACTCGTATATCAGTTGTGATCACGTGACGCTCGGCAGACAAAGCGTAGACACGTACTACTCGTACTGCAAGACCTCGCTCGTTTATCAAATTAATATGTATTTAAAACATTTGCTCGTCTTGCAAAACACTCGCAGACCAAGTTACTCGCAATCCAAGGTTTGACTTGTACTTTCGTGCGATTTACTTTATTCAATCATGTACATATAGAGTACTCCATTTGTAGTAACACGCACAGTAGTTGTATGTGTGTGTTTGTCAATCCTGTCCATATAGAGTACTACATTTGTAGTAACACGCACAGTAGTTGTATGCATGTACCTTATGTTGAACTTCTTTCGCGCCGTACGTAACCAACCGTGCTAACAGGTGAGTGAACCACAAAGTGCGGCGCACTGCTTTGCCGCGTTTTGTACACCGAAAACGACGTGATGTACGAGGGGTGATGAAGATGATTGACGGCAACGAAGATGCGCATTTGACGACGATGACAAGAGGCTGGTGAGGAGTGGTGTGTGGTGATCGTGGTCACGGTGGAACTGAGTGAAGCAGCGTTCTCCATCACTGGCAGTTCTTGGTGGGCCTTTAGTGCGGCCCCCAACAACACACAACACGTGAGAACATCCCCCACCACCACCATCATCATCATGCTGCTGTCACAAACCCCCCAATGGCTTCAAATGTGTGGCGGCCCTCACACTGATGATATCTTATCGGCGAACGTGACCCCCGCCTCTTAACACGTGTTAGTAGCTCAGCTTATTGGAGAGTATATTTAGTATACTGATGATACTATGTAGTTTATACTTTTTTTTACGTGGTTGTTTAGTTACTGCAGCTACATACTATTAACATTCCCTTTATTAATGCTACCCCTATCCCCTCTCTGCTGCTAATCCTACATAATGCACGGGCATATGACTTTGAAACCCCCCGCCCACCTCCTACGCATTTCACAAGTAGTACTAATCACATACCTGCATTTCCTATAAATATGCTAAATTCATCTTGATATGCAAATTCTTTTGTCAAGGCGCCCTTCCCCCCTTCCAACCCAGCAGCTTAAATATACGCTCCAAGCGTGGTGGTGTTTCATTCAGACGCTGTCTCCCCGACAGACCTGGTCTTCACCTGAGGACGGCTGCTTGCGTTGTGGCCGAAACGTCGTGAGAATGGTATTTTATTATGTTTTATTTTTATTATTTTATTATTTCCCTTCTACGTGACTTTACCGAAAGAAACAAGAAGATGTGTGAAGGACGCTGACATAAATGGGCATTGTCGGACGCAGGACTTTATTAGCCCCAATGCTCAACGTAGTTGTTTCGAATCCGAACGCTACCGCGAAGCTATACTGTACATTGTAGGCATTAAATAAACATAAACTCACAATTTTTTTTTATCATTATTTGGTGATGCTTCGCTGGCAGTGGTCCACAGGCACAATACACAAACTCGGAACGCACTCGTCAACAAACGCCGTGGCCTCAAAAGGAAAAAAAAACAATCGCCGACGTTTCGGGCAAGTGGCCTTCCCTTCGCAGTGCATTCAACTCTCAATCGGCGCTTCATAAAACGAACCGCACCGATGTTTACAACTATGAGACGTGACACTCGTTGTAATTGCGATACATTATTCGATGGCCACGAAAAGCGAAACCGCGGATTCTTTAAAAAAAATGCAAAATAAAACTTCAAAAGTAAAAACGCCGCAACTTCGTACAGTGCCTAGAGCCTCCGGTACAGGGCCGCGAGTGTCGTTATAAACGTTTCTCGTTTACAGCGAAACAAACTAGCGCGTTGGCAACAACGAAGCGTGTACTCACCGCCTGCACGTCCAACTCCACCGTGCATTTGAACAACTTTCGCGGCATCTTCGCGGTTTAAATTCGATTTTTTGTGCCTCAAAAAAACACAAAAAATTCAAAATCGCGCCTCCGCCAAGCGGCGCTCCTCCATGGGGGGGCCGCGTCCCGGAACCAATGACGCTCGTCTCCATGGCGACAGCCAATCACGGTTGCCTGGGGCGATCGGACAGCCAATCGGAGCGCGCCGCGGGCGTTTCCAAGGTGATTGCCAACTGGGGGGCGTGTCACCCGAGCGTGGCCGCGGCAAGGGCCAATCAGCGCACGCCTCCACCCCCCTACACCCCCCCCCCCACGTATCTCCATGGTGACGGATGTCTTAAAGGGACCGTACACGTGTTCTTGGTTCTTTCGGTAAAGTCACGTAGAAGGGAGATAATAAAAATAAAACATATTAAAATAATAATGAGAATTGTATTATTTTATTATGTTTTATTTTTATTATTAAATAATAATGAGAATTGTATTATTTTATTATGTTTTATTTTTATTATTTTATTATCTCCCTTCTACGTGACTTTACCAAAAGAACCAAGAAGATGAATCCCTGCAGTCACGAAAGCTTTAAATAGAAATTTAACCGTACACGTGGTTTGGGCTGGGAGGGATACGGGATAACGCCCTACATTCAATATTATGTAGTGAACTGGCTCCCGTCATAGGAATGTGGAATTGTCGTCGCTGGCTAAGGGCCCGCAGCGCAGATGAGCACTCGACCTTGCCTTTGACAGTTGTCATAGTTATTCCAACTTTGGTTGGTCTGTGGTTTGACATTATCTGACACGCTGGGATGCTGATGATTCGTAAAGTGTTTCTTGAAAATTGTCAATCAAACCTCATGATAATATTTAGTGATGCTGCTGCTGCGTTGACAATGGTGCACAAGCACAATTAACAACAAACTCCACGCATTCGTTAATGACACTGTGGCCTTTAAAGTACATACATATCTCATGTCGCCGATTATATCTTTTTAGAGACATTTAAATATTTCTCCTTCGAGGGAAGTGTTACTGACGAATTCGTTGAATTTTCCACAGTCTCTCAAACGGCAATCGCCTTCAAAATGATACTCTAATCAATTACAAAAACACTATGAGGACCACTTACTGGTGTTGCTTAATTTGTTGAACTGTCCAAGGAACAACTTCGCACACCACGTCAATGGTCACACGCGTGGACAGTAGGTGGCAGTCTAAACACCAGTAGAGTAATGTGCAAGCGCTTCGCCTTCACGCCGAATGGCTTCGTGTCCGCAGCTGCCGGCTACGCCGAGGGTCGGTTACCTGGGGCACCGGAGCCGGCAACGTTCAGTTTACCATGGAAGTCCAGTTCACCATGGAAGTCCAGTTCACCATGGAAGTCCAGTTTACCATGGAAGTCCAGTTTACCATGGAAGTCCAGTTTACCATGGAAGTCCAGTTCACCATGGAAGTTCAGTTTACCATGGAAGTTCAGTTTACCATGGAAGTCCAGTTCGCCATGGAAGTCCAGTTTACCATGGAAGTCCAGTTTATCCTGGACGTCCAGTTCACCATGGACGTCCAGTTCACCATGGAAGTCCAGTTCACCATGGAAGTCCAGTTTACCATGGAAGCTCAGTTTATCCTGGATGTCCAGTTTACCATGGGCAGGCGTCGGCAACTTGCGGCTAGAGCCGCGTGCTGCTCGCTAAGGACTGTTTCATGAAGTTATCTCGTAGTCACCCACCATGGAAGTCCAGTTTACAGTGGAAGTCCAGTTCACCATGGAAGTCCAGTTCACCATGGAAGTCCAGTTCACCATGGAACTCCAGTTTATCATGGAAGTCCAGTTCACCATGGAACTCCAGTTTACCATGGAAGCCCAGTTCACCATGGACGTCCAGTTCACCATGGAAGTTCAGTTTACCATGGAAGTCCAGTTCACCTTGGAAGCTCAGTTTATCCTGGAAGTCCAGTTCACCATGGAAGTCCAGTTCACCATGGACGTCCAGTTTACCAATGAAGTCCAGTTCACCATGGATGTCCAGTTTACCATGGGCAGTTACGCAGATGATCCACCATGGCACCTGCGCGCACGATCTCATTTCAATCGGCTCCATCTCCCCGGCGGACGGCCTCTCGGGATGCGTTCCATCCTTCGGCTGCCACTCCGTTATTAATCTCGACCATCGGCGATCACCCCCCGTCTAGCGAAGCGCCCAGTGACTTTCGTTAACAGCTGACATTATTAGTACTCACACCCGAATGTTTTCTTAATCTATTAGTTTCCCTCTGTCTATCTCGGTGTAATTCCAGTCACGCGTTTCTCCATGCTTATTTGAGCAGTTGTTGTTGTTTCCCTGTGTACTGTTCGCTAATGACCGTGCTATAAAAACTAATCGTACCGTTTTGTAATAATTTCTTGAGAAAATACTTTGACGAAAAATTATCTCGGGTTCGGTAAAAAGGGTTTCATAATCAGCTTGCAAGACGCCTTGGAAGAGGTGACGTCACCCACACTTTACCCCACCACACACAGCCTGCTGATGGAAGAGGTGACGTCACCCACACTTTACCCCACCACACACAGCCTGCTGATGGAAGAGGTGACGTCACCCACACTTTACCCCACCACACACGTGACCTGCTGATGGAAGAGGTGACGTCACCCACACTTTACCCCACCACACACGTGACCTGCTGATAGAAGAGGTGACGTCACCCACACTTTACCCCACCACACACGTGACCTGCTGATAGAAGAGGTGACATCACCCACACTTTACCCCACCACACACAGCCTGCTGATGGAAGAGGTGACGTCACCCACACTTTACCCCACCACACACGTGACCTGCTGATGGAAGAGGTGACGTCACCCACACTTTACCCCACCACACACGTGACCTGCTGATGGAAGAGGTGACGTCACCCACACTTTACCCCACCACACACGTGACCTGCTGATGGAAGAGGTGACGTCACCCACACTTTACCCCACCACACACGTGACCTGCTGATGGAAGAGGTGACGTCACCCACACTTTACCCCACCACACACGTGACCTGCTGATGGAAGAGGTGACGTCACCCACACTTTACCCCACCACACACAGCCTGCTGATGGAAGAGGTGACGTCACCCACACTTTACCCCACCACACACGTGACCTGCTGATGGAAGAGGTGACGTCACCCACACTTTACCCCACCACACACGTGACCTGCTGATGGAAGAGGTGACGTCACCCACACTTTACCCCACCACACACGTGACCTGCTGATAGAAGAGGTGACGTCACCCACACTTTACCCCACCACACACGTGACCTGCTGATGCACTGGCTGTGGTGAAGCCATTCACACTGCTGGGTGGACAAACACTGAGGGGGCCTGCGGTGATTTAAGAAACTTGGCCATTTATTTTCCAACTTCCGCGCCTGGAGATCAAACCGACGTCGATGTCAAATGTGCCTGACCATTACACACCTTGCAGCGTCTCCTCCTCTAGGTAGACTTGGCCTAAACTCTGAATTTAGCACGGACAGAAACATTAAGCATGTGAGGGGTAGTGGCCAAACCAGGCTTCGTAGGTGCTGCTGATCTATCAACCTTAGCAAGTGAATTGTCTGTGTGTGCACACACAGATAACGATGAAGATCCCCAGTATAGCCTTGACAGACTGTTGGGGCAAGTGCTGCTAGCGAGTAGCAGCAACGCCTATGAAGGCCGGAACGGTACACGGGGTGGTGTGTGGCCAGCACCACGCCCGACCGCCTTTGTCTCCCCAGTTTCGATGTTTACACACCGCGCAGATTACACTGGTCAACAACAACAAAATTCTGGCCTGGACTTTTGCAGCTGTTTTATACTAATTTCAGGGTGCTGATTCCAAATCTGATCTCAGATTTGCTCTATCACATCTAATTTATATGCTATAGGCATACCCCATTTTCATTGATTTTACCCGAAATTAACTTAGTCACTTATGATTGCAAGTTGTTGCGAGTCAGTGACTGCTTTAGTGTTAAAATATGGTGCTGTATTTCTAGGATAGTGTGTTTATAATATCATTTTATGTAGATATTCACATTTAGCTAATATTTTTCTTCTGCAGTTTTTATTGAAAATGCAATATTTGAGATCTCAAAAACCTGATGTGATAGACAAAAACTGATGCCAGATTTGGAATCATTTTATATAGATATCCACATTTATTTAATATTTTTCTTCTGCAGTTTTTATTGAAAATGCAATATTTGATATCTCAAAAACCTGATGTGATAGACAAAAACTGATGCCAGATTTGGAATCAGCACCCCAAAATTACCTTCAAACCCGTTGGAATACCTTATGCCAGAAAAAGTGTGTTGACCAGTGTTATCATCGTCACTGGATGTTGATGGCCGTGAGCGGGAATCGAACTCGGGATCGCCGGATTCGTAGCGCAGCTCCCCATGCGCGCGTTTTGGTCACATTCGAGAGTCGAACTTACGCCGTTTCCACGATGGCCAAATGATCATGAACATTCATCAGCGCAACGCGGCCGAGATGAAACTGCTTTGCGGACCGTGAGGTTCCATCATCAGCATTCAGCGAACGCCGAGTCGCCCAAACTTTCACGTCCGATATTCCCCCCCCACCCCCCCATTTTATTTTAACGACGCCAATTATGAACAAAACAATTTATACAAATGACGAGAGCGTGGCGGAGCTATTTTTTTTTTAATCGTAATTGCCTGGACCAGCAAACTGCCCGCTTTCGCCGCTAATGGGTTCGTAACGAGCGCACGTGGTCGTGAATTTATCAAGCAAAGGGGTGATGGGGTGGGGGAAAGTGTCAAGAGGGGGGGGGGTGGTGGGGAAAGGGAATCTCGCCAGCAGCATGAATCGCACCCTCGTGGAACTCTCAAATTAACTCGAGATCCATCTCCGACTCGCGTGGGACGAACGCTGACACGGACGAGCAATGGCCGGTGGAGGGTTTGAGTCATCTTCCTTTGTATGGCCCGTGCCTTGCTCTCTTCTACTTTTTTTATTATTCATTCGTCATTTTTCATTATTTTTCTTCCTTCTTCTTCTTTCTCCTTCATTCTTATTCCTTCTTCTTATTCCTCCTTTATTCTTCTTCCTTCGTCTTCCATCTTCCTCTTCCTTCTTTATT